GGTGCAATATGCTAACAAATGTGGCAGTGTTTCTCTATCGTTTTGTGCTTCTTAAAATTTAGACGTTAAACCTGCTGCACAGGAAAAGGTGGAAGAAGTGAAAAAGGTGGAAGCGAAACCAGAAGAAGCAGCCAAGAAGCCGACTGATAAAAAGGTTGCTCCGAAAGACGAACAAAAGCCAACTCAGCCGGCCACCGAGCCCGCCAAGGTCGAAGAGGCCAAAGCGAAACCTCAAGGTCGGTGCAATATGCTAACAAATGTAGCAGTGTTTCTCTATCGATTTGTGCTTCCTAAAATTTAGACGTTAAACTTGCTGCACAAGAAAAGGTTGAAGTGAAACCAGAAGAAGCAGCCAAGAAACCATCTGATAAAAAAGTTGCTCCAAAAGACGAACAAAAGCCAACTCAGCCGACCACGGAGCCCGCCAAAGTCCAGGAAGCCAAAGCCAAACCTCAAGGTTGGTCGCTGATTAACGCAAGTGTTGCGATGTTTCTCTATCGTTTTGTGCATTCTAACATTTAGACATTAAATCTGCCGCACAACAAAAAGTTGAAGAAGTGAAGAAGGTCGAAGCAAGACCAGAAGAAGCTGCGAAAAAGACGTCCGAATTGAAGCTTGGTCTCAGTGAAAAGGATTTTGAAACAAATGTAGTCTCCGCCGTACCGGCGGTTGCTGCACCTATGAGTCCAATGGATCAGGATTTCTTGCGTCCGAGCTTTACATTACGTTTGAAACCGACGGTTTCGGTTACGGAGGGCGAGAAGCTGAAGCTTGAGGTTCGATTTATAGCGCAGCCTGAACCGAAGGTGAGTCTCTGTCGAGATGTATTTTATGTTGATAATGGAACGTTGGAAAGTTGAAAAATTCCTGCATTTAGATAGAAGTGATATTTGGTTTTTTTTGAGCGTTTCTGTTTTGCCGTTGTGTGCTCTATGGCTCAGTTTTTTTTTCAGGTGACATGGTATTTTAAATCGGATGTGCTTGAAAATGGTCCAGATGTTCATTTGGAGCAGATTTGCGATGTTCACATGTTTTGTTCAACGTTAACAATTGACCGAATAAGTGCCCAGTATGATGGAAAATTTAAAGTCATTATTAAGAATGAAATTGGTGAAATAATGGGTGCCACGCAAGTCAGTGTGAAACGATGTAAGCCTTTTTATTTTGTTTATCTGAACATGATTGATGTCTCCATCTTCTTTTAGCACCCATCGCTGTTAATTTACAGAAAACACCAGCGAAAGAAGTCGTTCCAATACAACCAACAGCTGAGTAAGACAGTTTTAATTTTATTTACATAAGCTGTAGTAGTGATTTTAGAAGTTGCTTTAGAATATGATTTCACTTGCTTGAGGCAGCTTTTTAATGAGACAGTGAAATGTTTAACGAACCGAGGACGATTTCTGCTATTTTAAAAAGGTTGCATTTCCGATACATATAGAGAAAGGATGAGCACAATCTCCCTCTCATTATTTTCGGGTTACTGGTATGTTTGATTTTTATCGCTTCGTATATCAATTAATTTAGATGGTTAATCAGGTATTCAATTATCTTTTGCTCTAAAACTGCGCACTTCTCGATTCATGTTCATGATTCACATCAAACTCAATTTTTTTTTGTTACTGGAATAAGATGCATTATATTGTCACTGATTGCACCTGCTAGTTGACAAGAAAATAAATCACACTTTTCTTACACGTAAGGTGACAATTCATCATACACCGAAACAATATTGCTGTTATATTTAATATTTCTCATTTGCAATTATTGCCTATTTTTTGAAAGCACCGAATATCGTCACCGACTGATTTCACTCTGAAAAACATTAAGTCAGCAACTGTCACTGCACTGCATGAATCAACACTTCTCGCTCTGTCCTAAGTATATGGACAGAATAAACAACAGAAGAAAAAAACGTTAGCTAACGCTTAGTTGAACTCTATTCAGTAATACAAACAGTCATATCTTATAGTAGTTAAGATAGGATGACTAATTTTTTTTCTTATTGTTTGTTTCTGTTATGTATGTATAATCCATATGTTCGATTGATTAGAAAATTCTTCAATTAAGTCTCAATGTAACAAACTGATGGATCTCTTTCTCTTTTTTGTCAATAATCTCAGTATAAGGATGTGTGCATTTCTTCTTCTTCGTCTTCTCTCTCTCTTATCATCTTTCTATAAATAACCTTGTATTATTTTCCATTATGATCTCTCTCTTGCTACCTCTTGTACAACATTATACATGATCCCCTATGTCATATTACCTGTTATACAATTTTTGTCTGCAAACAAATAAGACACGATTATATATGACGAAAAAATGAGCAGCTATTTGTAAGTACAATGATCAATACTTTAGAAAAAAGACGTCTCGGATAGGTTAGATTTCAAACGTGATCATTACAAAAACGTTGACTGTAAGTGATTTTAATTCATTAATGAATGGTACTCTGTCAATAATTTATATTTAAAAGCTAGCTGATCTAATGTTTTTCCAAATCAGAAAAATTAACTACGTTTAAATAAATAGTGTATGATTTTCACCAAAACATTTTCCATAGTAATATAAAAGTTTTTCTCATCTATTTCTAAGTAGACTACTGACAAATCAAACAATAAGCAATTATTTTTTTCGAGCATCGTACTCACAACTCGATAAACGCACGTGGTTGAACATTGTTTTCGTACATAATATACGGCTGTTGTGTGTAATAAGACAAAAATGAGGTTCTTTCAGTATCACAACATTATTTATGACAAATTTTTCCTGATAATGTAAACACCTGGTTAATGATCGTTTGACTAATTAATCTATCCATCATTTTTTAACAATAAAGTCGTGAAACATCTTTAAACAGTGGCCATTTTTACTAGTTCATGTCGATAGCTGATTTCATTTCTTGAGAAAAGAAACAAGAGAAAGAAAAGTATTTGGTCAGTATTTCTGAGCTGGAGAACTATAGATAAAAGTTTTTTTCGTTAGAAAATAACTGTCAGAAATCCTACCTTTATTGAGTACAGTGAACCGAGTTTATTTATAAGGCTATCAACTTTTCATTCAATCAAACCCTAGACAGATGGTTTGAGTTCGTATAGTGTCGAGATGACCCAAGTGTAAAAGAGTGTACGTTTTGTCTTCGTTAGAGGTTTTCTTGATTATACTGGAAAGAAAACGTATGTCTGTAAGTGTGTATGTCGTTTTGTGGTCTACCGAAGTAGAGTCGAACATTAGGGGGGAGGTGTAAAACAAAATTTCTCCCTCTCAGGTAGGGTGAAATTAATAGAAAATAATTTTGTGAGAAATAATGGGTAGAATAACAACAACATTTTCAATTATTCGGAGGGTGGGCACCCTCCCGTTATGTCTCGAGGACAAAACTGTTTAGTGACTAAACTATAAGTTTTTTCACTTCTGTGTGTTTTTAATTTAGTTTTTGACTATTCTAGCGGATTATAGCTGCAAATAAGAAAATAAGTTAATTTTAGAAGCTTATTGATCAGCGTTATCGATAACATATATTTTATATAATTTTTCAACCAAAAATGAGTAACAAAAAGTCTGAAAAAGGAAAATATACTTCTACACGTCAGATTTAATCAATCTGCACAACTTATTTTATTGTGATAAAAAAATGAATATTTTGTGCAGTATATATATTTTAAACAAAATATAGTTTTCTGTTTTTTGCAAGGCGAAGATGTACCTCGTTAAAAATGGTTAAGATTGATGATTTATCAGATAAATATGATGCAGTAAATTTTATTTATATATTGAAAGTTTATGATGTAATTAAAAGAATTCCTGCTTTTTGTAGATTCAATTTTTCTATTCTTGCTTAATCGACGGTATTTGCTAAAATTCTAATGTATAAATGGTAATATTCATTGCTATTTGAATGGTTAATGCATATAATAGCTAACTGTAGCGGAAAATATTAACTCTCTCTCTCTCTCTTGATATATTAAACTAAAGTATCATCGTAAACATTTTTTTGACTTCGATTAATTTGAAATTGGTTCTGACGAGACGGTTTTGAGACTTTGCTTATATACAATAATACTGAACAACTTCATCATAAATAGAAAGAGTGTTAGACTAAATATTCGTTCATCATAAAGGATGTATATTTTCAATAAATGAAATTGAATCATTAAACATTTTCTAGATTAAAAGAGATACTGATCAATGAACGTTAAATAATTTATTACAAAATGATTGTAGAGTATGAATATTAAATCTACATTATATAAGTAATAAAGAGTTTTAGTATATGTCCTTCATATGTTATGTGCACCATACTTAATTATTTTCTATTTCATACAATTGAGATAAAAGTACGCATATAAAATAAACATCTTTTGTGAAAATGTTAATGATGAATATATTTTAATATTTTCCATGCGGTTAATTAGACTGAATATACTACCGGAAGGATATATGAAAGGAGTTTTTTGTTCTCGTATGGTCTATTAGTAACTAATTTATTTTCATCTTACAAAAGACAAAATATTTAACCATTTACTTCCTTTTTTGGTGACTCTATTTTATTGGAGGCCAAATGGTAATAGGTCACTGAATAAAAAAGAAAATATATTATTTCATTGTTTTATTAATTAGTTTGTGAAAGCTACCACACGCATATAAGAGTATTTTGACTTTCTTCAGTATCATTCATGTTTTCCCCACGCAAAGCTAGAGACTCTCAATATATAATCTTTTTTTTTTGTTAGCGATGATGATTGGCGATTACTTGTCAAAGTCGTCTCCCTCTCGATATGAGAAATTCTCTAATAAAAATATATTGTGATAAGGATTTCTCAGTTTTATTATTTACGTGTTATTATTTTGTCGTGAAAAAGAGAAAGGCATATGGTATTCAAGAAGCAGAAACGTGAGAATATGAATGTATATATATATATATGTATACATACATATTAGTACTCATATATCCTCTACCGTAAACATACGTGAAATTTTCTATTAACAGCGACACATCAGGATAGAGAAAGAGAAGAGAATGATAATAATTCATACACATCTTTCAAGATATATATATATGTACAATAATAATCTTCTAACTCTATGTATATTGTTAATATATAATATAAAGGATTTGAAACATTCTAATAAAAATTGTAGTTCTCGTATTATATTGAGAACAAAACACTAGTAATTTCTTGTACTAGTTAATATAATTAGTTATCAACAAGACAACGCGTCACATATATGCAATCATCACAACAACAATTACATCAACGAAGAGGGAGGTACGATCGTTAACTGAACTTATACACACATACACGCACACACACACACGCATATAATTTCTATTTGTTTAATTAACTTATCACTATTATTATGTTCGAACAATATACTAGAATTGTACAATTCACTCGTTGTATTGCCATCAAAATTATCATTGTTTCTCATCGTATACATCATCACAAGAATAAACGTAGTTTTGATTACTTTTCCAATTCTGTTTTGCAGATTGATAAAAAATCTTCTATTCAAATAAATACAAAGAGATCACAACAACGAGACATTACAAAAACACTCTATATTTATCTTAACTTTAGAACCCTGCAAGCATGAACAAGAATTTTTTATTTATATCTATTCACGTTTATGAAGAAAAAAAGAATTTTTATTCAATGCTCATGCTTTGTACATGAATCAACAAAAAGAATTTTTAATTTTTCCCTTCTCTTAATGAACAAGAAAAATTCATGAAAATCATATCTCTTCTTGGACATTCTTGGTTATATCAGTCCAATGTAGGATCCTATTCATTATCGCAGTCTTCTAGTTAAAAACGTCTTCAGTATCTAATCTATTTTCAGTCTCTATGTTGATCAAAATCGTTTTCAGCTTTCTAATATGACACAATGATTAATGTAGAGGGTTATATTCGTAACTAGAACAAAACATTAGGTCACGATGGTTAAATTGTTAGAAAACTAATTTATTGATGAATCAAATAAGGAAAAAAGTTGTTTTACGTTTTCATTTTAAGCTAGAGTTTCTATCGATGAATCAAAGGTTATTTTTGTGTTTTATTTCCATTAAAGTGTGAGATGTGTGAGAGAATCGATTACAATATAATTCAAATAAAGAAAATCACTAGTTTGCTACTTTTCTTTGTAGAAACTAATTGTTGGAGAATTCATTTAGAGAATTATCATGCTTTATATATACATGTAGTTGTTATAGTACAAAACATATTTTTGTGTCTTGTATCTAAAGTATAAGGTATAAATCTTTTTTTCTCTTTTTAAAATATTTTCTTTTAGATAACATCAAACTTTTAAAGATATAAAGTCTGTTTTCGCCTTTTTAAGAGCGCTTTTTGCATCGTACACTGTAATCTTGAATTAATTTCCAGTTCATAGAAAATCGACCGAACAATCGCCGGGGATTTTCTAGTTTATAGAAAATCAATGGAACTTCTATAAATAATTTCCAAGAATCTGGAAATTCAATTTTAATTTTCTATAATCGAATTTGCAGTTGCTTGGGAGTTATTTATAGAAATTTGACCGATGTTCTAGAAAGTGGAAATCCGCTCAGGAATTTGTAGACCAAATACTTATTCATCTTTTTGTTTTGCAATCAGTATCGGTATAAGAGCGTCAAGTAAAGACACTCATATTATACTTAAATCAGCTTTGACAGTTAGTTTCTACTTTAGATTACAATTCTGCCTATGCCAGCAAGAATTTTGATTTAGGGAGAGACAGTGGTGGTGCGAAGTTTCGGTAGGAAGGTTCCACAATCGGAGACGTTCACTAGAAATTTCTCAAAAGTATGAGGGAGCGGGGTTAACCCCCATATAACCTGGTCGCGTCACCACTCGGTGCAGATTCGCCCAGGAATTTCTGGTTTATAGAAAATCAAAAAGGAATTTCTATTTTCTTGAAAATTATTTATGGAAATTCAAGGACGATTTTCTAGATTGTTGAAAATTTGATTTTCTGTAAACTGGAAAATTCTTGAAGAATTCCTACAGATACTCTTTGAAATTAGCCGAGCATTTTGCATAAATAATTTCCAATCTTACAGTATATCTCATTTGGTTCTCTTTGAAAATGAACTACATTATATATGTTCATTCTAGATTTCAGCTTCTTCTGTTCAATAAATAATTAGTTTAATTTCTGTTTTTGTTGTTTAACGTATAATCCTCCTTCCAGTAAATGATTTTTTTTGCCACTTTTTACCATCCTTCACAGAAAGAATTGATATTATGCATGGTCAATATTGGTGTACACCTTCTATTAACAAGCCTTCTAACATTTCTTTTGTATTCTGTTAGGTCACCATTGACGACGGCGGTAAATGATCAATTAGGTGGAGATGCGAGCCTACTGGGCTCTGTTGCTCCTCAGCGTCGTATCAGTGGTTTGGTTGTTCCAGAAGGGAAACCAACATTCTCCAAACAATTAGAAGATCTTTTGGTTCATGAAGACGACGAAATAACGTACGTTTGCTACCTCTATTACTATTTGTAATTGTGTTTTCTTCACTCTTCTCATTTTAGACTTGAATGCGTCGTCTCCGGAAATCCACTACCCGATCTCACTTGGTTCTTTAATGATCGTAAGATCATACCAAGTAATATTTACGTGAAAAAAGTTGAACAATTAAATCCACATACAGCTCGTCACTTTCTCACTATTGGTCCTAAACATAAAAAATTAGGTGCATACAAAGCACAAGCACAAAATCAATTTGGTTATACTGTGAGTGCTTGTCAATTGAGAAAGTCAGCAGAAAAATTAAACAGTCGCCGAGCGGCCTTTGAAGAAAGTGAACAACAACAACAACAACAACAGCAGCAACAACAGCAACAAGCACTTCGTCGACCTAGCGTAACCCCTCAAGTAGAACAACAACAACAAATACCGGTGATACTTCAACCCCTGAAATCATTCCAGTCAGAATTTGGGCAACCGAGTTCACTAACATGTAAATCGTTACACGATACAAGTATTCAGTGGTTCAAGGATGGAAAAAAAATCGATCAACAACAACAGGATACAAATTTGATAATAAAAAGTGAACAAAAATCAGATGGAAACACTCATATTTTGAATATAAAACAATTTAAACAAGAAAATATTGGTACATATGAAATTGTTGTCACAAATCAAGTGGGAAAAGTCAATTCACAATGTCAATTGGAAGCAAAAGGTAAGATTTCTGTTGTATGCACTGCCAATTCATAAACCGAAGGTAACAATAAAATCATTTTTCCTTGATTACTCTCAACTTTTGACGAACAAATGACACTTCTTGAAATTTACCATCTACTTCACTATTATTTTAGGCATTCCTCCTACGTTCACTGTCGAACCCAAAACATCTAGTGTTAATAAAGGAAACATGGCTGAATTTACATGTCGTGTAGCGGGTAGTCCAAAGCCCGTCGTTTTATGGTACTTAAACGGACAACAAGTAAAAACTGGTGGCAAAATATCCACGTTGGAACAACGTGGTTTATATCTATTACGAATAAATAATGTTGTGGACACAGACTGTGGTACAATCAAATGTGTAGCAAAAAATGTCATATCCGAAATTGTTCGAGAAGTACAATTACAAATAGCAGGTAAGATATATAAACATGAATTAAAATTTAGAATAAATTAAAATTCGTTATGTGTATTGCAGGTGAAACACGTCCACCACAAATTATTGAAAAATCTGATTCACGTGAAGCAAATCTCAATGAAACTGTTGAATTTAAAGTTAAAGTCAGTGGAGCACCAATACCCACAGGTAAACTTTTCATATTGTCTTCATAACACGAAAATTATTTCTCTCTTACTTTTTGTAGTTACATGGGCAAGAAAGGGTGTGGTTGTGAATAATAGTGATTTGTACAATTTACGTACAGAAAATGATGTCCATTATTTAACAATTAAAAAAGTCATAGCTGAAGTTGTTGGAGTCTACACAGCCGTTGTTTCTAATACTCAAGGAAAAGTGTCATGCAATATTGAATTAGCCGTAGCTGGTCTAAGTAGTTTATTTACACGTCCGTTACGCGATGCAACCGCATCACAAGGAAAAGTGCTTACACTTGATTGTGAAGTAGATATTAAGAAAGGTGTACCAACCGTTATTTGGTGAGTACTCAGACTTTTATTCTGTAAACTCAGACTATTCTATGTCTTTGTTTTGTTAATTTTTAGGATGAAAGATAAACAACCACTGACAAAAACGGATCGTGTTGTAACTACCGTGAAAGGAAATAAAGTACATGTATTGACAATTCAAAAAGCGACAGCAGCAGACGCTGGATATTACAGTATACAAGCAAATTTGGGAAACGAAAGTTCAGTGTCTGATGCACAAGTTACAGTTGATGGTAAAAGTTTATTATCTTAAAAAAACAATCACATTTGAATTTATATATTTATCAATTTTAGTTCCACCATCATTTGTTCAAAAACCTGACACACTGACTGTTGTCGATGGTCAAGATGTTGAAATAAATATCGAAGTAGCTGGTCTACCTCCACCAGTTGTACAATGGTAAATATTTATCACGCTTTCTAACTTAATTTATCTCCTCTCTTGTTATAGGTCTCATTTGGCTGAAGACATCAAGTCAAACAATAAATTTAAAATTAGCTCACCACAAGAATATCGACATCAATTACGCATTAATCATGCTACAGCGACTGATGCGGGTGATTATGATATTGTTTGTACAAATAAGTTGGGTCGTATTAGTGCAAAAGTCAGCGTACGAATATCAGCACCGCCCGTAATTATTCAACCATTGAAAGATATACTCATCCCATTGAAGCGAAATGCTCGTCTTGAAACAGAAATTCAGGCATTTCCTGAACCAACAGTTGTTTGGTCCAAAGATGCTCAACCGATTAAATTTGATCAACGTGTTTATGCTGAAGACCGACGTGGTGTCTATACATTAGTATTGAAAAATATTCAAATAGATGATCAAGGTTTCTATGTGTGTTCGGCAAAAAATCAATTGGGAAGTACTAAAACATCATCACAATTAACTGTTGAAGGTAACGGATATCAACTTAACATGAAATAAGTTCAAATAAGTTTATTTTGTTTGTTTAGTTGCTCCAATATTTTTGCAAAAATTAGAAAAATTAGAAGGTGTCGAAAATTGTGATATTGATATTCGTGTACAAGTCGCTGGATATCCCAAACCACAATTAGAATTTTCGTTTAATGGTCGAACAATTGATATGAGGGGACGGTAAATAAAGCAAATCAGTGAAGAACTAAATAGTTAAAGATTCTTTTATACTCTTTTTTTCTTTTATAGTTATATTTTAAAAGAATTGAAAGATGGTTGGTACGTGTTTACAATAACAGCAGCAAAAACATCTGATGCTGGCTCATATTCATGTACAGCAACAAATTCACTTGGTCAGGCATCGTGTGCTGGAAAATTAACATTGTATTGTAAGTGTTCTTTCTTAATAGTATAAAATTTGAATTTTAAATTATTCTTTCATTTTTTCTTCTTTTTAGCGTTATCACCTCCAAAGTTTACTAAGGATTTGGCAGACGCTATTTTTCCTGTTGGTGCATTGCTCAAAACTTCTCTCAAAGTTAGTGGTTTACCGTTGCCTCGTCTAACATGGTTGAAAGATAATCAAGTATTTGATGAAAATGATCGTATTAGTATCGTCTTTGACTCACGCACAGCATCATGGACTTTAACTATTCGCGATTGTCTTGAGTCCGATACCGGTGTTTATGAATGTCGAGCAAAAAATCCAGGTGGAGAAGCATCAACAAAAGCTACATTCACCGTTAAAGGTGAAGAAGCAACATTTGTCGATACACCAGAAAAAATTTCATGTCTCGAAGGTCAAACAGCCGTATTTGGATGTCGAATATCTGGTGATCCATATCCGATAGTACAATGGGCTAGAGGAAAAACAAAAGCATTTACGAGTAATCAAAAGTATTATTTGTATTACGATGATGAATTAGATGCACACTTTTTTGAAATATCAAATTGTACTAAAGAAGATACGGGCACGTATACAGTAACAGTACAAAATATTCATAATACAGTTACTAAACCGGTTACATGTTTTATAACAAATAATCCAGAAGAAGTTATCGATTATAAGAGTATTCTAAAGAAAACGTAAGTATAAAATAAATTTTATAGACGAAAAACATCTATTAATTTTAGACTACCACTTTTAATGAATAGAATAATCTGTTAGGAATAATTTATGAATCCTTGTTTTTGCTCATATAATTTAGCAATAAATTATAGGAGTAAAAAATAAGGATTCAAAATTTATTCCTAACAAAACAAAACTGTCTTTTTTGTTTACGTGTTTTGAGTAATGCATTGTTCGATTCTTTTTCTTGCTAATTGGTTCTATTTTACCAATCAAAAGCTACTGAGAGATAATTCAATTTTTAGTTCATATTGAATTTAGTCTATTGTAATTCCTCATATTTGTTGCTAAGAAATTTGATAATATAAATGATAAGTATAGAATCAACAATGTATTGTATCAATCGAGAATTACAAAAGATACTCGTCTAGCTCTTTCAGAATAAGTTTAAGTGAGATGAAAATTTCCCCTTATATCAATGATTTACTTATGAGAAGACAGAATGTTTCTTTATTTTTTCTTCATTCGTTTTAGTGAACAACTGATGCGTCAAGGTGAAGGTGGCCCCGACTGGGGCAAACTTAAAAAAGGAAAAGCAATTAAAAAAGAAGGCGATCCTGGATGGCAATATTCATTGAAACATTTTGAGCAGACTGGTGATGCAACGCTTAAACAGTACGATCAAGCTCAACCGGTAAATAAATAAACATATATATATATGAAACCTAATAATAATGTAGACAGTAATTAATATTTTCAATGAAATAGAATACTGTAATTTTTGTATTTTTGCATAGTGAAAAATATTTTTGTTTCTGCTTTGTTTTTCTTACAAAATGGGAAGCACTCCAGGAGAGAAGAAAATCTATGTGCTCTAAAAGTTATTATAACAGAATTACCAAAGTATAGTCAATTTCTTTTTCTATAAAACTATAGAACTGTAGTAAATGTTAAAATGACGAAAAGTTAGTGTCAGATTATTTGAAACACATTTTCACAATATATTAATATTTTCTCGGGGTAATAGATCCATTTTAAAAATATTATGATGTCATAAAATAGTAGCTTTATCTAACTTCGGAACATGATTTTTTAGTATTATTTATTAAATATTTTTATGTTTTAGGTTGATTTATTGGGTTTAACTCCCTCTGAAATAACTGGCAGACGTTCTCGTTCGGGTACCGATACTGGCGAAGGTACTGAAGGTGAAGATGGTAGAATGTTAGGTGCTCCTAAATTAGGCACAGGAAAAGATCGTCGAACAAGTCGACTAGGAATGGTAAAATTTCATTATTTATCCATTTTTTTCTGTTAACTATGAATATGTTTCAAATTAAAGGTCGTATTTACGAAACCATTGCAAAACGTAACTGTATTCGAAGGGAAAACTGCATCATTCGAATGCAATGTATCTGAGGATGCTGCTACTGTCACATGGTACATAAATGACAAACCGGTACCATCCACAAGGGGTCAACTATTAGCTATTGGAAAAACGAGACGTCTTGTATTGAAAGATTGTCAATTGAATGAAAATGATATGGTAATTACATGTGAATTAGATCAGGCCACAAAGTCAACAGCCAAACTATTTGTTAAAGGTAAGTGACGAAATCATAAGAAATTGTATCAAGTTATTCATCCCATTCTGTTTTAATTTTTTTAGAGGAACCATTCGACTTTACAGATAAATTGAAAAATGTCAAAGTTAAACGTGGTCATCAACTTGAATTACAATGTTCAGTAAATAAACCAAATATTAAATTAGAATGGCTTAAAGATGGTAAACCATTGGATATAAATGAACCGGTGAAATATGTCGTCGATGGTTTTGTTCACAAATTGATAGTACCAAAATCTGAAGATAAAGATAAGGGTGTATACACTGCTCGTCATGCTGAGCAACAAACAGAAGGACAGGTTGAAGTTCTGGGTAAGAATATCTCATTGGAAAGTTTAATTATAAATTAGACAATATTGAAATTTTATCTAGTTGACATAACTACTGTCGATACCGTGGAAAAATTAATAGATGAAACTTGTAAGATGACATATGTCCTTGTAGCAAAACTTAGAATTTATGTAGTTCCTAGGAGGCGAGTTCCTGCATGATCACAAACCAAGAAACCTGTAGAATAAAATAGAAGAAGATATTGTATTTTGACCATCTATTCACAAATGTGACTAGTTTTCACTTTTGTCTTGTTAAGATGAGACGATCTTGAATACTAGTAACATATTATAATTTGATAAGAATTTTTTTAAATCCTTTTCTTTTAGGCGATAATTTATCAACTAGATATTTTCCTCTGCATGCACAAACACTGATTAAATCATTCTTTTTCTGGCAATTTAACATATATGTTTTAGGTCCACCTCAAATTGTCAAACCACCCACAGATGCCATATTACTCGTTACCCAAGGAACCACTCTTACTGCTGAAATTATTGGCTTACCGAAACCTACTGTTACTTGGTTTTACAAAGGTAACGCAATTAAAAGCAGTCAAAAGTACCAGGTTGATGCCAAAAAAGATGTCTATACGTTGACAATACAAAAGGGTGACGTGGGTGATCAAGGTGAATACACGGTAGTAGCCGAAAATGCTGTTGATAAAGTACAAGCAACAGCAAACGTAACAGTTTGTGGTAAGTATCTATTTAAATGTCAAATCGTGAGGAAAGCACATTTCATATGAAAATATTGTCAGTTACATTCACTTGCCAAAATTTCATGCTTCTTACAATACCTGTTTTTCTGTTTCAGTGAAACCTAAAATTGATAAATTGGCTGATGTTGCTGTTAATATTGGTGAAAGTGCTCGACTTATTTGTCAATTTTCTGGTACACCACTACCGACACTTACGTGGTACAAAGATGGTCAACCGCTTACTACAGGTGATCGCTATACAATTACTGAAGAGTCACCAAATATTTCGGTCTTGACTGTGCGTGATACAGTAATGGAAGATAAATCAGTTTACACCGTGAAAGCTACTAGTAAAGCTGGCGAAGTTGAAGGAAAAGCAACATTAACAATAAAGCGTAAGTTTAGCTAGCATAATTTGCATTATACTTTGTGTGCCTCATTCCGTTTTTTTTCAGCGATAAAACCGACAATAACCAAAGATCTAGAAGCAACTTATATCGGTATAAAAGGTGAAGATCTTATCTTATCCATTACTGGTACGGGTAATCCTCATCCTGAATGTAAATGGTTTAAAAACAATACTGAGATGACAACAAGCGCTGATCGAATTATATTTAAAGAAGATGTAAAGACTGGAGAATACTTTCTTATCATTAAAAATTCTACTCAAGAAGACATTGCAGAATATCAATGTCAATTGACGAATGCGGCCGGTCTGATTAAATCCAAAAAATCTAAAGTAACAATTCAGAAAGCACCACAATTTGTTAAAAAACCACAATCAGTGACTGTTAATCAAGCGGAACAAGCGAAAATAGAATGTCAAGTCGATTCATTTCCTCTTGCTAAAGTCACTTGGTTAGTGCAATTAATATTATTTAGTGGCATTAAGAGATGAAAATCTTGTCTGTTTTAGGTTACAAGGTGGCAAACCGCTTTCTCCTAAAGATGGTTTTGAAACGAGTTTTGATTCCAAGACTGGTATTGCTACACTTATCGTCAAAAACGTTAATGTTAAACACTCTGTGCCAATAACCGTTCGTGCAGAGAACACAGCTGGTACAGCTGAAGAAAATACGTCGATCAATGTTCGCTCGGCACCGATTGTGGCAAAACCACTTACCGATACCGAAGTTATTTCGAGTCAAGATGCAACGTTCACGTGTGAATTTACAGCATCACCAACCGCCACCGTCCAATGGTTAAAAGATGGCAAACCCATTACACCATCGCCAACCAAATATATAGTCTCATTTGACGAGAAAACCAATAGTCATAAGCTTGTGGTTAAAAGTTCGTCTCCACAAGATGAAGGAGTTTACAGTGCCCAAGCAACAAACGATTTGGGACAGGTTGAAACAAAAGCAAAATTAAACGTTACCATTCCACCCGAATTTATTAGTGGACTTCAAGATAAAACGGCCATAGCCAAAGATACTACTGAATTAACCATCAAAGTCATTGGTGCACCACAGCCAACGTTGACGTGGCTTAAAAACGGCAAAGAAATTAAACCAGATAATAAGAAATATTCCGTTATACCATTGGATAAAGATGGAAATGCTAAGTTAATCATCAAAGATACACAGGAGGATGATCATGGACAATATTCTTGTGTGGCAAAAAATAAAGTTGGTACAAGTCAAAGTGATTGTACTTTGAAAGTAACAGCACCATTAAGTTTTATTCAACCGTTGCAAGATACAGATGTTTTGAATGCACAAAATGCAACGTTTACATGTGAAGTACAAGGAATACCCAAAGCAAATATCAAATGGTAAGAAACTTTATTTTTTAAATTGAATTTTGATTATGGAGTAATAATTCAGACTCAGTTTTTTAAGTATCTTTTTTTATAATAAGAATAAGAATCATTGGTCAACTAAGGGGCTAAGAAATCGTACGAAAGGTTTATTATGATTCAGTTTTTTGCAAAATTTTTAGATTATTTTCACTTCTCTCCAATGTTTTACTCTGTAAAATGCTACTTTAGGTATTTCAATGACTCTGAATTGAAATCGACGCAAAAACAAACGATTGGCAGCAAAGGAAATGTACATACATTAACGATTACACGAGCTGATCAAACTGATGCGGGTTAGTAAAAAAATATTTTTGCTTTTTGGAAACTTTCAAGTACAGCTTTTCTTCTTTTTGTTAGGTGTTTACAAAGCAGTGGCTGATAATGGCACTGGTACACCAGTGGAAACTTCAGCAAATTTACTCGTAGGAAGTATGTTCATTCAAGCTTCGTGAGCGAGTCGTTTTTTCGTTCGATGAATTTAATCATTCTTTCGTTTGAAGGTAAACCAAAAGTTGAAGGCAAACCAGTTGATCAAACAGTCAGTGTTGAACAACCAGCTGTTTTAGAATGTACATTCTCCGGATTTCCAAAACCTGATGTCACTTGGTTCAAAGATAATGTTCCTTTGACTTCTACACCTGACAAACGTATAGAAATTCGTGAAGATAAACCAAATATTCATTCACTTCACATTAATAGTACACAATTAGATGACAAATCTATTTATACATGCAAGGCGAAAAATCGTTTTGGTGAAACTGAAGCTAAGATTAATCTTAATGTTAATTCTATCAAACCAACCATTGTTCAAGATTTGACTGAACAACAAACTGTTGAGAAAAGCAAACCTTTAGTCTTACAGGTTCAAATTACTGGCACACCAACACCAACGATAAAATGGTTTAAAGGAAACGAAGAAATTCTACTAACAAACAAGGATTATCAAATTACTTTTGATAATAAACAGACGTATACGTTGACTGTACCATCGTGTCAACCCGAACATCAGGCCGAATATTCGTGTCAAGCAACAAATGCCGGTGGACAAGTTAAATCGAAAAAAACAAAAGTCACTGTGCAAAAAGTACCAGAATTCATCAAAAAACCAACAGATCAAGTCGTTAAAGAAGGACAACCGGTTGTTTTTGATGCTCAAGTCGATGCTTATCCACAACCAAAAGTCACTTGGTAAGAGCGATAAATTTTCATATTTCTAATTTTTATTTGTCTCGTTTACTTTTAGGTTACGCAATGGAAAACCATTAACACCTGATCTTGGCTTTGAAAGTCAATTTGATGCTAAAACAGGTCAAATAACATTGAAACATAAATCGAACACGACAAAACAAGCTGGTGAACTTGTATGTAGAGTGGAAAATGCAGCAGGAACAACGGATGCTTCGGTGACACTCGATGTACAAGGTAAGAACAAGTAGTAGATAAAAGTCGTTACAGAATGTATATATTATTTGACGTGAATCCAAAGGTACACTCTGTACAATAAACTGTATCAATCAGACTATTCTCTAGATCTTATATTCATCATACTGTTTAACATAAATCAGTTTACGTTGATATTCTCTGATAGAGTTTATAGTAAATTTTCTAAACAATATTTTTGTTACTTCAGCTTTACCGGTAATTACGAAAAAATTAGTTGATCAAGAAGTTATGGTTAACAATGAAATTCGTTTTGTTGCCGAAATTACGGGTAGTCCTCAGCCGACAATAACATGGCTGAAAGATGATCAGCCTCTTAAAGCAGATGATAATCATATTGTACAAACCGAAGGTAATTCTCAAATATTAATCATTAAAAATGCAAAATCTACCGATGAAGGAAAATACAAAGTGGTGGCTGAAAATTCATTGGGACATGTTGAAAGTCAAGGAACACTTGCTGTCAATGAAGAACCAATGATTGATCAACCATTTGGTGATGTTACATCGCCTGTCGGTACTGATATTCATTTGACATGTAAACTTATTGGTGGTCGACCAAAAGCTCAATTAACATGGTTGAAAAATGGGAAAGAGTTCAAGGGAGACGATCGTCATGTGATAACAATGCCTGATGAGAAAAATGGTGGTATTTGTGAATTGTTTATCAAGAGTCTTGATGAGACAGATAATCAATCGAAATATACATTAGTGGCTAAAAATAAATGTGGTACGAAAGAAATTCATTCAAATATCACGGTGAAAGCACCGTTAGAATTCACTCAACCACTAAAAGATCAGGATGTTTTATCGCAATCAAATGTCATACTACAAGTAGAAACAAATGGAATACCAAAACCAACTGTTAAATGGTAAGTAATCCCTTAATCTATTGAAATTTTTTTCCCATATAATTATGATGAACAAATTTTTTGTTTTTTAGGTATTTTAATGATCAAGAATTGAAAAATACACCGAAGACAAAAACGGAGACAAAAGGCAATGTACACACATTAACATTAAATAAGGTTGATTTACCAGATGATGGTATTTACAAAGCGGTAGCTACAAATCCGGATGGAACTGTAGAGACAAAAGCACATGTTTCCGTTTGCAGTAAGTTGAATATGAAATTTAAACCTTGATTCAACAAAACATTGTTACTCTTCGTCTTTATTCTAGCTAAACCAAAAGTAGAAGGAAAGGTAACTGATGTGACAACGACAATTGGCGAAGGTGCTGAATTAAAAACAAAATTCAGTGCAATACCAAAACCACAAGTTACATGGTACCTAAACTATTCTTCATATATTATTACTTTTCCACATAAAGTATCTTATTTTAGGTACAAAGAAAAGGATACTACACCTCTTAAACCAGATGCCAACATTGATATTGTAGAATTAGAAGATGGCACATCGATATTGAAATTTAAATCCACTGATCTTATCAATACTGGTGCCTACATTGCTAAGGCAGTGAACAAAGTTGGTGAAGTTGAATCGAAGATATCTCTAACTGTCAAAGAAATAAAACCTACTATCTTAAATGATTTAACAAACGTCACTGCTAATCGAGATGAATCAGCTACATTCACATTAAAAGCAACGGGTAAACCCAAACCACAAGTGAAATGGTTCAAAAATGATGAAGAAATTCTACTAACAAATCAAGATTATGAGATAATAGTTGATGAAACGACAGATACCTATTCATTGAAAGTGAAACAGTGTAAACCAGAACATCAAGCAGATTATTCAGCAGTGGTGGGAAACACAGGAGCAACAATCAAATCGAAAAAAGCCAAATTAATTGTACAAAGTAGGTTACTTTTTTTTTTATACATTTAACTAGTCTCTTAACATTTACCTGTTGAACTTTAGAAACTCCGGAATTTGTTGAAAAACCTACTTCGTTAGATGTCAATGAAAATGGATTGGCTGAATTTCGTTGTAAGGTTGATTCATATCCAAATGCTAAGATAACATGGTGAGTTTTAACATTATATTGTCTGAATGATTCATTAAAAATTTCAATTTTTGCATAGGTTATTCGATGGTAAGCCAATAAGTCCAAAAGAGGGTTTCGAAGTACATACAGATCAAGCAACGGGTACATCGGTATTAACCATAAAAACTGCACTACCAAAACATACAGGAAAAATAACAGTCAAAGCTGAAAATCCAACAGGAACCATTGAAGAAACTGTACAGTGTTCCGTTAAAAGTAAGTCTTAATAAATAAGTTTAGATGATAAACTAAACTATTTTCTGATTATATTAGCTGGTCCAAAGATTACGAAGAAACCAACTGATACAGAAGCATTACTTCATACCGATGCCGTGTTTTCCATCGATGTAGCTGGATCACCTAAGCCACAAGTAGAATGGTCAGTAAAATATTTTTTGAATGCTGAATATATTTTTTCACTATGTTAAATGAAATATATTCAAAAATTGAGCTAAAAATTCTTTGAGTTAGTAAACGTAAATAATATTTTAGGATGCATGGTGATAAACCTGTCAAAGCATCTCCCAAATATGAAATAGTTGAAGAAGGTCTCACAACGCACAAACTAATTATTCATGACATCACACCGGAAGATGAATTGCCGTTGAAAATTAAAGTAAAAAATGAGCTCGGTGAAACAGAGACGACTGTTAATCTTAAAGCACTTGGTATGTAATATTTATCTTCTTCGCTACATTGTACATGTAGATATTTTTTTCTTGTTTAGAAACTCCTCGAATTGAACCACAATTACCAACTGATCAAGAGGTTCTTTTGCATGAAACATTAACATTGAAATCAAATGTATTTGGTCGTCCAAAAGTTGATGTTCAATGGTTGAAAAATAATCAACCTTTGCAACAAAATGATCGAATAAAAATTACTCGTACGGCAGAAGATGAATGTCAATTGACTATAACCGATGTCAAAGAAGAAGATTTGGGAGCGTATACATTATCAGTTAAAAATAAAGTAGCAAAAACAGATTCAACAGCAAACATCAAAATAACAGGTAAAAAGAAAAATTGTGTTCTTATCCAATCGTTTTTTCGAACAGTATTAATAATAATCACTCAAAATATAATCTTTGATATTAAAACTTGTACCGAATGACAGAGAAAAAGAAGTCTTGTTTAGTTATGAGAAGTTAAATATCTCTTTCAAACTTTGAAAAGTGATGGAGCTTACAATTTTCTACTAACATGTTCCAAGAATTTCAAGTTTTTGAAAGGATAGAAAAGTATTGCTAAGGGCTAAGATATCGATTCTACTACAATAACAATTATATTATAAAATTATTCGCATTTAGCTCCGTTGAAATTTAATACAACGCTCAAGGATTTGGATATTGTTCAAAGTTCAAATAGTGTTTTAAGCGTTGACTGTGACGGTGTTCCAAAACCAAAACTAACATGGTGAGTGTATTTTTTATTCTTATTTCTCGTTGTATGCTTGAAAAATTAAATAAATTTTTTTTGTAGGTATTTTAATGATCAAGAGATTAAATCAAACCAGAAAACACGTATCGATACAAAAGGCACAATAAGTACATTAACAATAAATAAAGCAGATTTTCCCGATATTGGAACGTATAAAGTAGTGGCTGACAATGGAAAAGAACGAGTCGACACACAAGCGAATGTTGATGTTTGTGGTATGCTATAGAAGGATAATTTAAGAATTACAATTTTTACTCTCTTATCATTTCTTTTTAGTTAAACCAAAATTAGATTCGAAACCAGTAGATGTTACTTGTCTAATTAATGAAACGGCAAAATTATCAGCAAAATTCTCAGCTGTACCTGCTCCAACGGTTACATGGCATAAAAGTGATGGTACACCCGTTGTACCCGATGATCGCATTCAAATCATAACAGATGAAACTGGACTATCAACGTTGACTATTAAAAATAGTACAACTGGTGATTCGGGACCATATTTAGCCAAGGCAACAAACAAAGTCGGTGCGGTAGAAGCCAAAATTAATCTAGCTGTCAAAGGTAAGAAGACTATTATAGGAAATTAACGATGTATTTTTAATTATTCATTTTAATCTTTTCAGAAGTAAAACCAACTCTCAAAAATGATCTTCAGCCACAAACAATTAATGTTGATGATGAACTTATTTATCGTCTTGCTGTTGATGGTCGACCTGCACCCACCGTTAAATTTTTCAAAGACGGTAACGAAGTTGGTCCTGTTCTATTAGAAGAACATGATAATCAATTGACAGCCGTTTTCCGTGTACCCAAAGCTCAAGTGACTGATCAAGGTGAATATCAAGCATCTATAGAAAATCCAGCTGGTGTTATTAAGACAAAGAAAGTCAAAGTAACCGTACAACAAACGCCCGCTTTTTTGAAAACGCCTGATGATCAATCGGTAAGCATAGGAAAAGAAGTAAAATTCGAAGCAAAATTATCCGGTGTTCCCACACCAAAAGTCACGTGGTTATTAAATGGAAAGCCTATTCAATCTAATGCCGATTTTGCAGTCACTTATGATGCGAATACTCAAACGGCCTTGTTTACTATTAAAAAAGCTGATGCTGATAAACATGCGGGAGTAGTGACCTGTCAAGTTGAAAATGCAGCGGGTAGTATTACTCATGATGTAAAATTAGATGTAAAAGTTGGTCCACAAATCACTAAACAATTGAAAGAGGAGAGTGTTATTATGGGACAAAGTACTGTTTTAACTGTAGAATCTGTAGGAAATCCATCACCAACAGCACAATGGTTTTTTAACGATATACCAATAGCAGCCGATGATCAACGTTACCAAATAATACAAAGAGAAAATGTATTTGAATTGAAGATTAAAGATGCTAAATCAACAGATGACGGAAAATTTAAAGTTGTTTTAACAAATACAGAAGGAACAACAACATCAGAAGCAAAATTAAATGTTCATGGTATGTTTCTACTTTTTTGAATAATTGGTGTTTGACTTCCTTAAATATGAACAGGTGTTTATTTCAAATTATTCAAGAACAAGAACTATGTCACAGATATTCTCTTGATAAGATCAATATTATACCAACTTTTAGCAATAGATAGATATCTCCACAAAGGTCTTTCTCTTATCTGAAATACCATAGTACATATAGTATTTTAGGTTCTTGTGTAAAGTCACGCGTATGATTAAAAACGAGTGTCATTATATACATAGTTGTTACCTTGTGCCGATCGTCATTTGCATAATATATTAGTGCTATCAGCTTAAAGAATGATTTTGTTCTTGTTTATTTATAGTTCCACCTACCATCGATTCATTATCACCCAAAATTGAAGCTGTTGCGGGGAGTGAAGTAGTTATTTCATGCAAAATCAGTGGTCATCCACGACCAGAAATCACATTCTTAAAAGATAAAAAAGATGTTACACTCCTAGATGATAAACAACGTTATCGAATCGAACATGATGGAGACCAAGTACGACTGATTATTTCTGATGTCAAGGAAGAAGATCAAGGCAAATATACCGTAAGAGCTAAAAATCCAGCATCAACAATCGAAGAACAAACTGCATTAGTTGTAACGGGTAAGATAAATGTTTATTTTGTCTAGTATATTTTGCTAAAAATATCTATCAAAGTTAATTTTTTAATCTATTTTTACTTTCTTTTAGCTCCATTACAATTCACTGATAAATTAACTGACATTGATATTGTAAGCGGTCAAAATTTAACTCTCACTTGTCGTTGTCAAGGCATACCAAAACCGACTATTCAATGGTTTCAAAATGATATAGAAATCAAATCATCTACTAAACAAAAGATCGAATCGAAACCTGATGGTACTCAAACTTTGACCATAAATCGTGTTGATCTTACCGATGGTGGTCAATTTAAAGTTGTTGCAACAAATAAAGATGGCACTACATCGACTTCCTGTCTCGTTGATGTTGTCATGAAACCAAAAATTGAGTCAAAACCCCAAGATACTAATATCGTTATCGGAGAACAAGCGACATTATCTGTCAAACTATCTGGTATACCAAAGCCGAAGGTTGAGTGGTTGAAAAATGGTGTTCCAGTTGATATTGATAATAAACGAATTCAAGTAGTAGAAAAAGATGATCAGTATTCGTTGATTATTAATGATACGAACATGGAAGATAAAGCAGCTTATACTTTAAAAGCAACGAACAAAGCTGGTGAAGTAGAATCACCAAAATTAAACTTGAATGTTACAGCTGTATTACCAAAAGTAAAAACAGATCTTCAACCGACATTGAACGTTACCAAAGGAGAACCATTAGTATTGACATTGCAAGCCGATGGAAAACCAAAACCAATAGTGAAATGGTTTAAGGGGGCTGAAGAAATTATTCCCAATAGCGAAAAAGGAATTGAGTGTATAGAAGAAGGCGATAACACTTATAAGTTAGTCGTGAACAACGCAACAGAAAAAGATATTGGAGAATATAGCGCTATCATACAAAATCATGGTGGACAAGTCAAATCCAAAAAGACAAACGTCACTGTTACAAGTAAGTTGATAGAGTTCATTTCTACTATAATTTATTCCAAAATACGAACTGTACTTTATTTAGAATCGCCTGAATTTATTACAAAACCGAGTGATACCACTGTAAAACAGGGTGAAACTACTACAATCGATTGTCGAATCAATGCATTACCATTGGCTAAAATAACTTTACTCAAAGATGGTAAAGCACTTACACCCAAAGATGGTATTGAACAAACGTTTGATCAAGCAACACAACGTCTCGTTCTGACTGTAAAAAATGCTCGTGTTGATCAGACTGGTGAATTTACCTTAAAATTAGACAACTCAGCTGGCTCAACAGAAACTGCGTTTAAACTTAATGTTACCTCTGCTCCCAACATTGTCAAAACGTTGACCGATCAAGAATGTTTATTGGGCAAAGATGTTAAGTTGACAATTAGTGCTGCGTCTAGTCCAACACCTACAATAAAATGGTTTAAAAACAACGTTGAACTCAAAGATGACGAAAAGCATATAAAAATAGTTAAAGTCAGCGAAGAAACATATGAATTAAATTTGTTAAATGTTACGGTGGATGATGAAGCGACTTACAAGTGTGTTGTTAGTAACTCATTAGGTGACAAAGAAACACAAGCAAAACTGACGGTCGTTGAGCCGACAGATTTAGTTTGTGATTTCACTGATCAAACAATACAAGTTGGTCAACCGGTTAAACTTGAATGCCATGTCAATGGCAGACCTCAACCAGGTATGTTTATCATTTTTATTATTTTTCTATCATATTTTATTGTTTTTAATTTTGTTATTTAGAAGTGAATTGGACAAAAGACGGAAAAGAATTAAAACCGTCGGATCGTATTGAAATAACGAAAAAACCTGATGGCACATGCACATTACTTATTCATAATGCCACGCCAGAAGATAAGGGAATATACAAAGTTATATGTAAAAATAAATTACAAACAAAAGAAGCTCAAGTTCAACTGAATGTCACATCACCATTGAAATTTAATGCTCAACTCAAAGATACAGTTGCACAAGTTGGAAGTAGTGTGACGTTGGAAGTCGATTGTGAAGGTGTACCAAAACCGACTGTTAAATGGTATGTCATGTTTCGTATATTCAAGAATGAGTCTTATTTATATTTTTCATTTCTAGGTTATGTAACGGACGTGAATTAACGGCATCACAAAAAGTTAAAATGGAAGCAAAAGGCAATAGTTACAAATTAACAATACCAAAAGTAGACATTGGTGATGCAGGCACTTACGAAGTGATTGTCGATAATGGAATCGAAAAGATCAGTGGGAAAGCACAATTAGATGTTTGTGTTAAACCAAAAGTTGAAGGTAAAAATACTAGAACTTTTACATGCCAAATTTTATGTTTAGAAATATATTAAGAAAATTTTATTTTGCTTGTTTTAGGAAAGCCCGCTGATGTCAGTTGTAACATTGGTGAACAGACAAAATTACAGTGTAAAATAAGTGGTACCCCAGCTCCAACAGTAACTTGGTATGTGCAAATTTTGCTAGAAAGAGAATGTATAATGCAATCTTGTCTATTTTTTGTAGGTTAAAAGACGGTGCACCGCTTCAGCCATCCGATAATGTTACACCTGTTGAGGAAAACGATACTTATTCACTTGTATTCAAAACAACTGAGCTGACAGATAAAGCAGCGTATACTTGCGTTGCCACTAATATCGGTGGTACAACTGAAGTCAAAATGAATTTGAACGTCAATCTAATTAAACCTACATTAAAAACTGATTTACTTAAAGATATCGTTGCCGCGTCGAATGAGCCATTGCGCCTCACAATAAAAGCATCAGGTACAAAGCCGAAAGTTCAATGGTTCAAAGATGGTGAGGAAGTTATTACCACCGTAGAAGAAGAATATGAAATTATTGAAGAAGAAGAAACTTATACATTGTTGATCAAACGTGCTCAACCTAAAGATAGTGGAGAATATCAGGCGGTTATTTCAAATCCAGCTGGACAATTGAAAACGAAAAAGATTAAAGTTAACGTGCAAAAAGCAGCTGAATTAAAGAAAAAACCGCAACCTGAAGTGACCGTTAATGAAGGTGAAACTGCCACGTTCGACTGTGAGTTTGATGGACATCCAACTCCGAAAGTGACGTGGTTGAAAGATGGTAAACCAGTTAGTCCAAAAGATGGATATGAAGTGAAAACGGATACGGCCAGTGGAAGAAGTCAAATTGTTATTACGAATGCAACAGCGAAACATAGTGGTCCATTAACAGTGAGATTAGAAAATCCTGCTGGACCTGCTGTCGAAGAAACAGTGCAATTGAATGTTCAGGCCGGACCACAATTATTGCAAAAACCAAATGCAACATGTGAAGCTCATCTGAATCAAGATGCTGTTATCACCTTTAAATGTTTGGGAACACCAAAACCCACTATTCGTTTATTCAAGAGTGATGTTGAAATCGATGTACTACAAAACACTGCTCACTATGAAATTACCCAAACAAGCACAGATACATTCGAAGTCCGTATTAAAAATGTACGTGTAGATGATGAGGGTCAATACAAGATTCGAATTGAAAATTCTCTTGGTCAAGTGGACTCCAATGTAGTTCTGACCACTGTTGACGATTGCCGAATACAACCATCTAAAACGCCTATTAAAACTGACTTACAAGCGCATGATACATTGACAATGGAATATGTGGTCGATGGTCGACCAAGACCCGAGTGTGTTTGGATGAAGGATGGCAAACAAGTTAAACCAGATGCAAAAACTCAAATTACCTATGATGAAAAAACAAATATTTGTCAACTGGTGATAACTGATGTAGCGCAAGAAGATCAAGGAACATATCATTTAATAGCGAAAAATAAATTAAACAAAGCAGAAACAGAACCGATAAAAATCAATGTGACAGCTCCGCTAGTTATTAAAACAAAACTACCAGAAACACTAGATGGAGTAGTGGGAGAAAATGTAACACTGACAGTTGAATGTGATGGTAGGACACGTTTTTATATTTCTTAACTTTGAGAAAGTTGTAATGAATTTTTTTTCTTCTTGTTTATGCAGGAATCCCACAGCCAAAAGTCCAATGGTTATTTAAAGGTGAACCACTGAAATCTTCTGTAAAACATAAAATTGAAAGCAAAGATGGTAATAAATTAAACACTTTAACTGTGTCAAAACTGGATGTTACTGATATGGGTCAATATACAGTAGTAATTGACAATGGCATCGAAAAAGTGACATCAGAATCTACACTTTATGTTCATACTAAACCGAAATTAGAATCGAAACTTGAACCAAATATGGCCTTCAATGTAGGTGAGACAGCAACAATTCAAATGAAAGTTAGCGGTGAGAATAATCAAATTAGTTGGTACAAAGATTCCGTCGAGATATCCGTTGATCAACGATATCGAATAACCGAAGAAAATGGACTTTATACATTAACCATTGATGACTTGAAACCAGAAGATAAGGGCACGTATTCGTTAAAAGTAAAAAATAAAGGTGGTGACTTAGAACTTAAAACAAATATAAATGTCAAAGAAATTAAACCACAACTATTAACCGATTTGAACGACTCACCAGCCGCTAACTCGGCTAAAATTGGTGAAGAATTTTCTTTAGAGATAAAAGCAGGTGGAAAACCACGACCTCAGGTACAATGGTTGTTCAATGGTCAAGAAATGCATTCGTCCATGGAAGAACGTATAGAAATTATTGAAACAGAAGACACATATCGTCTTGTATTTCGATCGTTCGATGCTCGATTTGCAGGCGAATATCAAGCCGTTGTACAAAATGGAGGTGGCATTTTGAAAACAAAGAAGATTAAAGTCACTGCTCAACGTAGGTGTTTTTTTATTTAGTCATGTTTAACGATAATTTTCGATGATTTTTCCATTTTGTAGAAGTTCCACAGTTTACGGAAGCTCCGCCACAACTCGTTACAGTTAAAACTGGAGAAAAATTATCAATTGAATGTCAAGCAAAAGGACATCCGACACCAAAAATAACATGGTAATATACTGACACTGAGTTTTTATAAAACAATTTGATGAATTTAATTCTATTTTAGGCTTCGTGATGGTAAAGTACTTACGGTGAAAGATGGTTATGAAATTAAAGTTGATCAAACCACTGGAATTTCGTCACTGATTATTGCAAATTCAACAATAAAACATGCCGGTGCTTACGAATGTAAAATTGAAAATCAATACGGAACACATTCGTCAACAATCATGGTCGATGTACTCGGTATGTTTTTACATCATTTTACATCTGTTAAAATTGAGATTATGTAAATTGTTTTACATTTTAGCACCACCCACTGTTCAACAAAAATTACAAGATTTCGAAATTTTACGTGGTCAAGAAGTGACAATAACTGTTACAGCAGATGGTAGTCCACTACCTACGTGCGTATGGTATCACAATGATAAACCGATAGAAGTGAAAGCAGATCGAGTGATCATAACGGACGATGGACCAACACATATTCTAAAATTATTAGATGTTGAACTGGCAGATGATGGAGTTTACAAAGCAGTTATAGAAAATCAAATGGGAAAAACAGAATTAGTTAGCAATGTTACAGTTATGGGTAAGTGTTTAACATATATATATTCTGTATGTGATTAAATTATATACTTGATATTTATTTTTCTAGATGTTCCTGATGTCTCTTCAGAACCGGTTGATGTCAGTGTTCAACAAGGTGGTTCATGTACAATGGAATGTACAGCAAATGGTAAACCGCAACCACAAGTTGTTTGGACAAAAAATGGCAAAGAAATTAAATCAAATGATCGTTTAACGTTGGAAGATGAAGGCAATGGTGTACATCGTATAGTAGTGAAAAATGCTCAAGCCGATGATGCCGGAAAATATGTGGCTAATGTTAAACATAAAGTTCGACAACAACAAATGACATTCAATGTTACAGTTTTAGGTATGTCATGAGATTCATTTTAAAGTGTTGAATGAATTTGCTGTGATCGTTTGTTTTATCTCATATTGCATGTTGAAGAGTGCGCACAAAATCTTATAATAAGGTAAGTCAGATGATATCGAGCAAATATATGGCTCAATTATAGTAGATGACTTTCATTACAAGATGTTAATAAGTAATTCAGTTTTTTCAATGTAATAAATGAGTTTTTTTTAACTATCTTACTGTCGAAATTAATGTTTTAGAAATAGTAGTGTTATGTTTAGTTGATGCATGTATTGTACTGTTATTTTTCTTTTTTGCGTATACGATCAATGCATGACAGTCATATTATACATCATTGTCGAAGAAAAGAACAGAACAGAAGAGAATTGAAATTAGTGATGGTAGCAATCGCATGATTACATATGATCATCATTGGACAAATGCACGAAGATGCTCGAACGTAGAATTTATTACAAAATTAGTATAGCAATATACAATATTAAAATATATACAAAACAAATATCAACAAATATATTCGAATAGTAAAGATATTTCGTTTAGAACATAAAATAATTAATCACACATCAACAATGACAAGTACAATAATCAATTTAACAGGATTAAGTACGTTTATTTTTTATTCATTTCTATCTTTTATTACTCTTTTATCAGTTTTAAAGAATACCGTCTGTATGATCTTATTTTCCTAAGGAACTAATTGGTCATAGTTTTATATTAACAAAGAGCATAATTCGAAATCTATTATCCTAAGTCATATTGTGTCTAATTCTACCCAAGCAAATATCACCTATAAGAAAAATCTAGATACATTTTGTCTATAATCGGGCGATGCATGATAACTTGTCATCTAGATTACTAGTTGGAAAAGGGACTTTTAACCAGATGGCGCATCTAGCAATAGTTGAATCAATCGATTATCGGGCGATAAATCGATAGTTGCAACTAGAAAAAATCTAGTAATCGCTTTGGTACTAGATTTCCACTGTCGTTATACAATAGTTGCAATCGAGTAAAAATCTAGTAATCTAGATGAATCGGGTGATACTAGATTTTTTTGACGCTTGGGCTTATAATGAGATTGAGAGTACTCGTTAAGATGTGTGAAATAACTTTAGAGTAATAATATGATACAGACGGAACTTCTTTCATCTTCTCATTTGTTGATTTCTACTCATCCATATTGACTTGTGAGAATATTTAATCAGAATAATTTAAATTTGTATTTTCAGATCGTGAACAACAATTACTGCAAATTCAAACCCAATTACGTCCTCTATTTCTTCAATTTGGTCATCAAGATATTCCATCCTCATTGTATAATCTATTATTTTGTACTACCAATGATTCTTGTTTTCAGACACCAAATGATCAACTAACGGAATGTCAACGTCTTCTAACAAATCTAGCCAATTATTTATTTACTAATTCACAACGAAAAATGGGTGGAGGAAAACAACCATTGAGATATAATTGGCCTGATGTAATTAAAATTATTTACCAAATACGATTTCCACAAATAACTTCAACAAAAATTGAAGATTATATCGATGGTTATTTTGTACAATTAACTGATATTATACGTTATTCTAAATAATTATTATTATTTCAGCTACTACCGAAATCTTCTCAAATATTGTTTTATTTTATTATATCATACAAGTGAAACAAGATGTTTTTTCTTGTCATTTTTGTTTTTCTTCGTTTTTTTCTCTTGTAATACGAATAAGAGAAAAAATCAAGGAAGAAACAGTTAATTTTTGGATTCTCATCGATTTTTACCAAATGAATAGTCACCGGAAATGACTGGAAGTCATTAGAAATCACGGATGATCACTGAGATTCACTGAAAATCAATTGATTTTGGGTGATTTTCGTTAGCTGTTTCCTCCTTGGAAAAAATACAATTGTTAATTGCAATAGAGTATGTAAAATTCGGTATGTTATTAATTATATCCGAATGAAATAATATTACTTCAATTTTTTTTTGTACAAAAGTTGATAATTGTGTTTTGTCGTTGAAGTGAACGAATATTTTTACTTTATTTATCATACATATGTCAAGAAACAGTTATTTCATATTGAGTTTCGTACATAGTTTGAAGTGGTATTGTTTTTGTGTGCATATCGAGAAAGAAGAGTCGAAGCACAATATGTCATTCTTTTCATGTGTTAAGTTTAACCGCTCATCTCATACAAATATTTAAAACAAAAACATGTTTTGTTCGTGTTGAATATTGCGATCGTGTAGCTTTTTAAAAGCATGTAAATGTTAAATAGGAATAGACTGTGGGGATTGTCAATTTATAACTATTCTTTATAATGTTTACTTCCACCTTCACTTATCTCCATGATTTTGAAGCCAATATCATATAGAAAATATGATATTGGCCGCTCTCACTCTAAGAAACGGAGTTTAAGTCTTTTTCAACATTCTCTTAGAAATATTAAGCAGCACTAGTAGATGGATGTTCATGTAGATCAATCCGACAGAAAAACAAGCTTCTAGTTGTGGTGAGTTAGTCCCAATTACTTACCCAGGGAAAGAAGATCAACTCATCTAGAAGACTACTGTATAGTTTCAAAATCCCAAGTGGATTTTATTTACAATAACAGAGTTTTCTAACTTCACCTAATGCCGAATAAATATTTCTCTATTCTATTTAGTTTGTGTTAAAAGAAATTGCGTAAAAAAAAATGTATAATAATATGGAATTTAGATAACTTAGAAAAGTAAACTATTAATCGTCTTTGATAATATCACAAGTACCAAAAAATGTAAATGAATTAATTGTAAAAGAAGATATTTTAATTCATGGCGATATGCTTTATATATTCAAAAATTTGACGTTTTTATGTTGCTTAGGAAATTCGTTAGAACTTCTCTTATTTTTTTTCCCCTCCAAAATGCGTAATGTAATTGTATTCTATCTATCTTTCTTCTATCTATTATAACTTCATTTATTCTTTATATCTATCAGTGTAATTTATACTATCAATCATCATTATTCGTTTTTCCATTCTATATTACGAAATAAAAACTATTTTTCTACCCATGGATCAACAGGAACATGTACAATCACATGTTTATTGCAAAAATAATTGTGGATTTTATGCATCAATGCAGTACGATGGTTATTGTTCAAGTTGTTTTCAACAGCAGATAATAAAGAACAATGACGAAAAACGATCTACTGTTTCGACAATTAATCAAATATATTCTCCTTCTGTAGTAGTAATACAACAACAAGATGGTATTACACCCAATGAACAAATAACTCAAAAACGTAAACGAGAAAATAAGCAACAATATAATCGTTGTGAAAAATGTTTAACAAGAGTGGGTTTAACTGGATTTGAATGCCGATGTGGTCAATTATTTTGTTCAAAACATCGTTATCCAAACGAACATCAATGTACATTTGATTTTAAACAACATGATCGAATGAAACTACAACGAACAAATCCTAAAATAGTAGCTGATAAAATAAACAGACTATAATTGATGATGATGATTACTAGAGTTTTTTTCTATAAAGTTCTGCAAAAAAGAAAAATAATAACATTTTTTTTGTGGTGTATGAGAGTCAGGAAGAAATATCATCGTGCTTTTTTGGCTTCAAAATTGGTTTATTCTACTTAAATCACCATTTAAAATATTGCTTTGCAGATCACAAGCATGATACCCTGCACGTTCAAGCCCTAACCTGCTAAAAAAATGCAAAGGTCTGTTTATTTTTTATTAGTTAATCTATAAAATCTCAAATTATCGCTGCTATTTTCTTGTGTTTAGCTCCTTTGACAATCAAACAAGCACCGACCGATACTATAAGTGTTTTGCAGAGTCAAAATACAACAATTTCCTTGGAAGTTGATGGTTTACCTAAACCAGATATAAAATGGTATTTTAATGATACAGAAATTACTCCATCAGCTAAACATAAATTTGATGTCAAACAAAATACGTTCACCTTGAATTTAAATAAAGCTGATTTTAATGATTCTGGAACATACAAAGCAGTTATTAATAATGGGATTGAAACTCTTGAAGTACCAGTCAGAGTAAACGTTGGTGGTAAGCTGAACAACTAATATATGTTAGACAATGTCTCTTATCTTTGAACTACTTTTAGTAAAACCGAAACTCGAAGGTGCAAAACCACAGGTGGACGTTGCTTGTGTCTATGGAGAAGACGCTAAAATGCAGTTTAAGTTTTCTGGCGTTGAAAAACCAACTGTTCAATGGTAAAGAATATTTAATTCTTTCAACAGCTATTTGAATCCTCTCTTACTTTAGGTATCGAAATAATGTTCCAGTTGTACTCGATGATCGCACAATTATTACCGAAGATGACGATGGTACAACAACATTAACTGTTAAACAGACTACCCTGGATGACAAGGGTCTCTACATAGCAAAAGCAACTAATTCACTTGGTGAAGTTGAAGCCAAAGCAAATTTGAATATTACAGGTGAGAAAGCTTACTTCTACATGCATATAGCTTAGATTTTCTATCCTCTTGCTCTTTACAGGTATAAAGCCAGTGTTAGCGACCGATGTCGAGCAAACGGTTCAAGCTGTTAAAGGTGAATCGTTCACAATCAAACTACAAGCAACAGGTACACCGTTACCACAAGTGACCTGGATGAAAGGAAATGATGATTTACAACCAAATGATCGAATCTCCATGCAACAAGATCAGGATGGCTGGTTCACACTAAAAATTGATAACTGTTCCCCAGAAGATATTGGTGAATATACTGCTAAAGTAACGAATGTACAAGGAACATTGAAGAGTCAAAAATGCAAAGTCAACGTAACAAGTAAGTTGATGCAAACCACCAAAAACGAATAGTATATCACACACAAGATTTACGAAACCTATCCCTTCCTTTTTCTTACCCGGGAGACCGACCAACCTCCAATAAAACTACCGCATTCCCATTCCACACACGGCGCTTCTAAAACAGCCATGATTCCCATCTATTCAATGACTTCAAAAATCTCCACCACAGGAATCGGAGGCATCAAAGCACTTCTGATACAACAAAACACACACCAGCACCTCCACAAGAAAATAAACCGTGTCATCAGTCGCCCACCCAAACAAATTAATTAATAACTAAATCAAAATTCTCTAAAACTAAAACTCTAAAAACTCTCTCTTTCTTCTACTCTAGAAACACCAGAGTTTAAAACAAAACCGAGTGGAGTCGAAGTAAAACAAGGTGAAACAGCTCAATTTTCAACGACTGTCGACGGTTTTCCAGTGCCAAAAGTAACATGGTTATTAAACGCAAAACCACTGACAGCCAAAGATAATGTACAAATTGAGTATGATCAAAAAACGGGTGAAGCCAAATTAACGATACCCAATGTTGATATTGAGCGTCACAGTGGACAAGTGACATGTCGTCTCGAATCACCATTGGGCACACAAGAAGAAACGGTGCCATTAGACGTATTGAGTTCACCAATTCTATCGGGAAAATTGACGGATCAAGAAACGATTGCAGGCAAAGAAGTTACAATGAAATTAGGTGTCAAAGGTTCACCAAAACCTGACGCCAAATGGTATCGTAACGACGTCGAAATACCTGTGACAGATGAGAATTATCGACAAACTGTTACGGAAACAAATGAATATCAATTGACAATTGTGAATCCAACAGTGACCGACAGCGAAGGGCGTTATTATGTTGAAATGAAAAATCCATTAGGTGAAATAAAGTCAAATGAATGCACGATCACGGTTCTCGAACCGAGTCACATTCAAATGTTATCCGAAGAAGGTGATAAACAGCTGAAAGTGGGTGATACGTTTGAACTTGAGTGTCAAGTGACGGGTAAAGAGGTACCGAAAGTAACATTTTACAAAGATGGCAAAGAATTGAAGCCGGCTGCTGATCATGTGACAATCGATGCGTCACCCGATGGCAAATACAAATTGACCGTGACGAATGTGAGACCGGAAGATTTGGGTGCCTATAAAGTTGTCGCCAAAAACAAGACATCAACAGACGAAAAATCGATTAATGTCAATATTACATGTAAGTGGCGTGAAATGAAATATTTTTCTCCCTTTTCAATAATCTGCTTCACTTTCAGCACCATTGAACATTGTTCAACCATTATCCGATCAAAATGTTCTTACAGGACAAAGTGGCATATTTACAATAACATGCGATGCGTTCCCATTACCAAAAGTGACTTGGTAAGACGAGATGTTCTTAAACTAGTCATTTTTCTACACTTTCCTTCTTTACGTTCAGGTTCTTCAATGATGTCGAATTAAAAAATACGCCAAAAACAAAGATTGAAGCAAAACAAAATGTTTACACTTTAACCGTGAATAAATGTGATACGGCAGATGTTGGTACATATCGTGCGTTACTCGACAATTCCATCGACAAAACGGAAAATACGGCCAAATTAAATGTGGGCACAAAACCCACGGTTGTCGGTAAGCCACAAGATCAACAAGTACAAATTGGTCAAAGAGCACAACTACAGGCACAATTTACCGGTACGCCAATGCCAAAAATAGAATGGTCAAGAGCAGATGGTCAACCGTTACCTGATTATATTGAAATACAAACAGATGAAGCCAATGGTACAACATCGTTGACGGTGCCAGAAGCTAAAATTACGGACAAAGCGAGTTACGTAGCACGAGCAACAAGTGATTTTGGTGTCATTGAAGCAAAATTAAATTTGGACGTTAAAGGTAAGAATTGCACGCGATTCTTTTCAAAAGTAAATCGAATTTTTTGTTGCGCTAAAAACCTGTATGAGTAGATAAATGGATGAGTGAACAGTTTGACCGTGTTAATAAGTGAATGTTTGCAACTAACAAGCGAGATGAGAAACATTCGAGCATTAGTTAATAGTTTTCGCTGTTCAAAGTCGATAGAGGATGAAAATAATTAGTTTGATATTTAGTCGATATCTAATTGTATCTGCTTTTAATCTCATGGAGTCTTGCTTAATGCGGTAGAAGGTAGCGCGTTTAACTGTACGTTTTTGTGACATTGCGTTTCGTCGTTCTTTTTAAAGAAATAAAACCGACAATTGTACGTGATTTGGATGCTGCATTGAATGCAACAAAAGGTGAACAAATGACACTATCATTAGAAGCTACCGGCAATCCTCAGCCAACGGTGAAATGGTTTAGAGGTAATGATGAATTGGTGCCAGTTGAAGGCCAAATACAAACGACACAGTCAGATGATGGTAAAACATATACGTTAACAATTCTCAATGTACAACCTGATCAACATATTGGCGATTATTCAGCAACAATTCAAAATACAGGTGGCATGGTGAAATCAAAACGCATCAAAGTCAATGTGACAAGTATGTTATTTTTCATCTTAAATGTATAGATATTTTTAACTTATAATAGGAAGTTTTCGATACTGAGTTATCTTCTTCCTCCAAGCAGCTAAGATTAAAACTGTGAGCATTATTGATTATAATTATTATTCGTAAACGATTGTTAGTGCGAATAAACGGTTCATTATTCACTAGAAACAAACGAATCTAATACCTGTGGATGTAGAACGGGACGGATGTTTTGATACTCAAGTACATGCAGTACATTTAGAAGTTTCGGAATCCATTTAAAAGAAATGCAAAAACTAATCCTAGAGAACTTTGCTCATTTAAGTGCTAACTTCAAACAGAGCAAATGAATGAAGATATGAGTGGTAACATTTCCTTCATGTATGTAGTTTATTAGATGAAATGATACCACACAGTATGCAACATCATTCTTCTTTCTGCCATTGCATTTTATTATCATCATTCGATAGAGAATAATAAAAAGTTGTTAAATTTCATTGGTTGTCTGTTTTATTGACTTAGTGAACAAGTTGAATTTGCGTTTGTTTCAATCAAAAATAGAATCTCAATAGGAAAATTGAGCGATACAAAGTATTATTTTGTTCAATAGGATAACTGTCTTTTAAAAAGCATCTATTTTGATAAAGATTGCCTCCATTGGGAATGATATTAGCAGCAGAATTATTGTTAAACTGTATACCCTATCGAGATTGTTTTTGAGCCAGTTCAGTTGGACAATGAATGCGCTAATAATAATCTTGCTGACTTATAACTGAGCTATTTTACTAAAGGATAATGAATATTGCCGATATTAATTTCGCTGCAGTCGAATATAAAAGTTTTCTCATCAACCTTTTTCTGCTCATAAATATCATGCACATAATGCGAGTTTAACGAAACATTTTCTTGCTAAATTAGATCCATAACTCTCTCTCTCTTCTACTCTAGAAACACCAGAGTTTAAAACAAAACCGAGTGGAGTCGAAGTAAAACAAGGCGAAACAGCTCAATTTTCAACGACTGTCGACGGTTTTCCAGTGCCAAAAGTAACATGGTTATTAAACGCAAAACCACTGACAGCCAAAGATAATGTACAAATTGAGTATGATCAAAAAACGGGTGAAGCCAAATTAACGATACCCAATGTTGATATTGAGCGTCACAGTGGACAAGTGACATGTCGTCTCGAATCACCATTGGGCACACAAGAAGAAACGGTGCCATTNTTAATAGTTTTCGCTGTTCAAAGTCGATAGAGGATGAAAATAATTAGTTTGATATTTAGTCGATATCTAATTGTATCTGCTTTTAATCTCATGGAGTCTTGCTTAATGCGGTAGAAGGTAGCGCGTTCAACTGTACGTTTGGTTTGAAGAAAAATGCCTTTTGTGTGTATTCTTTGTTTGGCTTGGTGGAAGGTGCTTTGAGGATGTTTGTGCTTTAGGCTATTAAGTTTGCTATTTTTAGAAATAAAGCCGACGATTTCACGAGACTTGGATGCGTCTCTTAATGGCACAAAAGGACAGGCGCTGGTTTTGAGTCTGGAAGCATCTGGCAATCCTGTGCCATCCATTAAATGGTTTCGTGGTCAAGAAGAGCTGGTAGAGGCAGAGGGTGACGTTAAATTGACACAGTCGGAAGATGGTAAAACGTACTCGTTGACATTATTGAATGTTCAACCAAAAGATATTGGAGAGTATTCGGCAACGGTACAAAACTCTGGTGGGATGGTTAAAAGTAAAAAGTGTAAAGTCAACGTAACAAGTAAGTGTTGCTGAGTTTAGCGAGCTTTTAAAATTGCATCAAACCTTTGCCATTTTCGTTTAGAATCACCTGAGTTTTTACGACGTCCCGATGATCAGACTGTTGCTCAAGATTCAGCGGTCGTATTGGAAGCGGAAATTGATGCTTTCCCGGTTTGTAAAGTAACTTGGCTTCGTGATGGCAAAGCGTTAACTCCCAAGGAAGCTGGAGTTGAAGTTCAGTCTCAACCTGAGAAAGGTCTTTTTTCATTGCACATACCAAAGTGTGATACGGTCAAACACATGGGTACAATTGTTTGTCGTGCTGAAAATGCTGTCGGAAATGCCGAACATTCATTCTTATTGAATATTAATACCGCACCGACAATAAAAACAGGATTGAAGGACACCAATGTTCTCAAAGATCAAGATGTCACATTCACGTTGGATATCCAGGGATATCCACCACCAACACTAACTTGGATGAAAGGGGATATTCCTATTGCCCAACCGAACGATAAATACATGCCAAGCGAAGATGGAAAAACATTGACAGTTCGCAATGTACAAATCGAAGATGAAGATGATTATAGTGTTCAGATCAAAAATGAACTTGGAGAAGTAATAAGCAAAGCTAAATTAAATTGCTTCAGTAAGTACCTACCCCATTCAATATCAATTGCACGATTCTGTCTATTACTAATGACTTCTATATTTACAGTCCTACCCGATATTAACCCTATGCTTGAAGACAAGAACGTTTCTGTACGCCAAAACATCGATTATACGACAACGATAACCGGTCGGCCGTTTCCCGAAGTGCAAATATTGAAAAATGGTAAAGAACTGAAACCAACAAATCGCATTCGTATTGACATTAACGACGATGAGCATTCATATAAATTATCGATCGATGATATACAGGGAGATGACGACGCCACTTACACAATTAAAGCTAAGAACACAGCAGGTGTTAAAGAATCATCGTCAAAAGTCACTGTTTCACAAGCATTGACATTCTTGAAACAGTTGCAAGATGAAAACGTTGTGCAAGGACAACCAGTCACCTTTATCTGTCAGTGCGAAGCAATACCGAAACCGAAAATAACGTGGTATCTCAACGACCAAGAGCTGAAACAATCATCGAAGATCAAATTCGAAGCGAAAGGCGACGTTTATTCAGCACAGTTTCAAAAAGTCGATTTGATAGATTCAGGCACATTGAAAGTTGTCGCCGACAACGGAGTGGATCATGTTGAATCAACGGCCAAACTAAATGTGTGTTTGAAACCATCTGCTGTGGGAAAGGTTCAAGATGTACAAGTCAATATAACGGAGCCAGCTCGGCTTCAGGCAGCTTTTACCGGATTGCCGATGCCTAAAATCGAGTGGTCGAGACAAGATGGACTACCTTTGCCCGAATACATCGAAGTTCAAACGGATGAATCGAGTGGAACCAGTGCCCTTGTGTTCTCAACAACAGCGATAGACGACAAAGGAGCTTATGTGGCCAAAGCATCGAACGTAGTAGGAACAGTAGAAACAAAAGTGACTTTAAGCGTAAAAGGTAGGTGTTGAAAATGTTTGCTCGTATTGTATTGTGATTGTTTTCATCTTTCAGAAATTAAACCGACGATTTTGCGTGATTTGGATGCAGCTGTGAATGCTACGAAAGGACAACCAATGACGTTGACGTTAGAAGCAACTGGAAATCCAAAACCAACTGTCCGATTTTTCCGCAATACAGATGAGTTAGTGCCCGCTGAAGGACAAATTGAACTCAAAGAATCGGAAGATGGTAAAACTTATACGCTGACGATATTAAGTATGCAGCCAAATCAACAAGGAGACTATTCAGCAACAGTTCAAAACACGGGTGGTGTAGCGAAATCGAAGAAATGCAAAGTAACTGTTACAAGTAAGTTATTAATCATTATTGTTTTTTGGTTGGAAATAGTAAGCCTTTGTTGTTTAGAATCACCTGAATTCGTACGAAAACCACAAGATTTGACTGTTCATGAAAAAGAAGAGGCTGTTTTTGAAACTGAAGTTGACGCATTTCCATCAGCGAAAGTCACCTGGCTACGTGATGGGAAACCTTTTACAGTAAAAGATGGTGTGGAAATGCAATCGCAAGCCGATAAAGGTATCTACACTTTGCGTATACCGAACTGTGACACTGCCAAACACATGGGTACAATCGTGTGTCGAGCCGAAAATGCAATTGGAAACGTTGAACATCCACTTCAACTCAACGTTACGACGGTACCTGTGATCAAAACACAACTGAAAGATTTAGAGATACTTCAAGGACAAGATGCCACATTCTCTATCGATGTCCAAGGTTATCCAGTGCCAAAAGTAACGTGGAGTAGAAATAATGTTGCAATCGGAGAACAAAACGAGAAATATACATGGAGTGAAGATGGGAAACAGTTTGTTATTCACAACGTGCAGATTGATGATGAAGATGAGTATGGTGTCAAAATTGAAAATGAGTTGGGTGAAGCGACAAGCAAGGCGAAATTGTCATGTTTGGGTAAGTTTTGCCCCAGTTTGGGAGATATATTCACTCAGTCGAATTAGAATTTGTTGATCTACGAAGGAAAGCATTTGATGCGTCCAGGATTTCTGTACGCTGCTTTTCCTTTGTCTCCTTTCCCACTGATTTTCGGATAGCGGTGTCTATTCAAAGTCAAATGCATTATTTCTTTGTCTATAGAAGACGATCTGCTGTACGATAATGAAAGTGTTTGTTATTGATTGGTGTGTACACGTGATCTTCCTTATTCGAAAAACCTACAAGATTTGTTTATATGTTCATTTTGTAACTCTTGGTAGTAAGGAAGATGCTATTTTTCGTTATTAAAGTCGTTTATTACACGTTAATTTTCCTAACCATGGCATTATAACGTAACTTTCCCCACTAGTTCAAACTAAGAATGATGAGAAATAGATGCTCAGCTACCTCTATAAAGTTAGAGAAGTCATGTATGATATTACAATATCTACCTTACAAAAAATGTTGCTTTTCAGAATACAGAACGCTGTAAGCCAGTTTTAAACCATAATGGCTACCAATATACGAAAAACGTGAAAATGAAACTTGTAGCGAATGGCGATGTCGTTTCTGATCCAAAAATCAGTAGTCGATTTGCACCACCTAAATTTTCAAATCCATAAAACACGATATTGTCAGGAATACATGTTTATTACTTCCAGTTATTCTGCATACATGTATGATTGGTTTCTGGTGAATAGTTGATTTGTTTTGTGAACATAACGAGACTAAACTAGTGCATTTTTGCTCACGATATCGTCATTCATTACAAGTTTTGCTTTCACATTTTTTCGTATATTGATATTCACTATGGTTTAAAACTGGTTTACGCGTTCTCTAGCTTCGAAATGCAACCTTAGGGTAGATTGGAAACTAATTATTGTAGTATCATACATGGTTTCTCTAACTTTATATAGGCAGTCTCAGCTATCTATTTCTAATCATTCTTAGTTAGGACAAGTGAGGAAAATTAAGTTAGGAAAATTAATAGGCAATAGACGCTGTGTGGTACAAAAAAAGTGGTATATATTAAATGAATCGAGAACAGACGAATTAAGAAAAAAATTTATGGGCCAGTTGAGAAATCAATTAGGGCGAATAGAGGCTAAACCCTTTTTTCTCGATACACTTTTCCTGATTTTTCGTTACATTGAATCAAGAAAATTACTGTATACTGTGTTGATGATAGTCTGTTATTTGGCATTATGATAACGATTAAGGAAATGGATTGATTTTATTTATCTCACACTATTCAGTGTAGTTTTCTTATTTCCTTCGAACGATAATTACTCTGCTATGTACATATGTGGTTTTCAGCTACTTTTGTAATATATTGAGACAAATTTATTTGATATATTTGATGCTATTTACATAATTATTTAGGCTGAATCCGCAAATAAAGAAGAGATCTGTTGAATTTTTTTGCAGAAAACTTTGATTTTTAATAAGCTTTTCCTGTTCTAACGAGTAAGAACCAAAAAAATGTTTTGAGTGAAATAACGGTTTTGTCCGATAGGATACCTTTATCATGCCTACTTGTGAACTTTGCATGCTGTTCGCTCAAAGGTTCCAGTGAACATTTCTTGTTGTTATATACTACTCAATCAATATAACCAAAAGCATCCAGATTTCTAGTGCTGCTAGTTAGTTTTTGAAAAGTCGTTTGAAAGACGGCTTTTCAGAAATCCTTGATAAACCTTTCGTCTTAATATGTAAAGAAGTAGTAACATACATTTAATTCTGGCTGCTTTTCGTCGTAAACAAAACTTCAAGGTTCGTTTGTTCATAAGTTTTTTCTGAATGCTAGGACTCTTTGCGATTTTTCTAGAGAATAATTTCCAGAAAAAAGCTCAAGTCAGGCTAACAACCTGGAGACCTCTATTAATCCATAAAACAAAGTATCTGAATCATTAGATTAAGTTTTACAGCAGACAGATCCCTAAACTCAAACTTTTTGAAAAATAGATTTCACTGCGCTGTCTATCGTATAAAAATGAAAAGCATTACAAGGTTCATTCTTGTGTGATTCAAATATTAAAAAACTCAAGTACCCTCCTGAGTCAAAAAACACCTCACAAAGTTATATCACGTTTTTTCTAAGCTAAGATATACAACGCTATAAGCACAGTGAATATGACCACGCTTAAAAGCCAATAAATAAAATCACAGAACATCCCCGAACCATCCCATATTGTTGTTAACAGAATACTGCTATTCGCGTAATTTTCAGAAAAGACAGATAAGCTTTCATTTTACTTCTTATAATTCAGTAGAGAGGACTTATTCTAATCATGTGAAAGTCATTAGCGTCAAAGACTTAACCAAGCCACACGAAAAATTTATAAATTAAAGCTTCTAATCACTTCATCAAAATCAACAGTTCAAATAACATTTTCGATGTTCACTTCTTTCTTCAGTATTTCCCGATATTCAACCAATGCTTGAAGATAAAAATCTTAAAATTCATGAACCAGTTGAGTATTTAATAAAAGTAACCGGTCGGCCGTTTCCCGAAGTGCAAATATTGAAAAATGGTAAAGAACTGAAACCAACAAATCGCATTCGTATTGACATTAACGACGATGAGCATTCATATAAATTATCGATCGATGATATACAGGGAGATGACGACGCCACTTACACAATTAAAGCTAAGAACACAGCAGGTGTTAAAGAATCATCGTCAAAAGTCACTGTTTCACAAGCATTGACATTCTTGAAACAGTTGCAAGATGAAAACGTTGTGCAAGGACAACCAGTCACCTTTATCTGTCAGTGCGAAGCAATACCGAAACCGAAAATAACGTGGTATCTCAACGACCAAGAGCTGAAACAATCATCGAAGATCAAATTCGAAGCGAAAGGCGACGTTTATTCAGCACAGTTTCAAAAAGTCGATTTGATAGATTCAGGCACATTGAAAGTTGTCGCCGACAACGGAGTGGATCATGTTGAATCAACGGCCAAACTAAATGTGTGTTTGAAACCATCTGCTGTGGGAAAGGTTCAAGATGTACAAGTCAATATAACGGAGCCAGCTCGGCTTCAGGCAGCTTTTACCGGATTGCCGATGCCTAAAATCGAGTGGTCGAGACAAGATGGACTACCTTTGCCCGAATACATCGAAGTTCAAACGGATGAATCGAGTGGAACCAGTGCCCTTGTGTTCTCAACAACAGCGATAGACGACAAAGGAGCTTATGTGGCCAAAGCATCGAACGTAGTAGGAACAGTAGAAACAAAAGTGACTTTAAGCGTAAAAGGTAGGTGTTGAAAATGTTTGCTCGTATTGTATTGTGATTGTTTTCATCTTTCAGAAATTAAACCGACGATTTTGCGTGATTTGGATGCAGCTGTGAATGCTACGAAAGGACAACCAATGACGTTGACGTTAGAAGCAACTGGAAATCCAAAACCAACTGTCCGATTTTTCCGCAATACAGATGAGTTAGTGCCCGCTGAAGGACAAATTGAACTCAAAGAATCGGAAGATGGTAAAACTTATACGCTGACGATATTAAGTATGCAGCCAAATCAACAAGGAGACTATTCAGCAACAGTTCAAAACACGGGTGGTGTAGCGAAATCGAAGAAATGCAAAGTAACTGTTACAAGTAAGTTATTAATCATTATTGTTTTTTGGTTGGAAATAGTAAGCCTTTGTTGTTTAGAATCACCTGAATTCGTACGAAAACCACAAGATTTGACTGTTCATGAAAAAGAAGAGGCTGTTTTTGAAACTGAAGTTGACGCATTTCCATCAGCGAAAGTCACCTGGCTACGTGATGGGAAACCTTTTACAGTAAAAGATGGTGTGGAAATGCAATCGCAAGCCGATAAAGGTATCTACACTTTGCGTATACCGAACTGTGACACTGCCAAACACATGGGTACAATCGTGTGTCGAGCCGAAAATGCAATTGGAAACGTTGAACATCCACTTCAACTCAACGTTACGACGGTACCTGTGATCAAAACACAACTGAAAGATTTAGAGATACTTCAAGGACAAGATGCCACATTCTCTATCGATGTCCAAGGTTATCCAGTGCCAAAAGTAACGTGGAGTAGAAATAATGTTGCAATCGGAGAACAAAACGAGAAATATACATGGAGTGAAGATGGGAAACAGTTTGTTATTCACAACGTGCAGATTGATGATGAAGATGAGTATGGTGTCAAAATTGAAAATGAGTTGGGTGAAGCGACAAGCAAGGCAAAACTAGGTTGTCTTGGTCAGTATTATGCCAAAATTTTTTCATTAGAAAATCTTCAGTGTAAATCCATGTGATATAATTTGTCTTTATAGTCCCACCGAGTATTTCACCCGCTAGTGTTGATGACCACGTTGCAAAGCGTGGTGATGAATTAGAGTTTATATTTGAAATCGATGGTCGTCCGGAAGTTGATGTTGTATGGCAGAAAAATCAAAAAGATTTGAAACCAAATGAGAATCCTAATTGTATTATCGATAAAGATTTGGAAAAAAGAGCGTATTCGTTGAAGATTTTAAAAGCTGACGCTGATGATCAAGCGAAATACACTGTTATAGCTAAAAACAAGGCAGGAAAAGCTGAAGTATCGATTAATGTGATTGTAAAAGGTAAAAATTATCAGAATCGCGATTTGATCCCTCTGGTTAAATGACATCCTTTTTGCTGTATCTTTTCAGCTGAGCTGCAATTTACTAAACCACTGGTTGATATGGCTACCGTAGTCGGACAACCAGTAACGTTTTCATGCGAGTGTTTCGGTTTGCCGAAGCCAACCGTGACCTGGTTTTTGAACAATGATGTTGAATTGAAATCCACAGCCAAATACAAAATTGAAGCAAAACATCCTGTGCATACATTGACATTAAACAAGCCCGATTTGATTGACGTGGGATCGTATCGTGCTGTGGCTACAAACGGAGAACAAACAGTCGAATCAACAGCAACTCTAGTCGTGCAAGGTATGCATGCTGTAAAGTACTGCATTCTTCATTTCCTAACCTACTTTTCTTGCCTCTTTTAGTCAAACCAAAACTAGAGGGTAAACCTGTTGATTGTTCGCCAATAATTGGAGAACCAGCAAGAATTCAATGTAAATTCTCTGGTACCGCTCCTTTCACAGTTGTATGGTAAATATAAACCTTTGAAAATTCGTTTTCTATTTAAGGATCGTTTTTTCTATGTTTAAGGCTAAAAAATAATGAACCACTTGAGTTACCAAATGAAAATATCGAAGTAATTGATGAGGTGGAAACGGGTATTCAAGCATTATCATTCAAAGTAACCGATATCTCAGACAAAGGGTCTTATACTGTTCAAGTATCAAATAAAGTTGGACAAACAGAAGGAAAAATGACGTTGGCTCCAAAAGGTATATAATGATACTTTTGTGTAACTCACTAGGTAATTCTTATTCGGGCTATTTCAGAAATAAAACCAACAATTTTAACTGATCTCGAAGGTCAAACAGTGAAGAAAGGTGAACAATTAGAATTGATTATTGTTGCTGATGGTAAACCACGTCCTCAATGTAAATGGACATTAAATAATAATGATCTGAAACTTGTTGATGATCAAGTTGAATCTATTATGGATGAAGATGGCAAAACTTATCGCCTGAGAATTCGATCTACTCAACCAGAACATATTGGCGAGTATTCGGCAACATTATCAAATGGTGGTGGAAGTGTTAAATCAAAAAAAGTAAAAGTGACGATTGAAAAAGCACCAGAATTTTCAGATAGTGATAGAGTGAAAACAGTGAAAATTATCCAAGGTGATGATTGTTTATTGAGTAATCCAATCGATGCATATCCAGTACCTAAACTTTCATGGTGAGTTTCTTCACAATAATTAACATTAGAAATATCCATTTGATTGCACAACTTCAATCGTTATGCGACATATAGACTAACGAGGGCACTTTCTTTAGTGCTCGATCGACTCTTAGATGAAAGACATTCAGTTAAAGGTTATTTTTGATGATAATTATGAATCTGATATCCGTTTTTTTCCCATAATTCTGCCAAGTATCGTCCTTAAAAACATGATTTATAGAGTTTCATCTCGATACAGTTTGTAGAGAAAGTCGGATTACATGCATGAAAAAAACATTTAGACCTACTGGTGAAGTTCTTAGCAATAAATAAAAATGTTGCTGTAAGACAATCCCTCACATTTTTGGTATTTACCTACTACAAGAAGAACTGAAATTTTAAGAGACAAAATAGATATCAGATTCATTTCCATTTGTATTCTGGGAGAATGGAGTCGAAATTAGATTCTATTTTCGTCTTATTAATGGTAAGTTAATGCAAAATGTCTATATTTTTATTTCATAGGACACGATCGGATGGAAAAGTATTATCTGATAAAGATGGCTATGTCAGCGGATATGATACAGATAAAAATGCTGCTATTTTATCTATAAAACAAGTACAAAAGACTGTTCACGAAGATGATTATATCTGTCATGCACAAAATGAATTTGGTACAGCTGATGTGACAACAAAATTATTAGTTTTAATTCGACCTACTATTACACGACCATTAGCCGATACACAATCTAGTGAATTTGAACGTTTTATAGTTGAAGTTGAAGTTGAAGGTTTTCCATCACCAGTAGCCACTTGGATACGAGATGAAACTGAAGAAATAACATCATCCAATAAACAATTTACAATTGAACAAACGGATAATACATATCGATTAATTTTTAATGAAACTCAAATAGATCAAACTGGAACATATGGTATTAAATTGAAAAATGAAGTTGGTGAAGTAGAATCACAAATGAAATTGACAATTACTGAACGTCCAATAGAAATATCAAAACCATTGGAAGATCAACGTGGTATTGAAAAAGACTCTGTTACATTTGAATGTGTATTTACAAAACCTGTTCCAATGATCAAATGGTACAAAAATGGAATATTATTAGATGAACCAAGATTTATGCATATTGGAGAAGCAAATCAACGATATTTTAAACTGGAAATTAAAAATTTAAATCTTGATGATAGTGGTGAATTTGAATGTGTTTATGATGAGAATACAAGATCAAAAGCAAACTTGATCGTTGGTGGTAAGATAAATTGAATTTTTTAATTTTAGTAAAATGATATTAAATTATTTTGTATATTTTAGAATTGCCAATTGATTTTGAAAAACCATTAAGTAATCAACAATTAACAGAATATGATACATTGAAATTAGAATGTATTGTAACAAAACCAGGCAAAGAAGTTAAATGGTATAAAGATGGTGATTTAATTGATGAAAAATCAGATGCTCGTGTTCGCATTGAAATAGATGAGAAAACACATCGTCTAATTATTGAAAATATGTCACCAAATGATGAAGGAAACTATGGTAAATAATTAATTTTAAATATATTTTTAATATGAAAAGATTTTTTTATGAACAATCTTCTATATTATCTTTTTTAGATGCAATGACAATCGATCGAAAAAGTTCTGCTTTTGTCGGTGTTAAAGGTAAGAATATAAATGTTTCTAGTGTACCAGTCGAACATTTGATATTGTTGAATGACTTTTCAAAAGAGAGGAACTATCAATTCTACTGGTTTTTTTTCACTCAATTCAGAGGACATTTGATAATTATCTCTAAGATTATTCAATTTGAAAGTTAAATAAAACCATTATTTTATTTTAAATTGATCTCTTTGTTGTCCATTTTAAACTAAATTTGAGTATCAACAATAGTTATTGAAAAGATTTAGATGATGAAAACTGATTTTCAACCGTATTTAGTCATGAACTATCTAATGTAGAAACGACGTATAGAAACGGGACAAGAGGAGTATACCAACTCATGAAAAAAAAGAGTATGTTTTCTTAACCCTTTCGGGACCGGTGACGCTTTAAAGCGTCATTAAAACGTCAAAAATCGGAATAAGCCGTGTTTTCCAAAACTTTCTTTTGAAGAAACGCCCCTCAAAATTCGATCATAATCAAATTTCAAATATATCATCTTACGCAGTTTTTGACGCTCTACCTTTTGATGTATAATACATTTGAATAATATTTAGTTCTGAGGTAGAAATCTAAGTTTTTCCGAAAATTTCGGTCCTTCTCAGTAAAAGAGAGCTTTGAGTACGAAGACAGAATCGAAAGTCAAAAATGTTTTTGTCAGTAGATAGCTCTTGAAATTCTCTATCGAGACATTGCCATTTGAATTTTTTTGTCAAAAATCTCTTGGTTAGGAAAAACAAAATACTGAAGATGCGTTTTTTCAGTGAATTAATTCTTGAATGATATTTTCACATATGGTAGAGTTTAGTGATAGCTTTCTTTTGACAAAAGAATGAAGTCTCTATCTGTCAGGGAAGCCGAGATACTGCAAAAATAAAAAAGGCCTTAAACGTTTGAACAGTACTGTATATATAAAAATTAAACCGGTCTCGAAAGAGTTAATACTGAAAAAATCAAAAAAATCAACATGAATTCGATAGTTTTCCGAGATATCATAATCATCACAGTTGTGAGGAAATTCAAACGGTGAAAATACGTTTCTATTTATAATGGTCATTTTGTTTACAAAGGATATTTCTTAACAGATAACGTCTGCTTTACGTTTAAAATATTAAAAAAAGAATATTTATAGACCACCTAAAAGATATTTTATCTGATATCTACATTTGTGATCATTGAAGAGAATAATGTTCATTACAATACAAAGATTGATACACTAATGTGAGAATTGTCCTATCTAGAAAAAAACCTATCACTAATATCCAAAAAAAAAAGTATTTGTTAACACACAATTTGTTATTTTATTTAGAAATTCCTGTTGAATTTACTCGTCCTCTGACTGATATTGAAGTCGAAGAGCGTACACCTACTATAACATTAGAATGCGAATGTAATAAAATTGTTCTCGTTGAATGGTTACGTTTTGCAACTGTTTTGACACCTTTTACTGATGAAAATCGTATTATAATCGAACAAGATGAACATGTTCATCGTTTAATTATTAAAAATGTACAAATGGATGATGCAGCAACATATACATGTCGATATTCTACTGATGCTCAATCATCAGGAAAATTACGTGTTACAGAATTACCTGTAGCTATTGTCACACCTATGACAGAAGAACAAACAATTACTGAAAATGATGATTTAGTACTGACAGTTGAATTAAATAAACCAAATGTTCAAAATATTATCTGGTTAAAAGATGGTCAAGTAATTGATATTGATTCACCTCGTTTTAAACGTCTTGTTCAAGGTGAAAAATATAGTTTAAAATTGGTGGATAGTAAATTAGATGATCAGGGACGATATACATGTAAAATTGGTGATCTACTTGAAACATCGACTGTTGTTCATGTTAATGAATTACCAGTATATTTTACTGAACAATTAAAAGATCGAAAAATACTGGAAAATAGTGAACAATATCATTTTGATTGTGAAATAAATAAAGAAAATAAAATAGCCACATGGTATAAAGATCAAGAACAAATTGTGTCTGGAGACGAGTGTAGAATCGCTGTTAATGGTCGAATACATTCACTCGTATTTTCTACTGTACAACTCAAACATCAAGGACAATATACAATTAAATTTGATGAAAATATAACATCAACTGCTAATCTTACTGTTGAAGGTAAATTGAATTTCTATAATTTCAATTAACTATTATTTCTAAGTGTTGATATTTTTATGATTAGTCGTTTTTTATTCGAATATCCACAACTTATGATTATGCGTTATATCATCATAATCTACAACTTTCAAAGAGTACTGACGTATCAGGGCTTTTGTCTTTTATTTATATCTGACATTTTCATCGCATTATGCGATGAAAATTAATCTAAAACGTAATGTATAATGTAGTCAGATAGTAGAAGAATAGAAATATCTCTGGAATTGTATATCAAATATTTCATCTATATAAAATGTCTTACTCGGTAATTAATTAAACTAACTAAAATGTATTACTTATTTTAGATGCTCCAACTGATTTCGATATCGGATTAGAAAATGTTCAAATTCTTGAATGTGAACCGTTGATATTGGAATGTATATTGACAAAAGATCGTCCAGATGACGAAATAAAATGGTTTTTTGATGGAGAACCCTTAGAAATTGATCATGAAAGAATAAAAGTACAAAAAGTGGGTCCTATTGTCAAACTAACAATTGATGAATGTAAAATGACAGATGAAGGACGATATATGGCGGAAATAAATGGAAAAACAAGCAAAGCAACAGTCACTGTCAAAGGTAATATATTTTATTTTTAATAAGATTATATTTGTTTTTACTTTTTTATTTTACTGTTTTTTGTTTATTTTAGAAAAACCATTGAAATTTGTTCGAGAATTAAAAGATATTGAAATTAATGAATGGGATCGTTGTGTATTTGAGTGTGAACTAAATAAAAAAGATGCTGATTGTCGATGGTTTAAAGATACAACAGAATTACGACATGATGTTGATAACGGACGTCTCATTGAAACAGATGGAAAAGTTAGACGTTTAATTTTGGAAAAAGTAGAAATAGAAAACGAAGGAGACTATGGAATTGTGTGTAATAATCAAAAATCATCGGCAAAATTAAAAGTTATTGGTAAGTTTGTACTATTTAATGATATAAGATGAGTTTAACTTTTACACGCTCTATTTCCACTGTTTTAGAATTGCCTTATGTGTTTGTTACGCCGTTAGTTGATCAAGAAGTAGTAGAAAAACAACAATTTCTTCTCGAATGTGAAACAAATAAAACATTAAAAGACAATCAGTGTGTTTGGACAAGAAATGGTGTTGTACTCACTCATAATCCTGTTGAAGGTATCCTCGTGAAAACTATAGATAAAGTTCATTCACTGACAATTTACGAGAGTAAAATGAAAGACGCTGGACGATACGTTTGTACTATTAAACAATCGCAATCATCATGTGAAGTTAAAATCAAAGGTAAAATCAAAGTCAGATGAACAATTATTGTTAATTAGAGTTTTTAATTTTTTAATTGCAGAAGCTCCAGTTGAATTTGTTCGCTCATTAGAAGGTGTAACGGTCACGGAAGGTCAACCGATGAAATTAAGTTGTACACTAAGTAAAGAAAATTGTGATGTAAAATGGTACAGAGATGATGATGAAGAACCAATTCAAGTTGGTGGTGAAGAAGAAAGTCGCTATTCAATAACAAATGATGGACGAATTTATCGATTAGAAATTAAAGAATCAAAAATGGATGATGCAGGAAAATATACCATCAAAGTCGAAGATAAATCACAATCATGTCAAGCTGTGGTCACTGGTAAAGAAAACTATATATCATCATTGATAACAACATGTTATGTTTGTTTACTCTTTTTATTTTTTTAGAAGCACCAATCGACGTCGTCATTCCTCTTAGAGATCAAAAGTGTTTAGAAAACACAAAAGAATTTGAATTTTATGTTGAACTTAATAAACCAAATGTGACCAATGTTGTCTGGAAATGTGATGAAGAACCTATTTTTAATGATGAAAAATATTCAATCACTTCTAAAGGCACAAAATATAGTTTGACGATTAAAAATGTTTCATTAGAAGATGAAAAAATGTATTCAGTGCAAGTTGGTGGTACAAAAGCTAAATCTCAAGCTGATTTGACTGTCGAGGAATTAGAACCAGATTTTGTTGGAACACTAACAGATGTTGAATGTTTTGAAGATGCTGATGGTGTATTTGAATGTGAATTAACAAAATCAAAATGGAAAAAGACAGGTTTACCGATTATCTGTCGATGGTATAGAAATGTGGAACGAGAAGTACGACCAACAGTAAAATATTCGATAGAACGATCTGGACCATTGCACAAATTGATTGTACATCGAGCAGCTTATGAAGACGATGCTGAATATAGATGTGTCATTGGAGAAAAATTTATCAGTGCAAAATTGACCGTTAATGGTAGATTAATAATTTATTATTCAGTTTTTTATTTATGAACTTCTTTTTTTTTGTCTTATAGAAATTCCTGTTACATTCACTCAATTATTAGAAGATGTTACTTCAATTGAACGTGAAACTGTCACTCTTCAATGTGAAGTATCAAAAACTCACTCGACCCGTACCGAATCGGAAATACCTATTCAATGGTATCGTGATGGTGTTAAAATGGTCGCTGGTGGACGATTTGAGATCACAAAAGCAAATAAACGTCAAACATTGAAGATAATTAATTTGAGTTTAACTGATGCGGGTGAATATTCCTGTACTGCTGGTGGTGATAAAGGAGCTAAAACTGTAGCAAACGTAATTGTTGGCGATTTATCGGTGGAATTTACTCAATCGTTAACAGATAAAACTGTTTTGGAAGATCAAACATTGACGTTGGATTGTACAGTAAATCGAACAGATAAACCTTATCAATGGTATTTTAATGATCAACAAATTCATAGTGGTGAAAAATTTGAATTAACAAAAGAGAAGAATAAATTAAAATTGATCGTAAAAAATGCGCAAATACAAGATGAAGGACAATATTCGTGTAAAGTCGGTGACGTTAGTACACGGTGTAAAGTCGTTGTTGATGGTAAGTAGTGGAAAGAGTAAGATTCAAATATTGTACTCAATGATTTATCTTAATTCTAGAGGAAAAAGTTCGTTTCACTGAACGTTTAACGGATGTTGGCACGAAAGAAGGTGAAAAAGCCGTGTTTCAATGTGCCGTATCGAAAATGGCGTATGTCAAAGCAAAACGATCAGTCGATATTAAATGGTTACATAATCAAAAACCGATTGAAAATAATGAAAAATACGTATTAGAAACAAACGAAAATGTATTGAAATTAACAGTGAATGATGTTAAGACAGACGATGTGGGAATTATATCATGTTTTGCAGATGATGTTACTACTATGGGAAAATTACTTGTCGAAGGTTAGTATGCGATGAAGACATATATCACAAAAACTATAGTCTTACCTTTATTTCATTTTGTTCTAGAAACTCCCATATTTTTTGTGCGTAAACTTCAAGATCAAATTGTTACTGAAATTCCTGGCATGTGTATTTTTGAATGTGAACTAAATCGTCCTGGCGTCTCTGTTAAATGGCTATATGACAAGAAAGAGTTAGATCATATTAATGAGAGAAATGAATTTCACCATACCGATACTGTTTATCGTTTGAAATTATTCAATATTGATCCTACTTATCAAGGTGAATATGTTTGTGTTGCACGTGACAAGAAATCACAAGCATTTCTCAAATTACAAGTACCACCAACAATTACACAATTTCAAACAAATTCTAAATTAATTAAACGAGATCAACTGTTACAAATTGATGTCATTTATACAGGATGTCCTGAACCGACATTAGAATGGCAGTTTAATGGTACACCACTAAAACTAAGTTCAAGAATTAAATCGAAACGATTGAAATATGGACATGTACAATTGACAGTTGATGATACAAAACGAACGGATGGTGGAAAATATACAGTACTATTAGAGAACGAATTTGGAAAAGAAGAACGGGATGGAACCATTGAAATATTAGGTAAGAAACTTTGTTAATGTTCTTCATTCAGATATACTGAATTTCAATTTTAACGGAAGTTCAATTTTAAGAATAGCCTAGTGTATAGAGCAAACTTTTCTAAAAAAAATAAGAAAAGTATTGCTAAGAACGATGATTAAATAAAAAGTTATGAAAATGTATAGGAATTTGAATCAATTTGCTCTAATTTTAGATAAAACGAAGAATTTTCGAGAGCCTCAGTTAACTTTTTAAAATTCTCAACTTTAACTGTCTAACAAAATAAGGCAAAACTTTAAAAATTGACCTCAATCAATATTGAGTTCACTTAGTATTAGTAGACAGTTGAATTCTTTAGGTATTTGTTATCAATTAAAATTCTATTTAGATCGTCCATCCAAACCTCGTGATCTGAAGGCAAAAGTTTTGGATTCAAATGAAGTGGAATTGGAATGGACCGTACCTGAGGATGATGGTGGTTCCCCTCTGACTGGTTACTGTATTGAAAAATGTGAAGAACGACGTGCAGCTACATGGGATGAAGTATCAATTATGAGCGCTGATGAGAAGAAGACAGTTGTGACAAGACTACTCGAAGGTTCGAAATATCAATTTAGAGTTAGTGCCGAGAATAAATATGGACGAGGAGATCCGAATGAAACTGAAGAAGCTCTTCTAATCAAGTCACCATTTGGTAAGCGACAGAGTGTTTTAAACTTTTATGATATTATTCATGGGATTTACTTTTGTTTAAGATCCACCTGCGGCTCCTGATGCTCCTCTGGTTGATGAAATAACAGGTACAACATGCCGTGTTCAATGGTCACCTCCATCAAAAGATGGCGGTTCACCTATTACATCGTACATAGTCGAACGTCGTTTGAAAGGAGCAGCTAGATGGACAAAAGCTACTAAACAACCTATTCATGATACTACAGTGACCGTTGAAGATTTACTTGAGGGAAGTGAATACGAATTTCGAGTAATTGCACAAAATAAAGTTGGTCCATCACAGCCAAGTGAGCCATCACCATTAATTTTGATTAAAAATCCATTTGATAAACCCGGTGCACCAAGAGATTTAACAATAGCTAACATTGGAAAAGATTTTATTGAATTGTCCTGGCAGCCACCTCAAAAAGATGGTGGATCACCAGTGACATCATATGTTATCGAACGACGTACACCAGCTGTGTACAAATGGCATGTAAGTATTAAGCAAATAGACGCATTTCCTCACGCATAAAACCCGATGTTTTTCTTTCACTTAGGGTCCGCCTGATCCTATTGAAGGTACATCTACCACCCTTCGCGGTCTTCATACTGGCAGCAAATATGAATTTCGCGTGCGCGCACAAAATATCGCTGGTCTTGGCGAACCATCTGCTCCCACCAAAGAAACAGAAATCAAAGAACCGATAATTGGTGAAAAACCACGGTTCATCCAAGAAATTGAATCCATTACGGTTGTGAGTGGAAAGCCAGCCACGTTTACAGCGAGAGTGAAAGGTGATCCGCAACCCGATTACAAATGGACAAAAGGTGAAAAAGTGGTGGTTAAAGATGCAGAACGTTTAAAATTTGATGTCATGGGTGATACGGCAAAATTGATCATAACAGAATGTCAAGCAGGTGATGCCGGTGTTTATACGTTGGAAGCAACAAATCCACTTGGAACAATTGAATGCAATGCTAAATTAGTTGTGCAAAGTAAGTAACAAAATTTCATGCTGATCGAGCTTACTAATCTTGATTTTTTAGGTCCACCTGTAATTGTGTCATCGACACAATCCCCAGTGAATGTTACTGTAAATCAAGGATTGTATATATCATGTGAAATTCAAGGTTGGCCACGTGCCGAAGCAACATGGACAGTTAATGATGAGCCAGTAAGTGATCGAGCAAGAACAGAAATATCCGACACATTTGTAGCATTGTCCATATCAAAAACGAAGAAACAAGAGCAAGGGCGATATAAATTAAAACTGAAAAATCCAGCAGGTGAAGCGCAAGCATCCTTTGAAGTAAGCCTCTATTCTTTGTATATTTGCTACTTTTATCTTAATCCGTTTAATTTCACTTTTTTAGGTGAATGTACAAGATGTACCTGGTTTAGTTCAAAATCTGTCAATCAAAGATATTCAGGCTGAAGCAGCCACAGTCACATGGTTGACACCACTTGACGATGGTGGTACACCAATTACGGCTTACTACGTTGAATATCGCGATTTACGACGATCAAACTTTGTACGCAGTGAGCGTTTATCATCAGATAAACTGGATTATGAACTTTCCCGACTGACTAAAGGTTCAAAATATACCGTGAGAGTATTTGCTGAAAACAAAGTCGGTATGAGTGAACCTTGTGAATTAAAAGAACCATTTGTAGCCAAAAATCCATTTGACGTACCGGGTGCACCGAGAGATGTCAAGGTGGGTGATGTAACGAAATCATCGTGTCAACTTCATTGGTCACCACCTGCCAGTGACGGCGGGGCACCCATTCAAGGTTATGTGGTGGAAAGACAAGCAGAAAAAAGATGGGTTAAAGCAACACCAACACTTATCAAAGGAACATCATATAATATAACTGATCTAATTGAAGGTAGGTAGCAAAACATAGAAAATGACAGACGTATGTCTAAAGCACTTAAAGAAGTATGATATTAACATGTTTTGTGTGCTTTGTAGGTTCAATATATGAATTTCGTGTCAGCGCTGTTAATGAGGAAGGTCAAGGAATGCATAGTCGCGCAACAGAGAGTGTTACAATAAAAGATCCATATGGTAACAATAACTTTCTTCTTATTTTTACTTTGGTAAAAACTTCGGCCATTTTTTTCAGGTGTTCCAACAGTACCTGGCCCGATTGATATCAACGAAGTCACTGATACAACATGTACTCTAACATGGAAACCACCAATTCGAGATGGTGGCAGTCCGGTTACATCATACGTTCTTGAAATGCGTTTGAAGTCCGATCCAACATTTACTCGTTGCGAAACTGCTCAACCAATTATCGACTGTCGTTACACTGTTCCAGAATTACTCACAAATAGTGAATATGAATTTCGTGTGGCTGCACAAAATAAAGCAGGTTTAAGTCCTTGGTCACAAACGGATCATGCGATCATGATTCGTAAACCTAAAACAGGTAATGCACCCCAAATTACTAAATTTATCAATCAAACACAAATGGCAGGTGGGCAAGGAAAGTTCGAAGCAGTGGTGACTGGTGAATCACAACCAGAATGTATCTGGTATAAAGGTGGAAAAAAATTGAATACTGAACAGGCAACAAGTCGGTATACAAGCTCATTTGCTCAAGGAACAGTTGTTTTGTACATTAAAGAAGTCGAAGAACGAGATCAAGGACAATACACGTTGGAAGCACAAAATGACTTTGGTAACGATAGCAAACAAGCACAGCTGACTATTCATGCAGTCCCCAAAATTGAAATTGATGCGAAACATAAAAAACAACATATAATCACAATTGGATCGTCACTAAGAGTACCATTCATCTATACAGGATTACCAAAACCAGAATTAACAGTGGCAAAAGCCGATAGTGTACGTAATTAAATGCATTAAGGTTAAAAACGAAAATATGTAATTCTTCTTTCTTGTCGTTTAGGGTTCTGAAAATGAAGTGAGTGATAATGTTGGTCGTGCCACGTTAGACATATTTGAGAATACGGGTACATTTTTGTTACGACAAACAACTCGTTCTGATACTGGCTTTTATCGTTTACACGCTAAAAATGAAAATGGTAGTGCAACTGCTCGTCTCGAAATTGTTGTTCAAGATGTTCCATCAAAACCTGGTGAACCACTCTCGATAACTTCTGTTGGCAAAGATCATGTTGGTTTACAATGGCAACAGTCCGCAGATGATGGTGGTTGTCCATTAGTTGGCTATGTGATCGAAAAACGCGAAGATTCAAAATCAGTTTGGTCGAAAGTAGCTACTACTCGTCCAACAAATACCGCTTATACATGTACTGGTCTCTTCGATAACGTTGCCTACCGTTTTCGAGTCATGGCCGAGAATGATATGGGTATGAGCGAACCGATTGAAACTGAACAGCCTGTGACAGCCAAACTACCCTATTCTCGCCCATCGGCACCGCAAGGTCCAGTACTTGTTGACGATATTACTCAAACATCTTGTAAACTGTCTTGGTTACCGAGTGCAAATGATGGCGGAGCAAAAATAACGGCCTACATCGTCGAAGGAAAAGATGTAAAACGTCAGGCATGGACACAATTGGAAACGTTGCCTTCTATGGAAACATCAACAGATATTAGAAATCTAAAAGAAGATGCAACATATATGTTCAGAATTTACGCAAAAAATATTGCTGGTATATCTGAACCATTAGAGGGTGAAGCTGTTACACTCAAACGACCAAAAAGTAAGCTTTTACGATCTGACTTCTTACTGTAGTAATCAAACTGTTTGTGTTTAGCTGTACCTGGTGCTCCAGTTCCATTTTTAGTCAGTGATATTGATATTGATAGTTGTACTTTGGAATGGGAAGCTCCGAAATTTTTGGGTGGTGATGATATGGAATTGAAAAGTTATTTGATTGAACAACGTATTGGAGATAAAGATTCGTGGAAAACAGCAGCTGAACCGGATGCTTTTGCGAAATTTGTAGCAATTAAACATTTGAAAGAGGAAAAAGAGTATTGGTTCAGAATTAAAGCAGTTAATGAATTAGGTGCATCAAAACCAACAGAATTAACGAGACCAGTAATACCTAGACAAAAAAGTTGTAAGTCAGATTCGTGATCATCTATTAAATTTATCTTTCTGATGACATTTTCATTTTCTAGCTATTCCATCAGCACCTACTGGACCGATCACACCGCTGATGATTCAGCGTGATTCAATTACAATATCTTGGGGTCCTTGTCGAAACGATGGTGGCTCAGAACTTATTGGTTATGTTGTTGAGAAACGCGAATCAACTCGAAATGTTTGGCAGCGTGTGGGGTACAATGATGCTAGTTCATTTACGTGTAATGTTGGCTCATTAACAGAAAATCTTTTATATCATTTCCGTGTCATGGCAGAAAATACGATAGGTATGAGTTCGCCACTGGAAACACAAGAGCCAATACTAGCCAAGAGTCCATACACAGTACCCGATAAACCCGAAGGACCATTGACAACAAAAATCATGTCTCCCACATCGGTAGCCATCGCCTGGAATCCACCTGTAAATGACGGTGGAACTACATTGACCGGATATCTCATTCAAAGAAGAGATGTTACAAGACCAATTTGGATTAAAGTAAGTCTCGTAATTTTTCTGGTTACTTTGTTTTATATTCCGTTCAATTTTAGGCTGGTCATGTCAGCGGTGAAACCAATCGTTTTACCATCAAAGATTTACCGGAAGACGCTTCCTATCATATTCAAGTGTTTGCCGAAAATGCTGAGGGATCAAGTGTGGAACCTCTACAAACGGAAGAACCAGTGAATTTAGTGAGAAAAGTTGATGTTCCATCAGCACCAGCTAAAATTGAAGTCATTGCTAAGACCGAAAATTCTATTACTGTTCAATGGGAAGCCCCCCGCGCGGATGGTGGTAGTCCCGTGACAGAATATTTGTTGGACATGCGTGAAAAACGTAAAACAGAATGGACACAAGTTCAACAAATGCCTGCAATTACCACTAGTTTTCGTATAACAAAACTGAAAGAAGGAACGGATTATTATTTCAGAGTTAAAGCGGTAAATGCACAAGGAGAGGGACCTGCACAAGCGCTCGAGAAAGCAGTTAAACCACAAAAACATAATGGTAAGAACTATGCAGTACACCAATGTTAAGTAGTTATTTATTTTTTCTCGATTCTCTATTAGAACCACCCTCAATGCCTGGCAAACCATTAGAAACGAAAAATATCGATCCTACATCAATTTTAATCACCTGGTCGCCTTCCAAGAATAGCGGTAGTAGTGATATTACAGGATATGTTGTTGAAAAACGAGATGCTCTCAAAGCCCAGTGGACTCAAGTGAGAACCACACAATCCAGTCAATTTAGTTGCGTCATTAATGATCTAGTCGAAGGTGGCGGTTACTTTTTCCGTGTTCGAGCACAAAATGATGATGGCTTATCTGAAGGACTCGAATTAGATATGCCTGTGATATGTAAAAATCCATTCGACGTTCCATCACCGCCTCGTAATTTACAGGTGGTAGAAATTAATTTACAAACCGTTAAATTACAATGGGATGCACCTGAAAATGATGGTGGTCAACCCGTGAGAGCTTATATCATTGAAAGACGTGATGCTCAACGAACAGGATGGATAAAAGAGACAAGATGTAAAACAACAACGACCGAAATTGAAAATTTACCGACAGGGCAACACCATATGATACGAGTGACAGCTGAGAATCAAGAAGGTCAAAGTGCACCGTGCGAAATTGGACCAATACAAATTGATAGTAAAGATTGTGAGTTATTTTTCTTTGCTTTTCAATCACTATAGTTTGATATTTTATTTATGCTTTTTTAGTGGCATTACCAAAACCGCGTGACGTCGAAATTACAAAAGTAAAAGGTCAATCGTTAACATTATCGTGGCAATCTCCTGTGATCACCGATAAAACGGATCAGTTGAAAGGTTTTCAAATTGAATGCTGGAATTCAGATGAAAAGTCGTGGTATGAATTGGATAAAGTTGATGCGTATGAGACATCGTATACAAAAACAGATTTTAAATCTGATTTATCATATCAATTTCGTGTACGATCACTCACGAAAAAAGGACGAAGTTCACCATCAAGGGAAACACAAGTACTATCATTAAAGAGAGCTGCAGGTAGGCAAATTTGCATTATTATAGTTGTTAGAGTAAAACTCAAACTTTCTTTTACTTCAGCTCCGCCAGATACACCTGACTCATTAGCAATCTCAGATATCGCCGATGATTCCTTTACACTCTCTTGGCGTGAATCGACAGGTCGTGTCAAACGTTACATTATTGAAAAACGTGAATCTAGCAAAAAGGTTTGGGTACCGGTTGGTGAAAGTTATGAATCAACAATTCGTGTTCAACATTTACTTCGTGGTAGTAATTATGAAATTCGTGTCTTCAGTGAAAATGATCAACATGAACGATGTGTCGAACCGGCAGTATTGAGTCTGTATCCATTCAAAGGTCGTCAAGTACCACCAGCTCTATGTGAACAATTCAAAGTAAAACAACATGGTCAAACGAGTTTTCTAGTCACATGGTTACCACCAATCGATACTGGAAATGCACCCATTAAGATGTATATCATTGAAAAACAACAAGTAGGAAGATTGACATGGCAAAGAGTGAACGAAACACAACAGTGTACATGCACTGTAAATGAACTACAAGCAGAGACACAATACAAAGTGAGAGTAGCTGCGGTAAATGAATTTGGACAAGGAGAATTTATTGAATCAGAACCAGTAACAGTCATTGAAAATGTTGGTAAGTACACATTTGTAATTCTCTATTAAATTCTTAAACACAGTCGAATGTTTTTGTATCGAATAAATAAACTATAAAATAAACTAGTAAAAGTTTATTAAGTAAAAGCTTACATAGAGACATGATTAATCATTTTTTTGCTAAAGAATTTTTTTTTAATTTTTATTGATATTTTAGTTCCACCATCAAAACCGATGAATTTAAGTGTCACAGACATTTCCTATAGTTCAATTACCGTCAGTTGGTTGAGTCCTCGAGAAATTGGATCCAAACCAATCAAACACTACGTTCTTTATCAACGTAGTGGAAAACAACATAATGAATGGAAACAAGTCCATCGTCTTAACCGTACTCAATATTCATATTCCTTCGATAATCTCGACTCGGGCGTAAACTATTGGTTTCGTGTAACAGCCGAATCGGATGCCGGAGAATCAGAACCGTGTGATTCACAACTATTAAATACTAAGAAAAAACAAAAACCACCACCTTCACCATCACATGTTTTTGTACGAACAATTGATGACGGACAAATATCACTTCAATGGAGTGAAATAGATAATGCCGAAGAATCGGATATTATTGGCTATGTAGTAGAAATGTTAGATATTGCAGGTGGTGATTGGCACGAAGTAGATAGAACAAATGATACAACAAGAACATGTTTAATACAAGGATTAAAAGTAGGCGGTGAATATTCATTTAGAGTATCGGCATTCAACAGAGTGGGACAAGGAAAAACAATGGAAATCGATACACCAGTTTATGCTAAATCACCATTCAGTAAGTAAACATTATTAGTTGATTTAATGTAAAAATTAAATATTTTTCAAATGTTTAGGTAAACCAGCCGTACCTGGTGGTCCATTGCAAATTGCAAATCTTACACGTTCCACAGCCGATCTTCAATGGGCACCACCATCTACTAATACCAATGTTCCTATTCGTAGTTATTTTATTGAAAAATTAAGAGATCGTATTTGGGTGAAAGTCGCAAGATTACCATCGACTACCACTTCTTTGAAAGTGTTTAATTTAATTGAAAATCGTGAATGTACATTTCGTGTATCAGCTGAAAATCAATATGGTGTATCAGAACCATTAGAAAGTATAAAAATAAAACCATCAAGAACACTTGGTATATAAAAATTTATTTTTTCTTTTATTTCTTATCAATAATTTTCTATTTATTTATTTTTTTAGAAACGTCACCACAAGTGACATGTGAATCAGCACCTGTATTTGAAAAATTAGTTGATCGTAGTGAATTTAATTTTACATTATATCAAGATAGTCCTCCATCAACAACATGGGACATGCTGAAATTTGATGATATTGATGAATATTTAAAAACATCTTGGTGATAAAATAAAATGTATATATGTTTGACGTGATGTCTCAATTAAACAAATTATAGAAAATTAATCGTTTTTTTATCCTTTGGCCGATTATTACTTTAAAAGAAAAGAAAAAAAAATGAGAGATATTAGAAAAATTATTAGAAATTTTTTTTTTCTCATTTTTTTACAATACACTATTCCATAATCGGTCTGATCAATGTTATATGTTATGTTTTTCAATATTTTGTCCTTGCTCTAATTCAAGGATATGTTTGTGTGTGAACATTTTCTTTTCTTTCCCTTCATTAACAACTTTTCACTAACGGATGTTTAGTTTGATCTATTTATGATATTTTGTTTTTAAAAAATAGCTTGCTCTAATCAATCTCCTCCTTATTTAACAAACAACAGACAAAAGATCATGAACAAAAACAAATATCAGAATATTTTGACTTTCATCCATGTCTTTTTTTTTCATGTTTTCCTATGTTTTTTTTTCTCTATTGAAATAAAACTTTGAACAATACTAAAGTTCTATTAATATAGCGAACAATGATACAGATTCGAGAGTTCCACTGCATGTAAATCAACACTTGACACTCATAAATACATCTTTACCATTCGACACATTTTTTTAGGGAAAAATATACAAAACAACACTTTACTACACTACACTACACTTTTTCCACTATAGTACTGGCCTTGTAGTGGCACTGTAGTGACTTTGCAGTGATCAGAGGTAATGAATGGAAGCAAGCGATAGATATCCTTCTAGCTCACTGCGTTTCGAAGGTCATGTTTCTACTTTACAGATTATTGTACTGATATGAAACATAAGTTGCTCACCATCTAAAATATAAAAACTCTTTCCTAGACATGTGCAGAAATATCAGAGAGTTAAGTCGTAACAGTTTTATCGTATGATGTAAAAAAAGAAGGAGAACAACGTATTGCCGGTTAGCATGAAATTTCTGACGACTATCCGTCATGTGAAAAATATGCAAAACGATGAAATGACAGCACAAAAAGGCGAAAATAAAGTTGAAATTACATATCAGCATACCTCGATCGCGCGGATGGCAGCTACTTTTTCAGTTTTTCTTAAATTCAACGGTGGTCATTTCACTGCAAATTTCGACTTCACTAAAGTAACTAGAATATCAGTCATTTTTTGGCTTGTTCAGCCAGAAAAATGGATGAAAATCCTTTGTTTCATACTATAGTGTTGAAAATTGTTATTGTAGCTGGTCTTCAATAGCTCGCCAGGGCAGCGACATACACGCACACGCTTGTGTATTACTAATACGACGTTTCCCTCTTAGTCTCACTGAAAGACACACTAGGATTTCTCAAGTCACTTCTGCGTCACTTGAAAAGGCTCAGTCATCTGCCTGTTGTACAGTGATTTCAAGATGACCCGTAATAATTCTGGTTTTGAATTGTTGTTGTCTTCTTTTTTCTTAGTCTGATTTTGTCTAAGAATATATTGGAGATTGTCTTCTGAAAGCTTTTATTTAGTTTCTATTCAACATTTATTTGAAAACATGTCATGTAGCACAAACAATGATGATAATGGTGACAAAGATTTATCCAATATGAATGATCAAGAATTTTTACGATTAATTGAAAAATCATTTTGTCTAAGTGTTAGAAAAATATTAGAACAGAAAAAAATGAAACGAGAAGGCATTAGCATTGATATAGGCGACTAGAAATACTTTATTAGCGCTCTTAGTCACTTCTAAGAATTTCCACTATATGTTATGAATGTGTAGTAGATATGTGGTAAGGTGTAGCGTACTGTAGTGTTGTTTTTTCCCCTTTGGCTTAATATCATTGATAACTGAAAAATTGATCAAAACAGCTAACTAATGTTAACGATTTTTTAAACAACAATAATAGCTAAGATCGAGGAATTTGAGTGAAAAATCACAATCAACAAATTGAATCATGTTTTTGATCATATAGTTTGCTCGTTAAAGGTAGACAAGAACAAAATATATTGTTTTGGGGTATTGATATATTATTTTTTCTTTAAAAATACAACGGATGATGTTATACATTTTATATCATTTAAGAGTCATTAGACGTAAAAGTGTTTGAGGTACTAACATAAGATGACTCGATGCAATATTTACAAATAAAAGCTCACAAATAAAAATTAAAAAAATCGTGTATCACATATTTTAATGAAAAAGAACAGACGTTTCGATAATATTCTACTCTTTTTGAGGTATATTGATATCAACCGGTTGCTGTTTGATTGTAATATATCAAAAAAAAGCTTCACTTATAGAGTAACTTTGAAAGAGTTTAACAGTTGTTGCAAGTTTTCGAGTCGTGCACCGTTCATCTTTCAATGACCAAAGTTCATCAAAATTAATAGAAATACAAAAATGTCAGTCATTCAATACATATGCACAGAAAATATTATGTCGTTTTCGTTGTTATTGTGTCCTCGACTATCATATTATCATTATCTTCCGGTTTAATCTTGTAGTTCTTTTCGCTGAATGTCAAGGCGTCGAATAAACGATGTTTCCTAGAAATAAATAAATCTAGTCATTAGTTCAATCACAGATATGAGTGCATCATAATCTACATACGATTTTTGCCTAGTAGTTGACTTTTCTACAGCCATTACTCCCATATTTTCATTACTATTATTATTATTATCATCATCATCATCATTTTCATCCAATATTTCGTCATTCGATGTTGACTTCAATTCATTAAGATCATTGAATAAAACATTAAATCTTAAAGAAAAAGAAATATTATCAACAATTCAGTAAAAGATACATGATAGAAGGCAAAGTATAAAAACAATTTCTAAAGATATTAATATCTGTCTTAATTGTTGACTTTGTTATTAATGAGAAAAAATAATCAGAACAGAATATTATCATCCTTCTTACTGAGTTTGTATGTCTGTAATGCAGTTCTCTAATGTACTATCCATATCTTTCAGTTCTTTTTCAACGTTGGTTAACGAATCAGCACCTAAAACCGGACAGAAATAATACTAAAGAAAAGAATCATAATACAGAGATCATTAACTGACCTGATTCGGCTAATGTTGGTTTGTTCTCATCATGAAGTAATTTCTAGAGAAAAATAGTTTAAACATCAATTGATGAAAAAACGTATGAGTATACATACACATACATCATCTATTATCTCCAATGTAGGACATAATTCGCAAAGTTTCTTAACACAGTCAATAGGCTCACCATTATTGTCTCTAATTTCCGTTACTTTATTCCCGTTAATACTGATATCGAACAACGACGACATATGACTAATAACACTCTATAAAAGAAAACAGAAAAATATCATTGTCTACTGTTCACTGGCACAAATAATCATCACTATTTAAGGCTACAAAAAATTCCCAATAACTCACAAAGTATTTTAGTAAAGCTGTATCTAATATTTAGGTCTCTGACTCTTCAAAACAGTTTGTTGTGAAATAAATACATTATACATATAAATACATGAAATTTTTTTCGCGAAAAACACATTTTAAGGGTTTCTTTTAGCAAGTTTTCGACGTCATAAACTACAGTTTATTACAAAGTGGTAATTCTAGTAGAAAAGTTTTCACAGTACAAAACCATGTACGACATCAAATATGTATGTACATGTGTATCGGATTCAGCATGATTGAAAATTTATAAATGTATATGTAGAAATGATGTTCAAATCGCACTTCTCAAGAAATTGAACTTTTGTTTTTATCTTAAATACTTTTCCGAAAAAAAGTATTTTATCTTTTTCTTAAAATCCCGTTTTGCACTGAGTGCTGTTGCTATTTAAACGCCTCCACATTAGGGGTGGACCGTTACCAGTTACTGTTACTGGAACAGTAACGACTCAAGCGTTACCGTTATCGATAACGAGTAACGGCCGTTACTTGTAACGATGACGGTTTGACCGTAAAAATTTTGACGCAGCACCAGGACATGTTACCCGTCACTAGTAAAAGTAACGATTCAAGTGTTACCGTTACTAGAGTAACGGAGGTAACGGTAACGAGTAACGGTCCACCCCCTACTCCACATAACAGAAGGCCACCACCATCTCCTGTTTTGGTCAAAAATCGTAAAAAATGTCGTCCGTGATTGTTTGAGTTTTCGAGATCAGGGAACGAAAATCGTAAAAATCAAATTTTCTAATGTCGTTGCGCCATGTTTTCTCTTTAATCTGTAACTAACTCGAGCAGTTTGAGATCAGGTATGGATCGAATCCGAGTGCTCGGACTCGATACTCGACTACTGGGGATCTATACTACTTGCGAGGGTTGACATTTTGAAATCAGTGGGGGGAAAGACCGGTTGATTTGATGTTTTCAGTGTTAAAAATGACCTCTAATGTTATTTTCAACGCCGCCAAGTTATTCACACCGCAGTTACCTCTGTTGAAAGAATCGTGTCTGAAAAAATCTAGGAAATAGATCCGAAAAGAGTCTTTCATGAGAGTGTACAAATAAAACAGAAATCGTGAGTTTCTGAAATAAAAACAGCGAATCTTTTGATGGTTTTCTGCAGATACCTACAAAAGTTTATACTCGAACGCACATGTCAATAACTTTTAAAGGGAAAGTTTCATTCAAAGTAGTATTAAAAAGTTAAAAACTGAAACTACTCTCTAGTAACGTACTGACACATTATTCCTGCAGCAAGAAAAACTCGGCGGGGAGATAAAGATCATTATTTCTTTCCTTTTTATTGATTTAAGAATAAAGCAACAGATCTATCGAATATCTCGCGTATAACTCGGACTCGATGCATGTCTAAATGAGATGAGAGAGACTCCAATGCATCGAATGGGGTTTAGCAAAATTTAATTTCTTGAGAATATCATGTTAACCGAACACCATCAATGATATAAGTGAAATCAATATCGCTATCCAATAAGGACATCTTTATCCACCTACAATATCATTCCATTGTTCAATAAGATTTTGTGTCAAATTTAAACGCTGTAAATTTGTTAATTTTTCAAATGTCATTGGTATCGATTGTATTAAATTTTGATTTAATTCTAATTCATTCAATTGTATTAACGTTGATAGTATACTAATATCTTTTATTTTATTTCGAGATAAATGTAATATTCTTAAAGATGATGACAAAGTTTTCAATGATTGTATATCTTCAAGACAATTTCCACTTAAATCTAAATCAAGTAAATTTCGACAACGAAACGACACGGGTATATGAGACAATTGACAATCAGATGCACGTAATTCACATATGGAAGATATTGTATTTATAAACTAGAAATAATCGATAATAAAACTATTATAATAAAAATAGTATAAAATAAATAAATAAAATATATATTACGTCAATATTTTCAATAGGACATTCGCCTATATCTAATATTTTGAGTTGATTTAATTTTTGTACTTCATCTGAACGAATTTGATTTATCTGATTAATATCAATACGTAAAGTATGAAGTGATTTTAAATTTTGTAAACTTGTACCTAAAATATCAATGAACAAAAACATTAATTCAAAGAAGACATGTATTTATGAACTAACCAATGGTTTTTATACTATTGTATTGTAATTGTAAAATTTGCAATGATATCAAACTAAAATAACAAAAAAATATCATCGAGATTTTAAAAGCGAAAAACAACAGAGTTTATGGACTATTTTTCTTTCAAATCATATTGTTGATCTAAGAAGACATCCAATTTGATATGAATACTTTGAACTTTTGTGTTTGCTTCCCTAGAGATCAAATCTTATATAGAATTTCTATAGGAATCTTATAGAATCAGATAAGAATCTTATAGAAATCTTATAAGAACCTTATGCTACAGTCGATAGAAATGCATACTGTGCTTATAAGATTCTTGTGTAAGAAACTTAAAAAATTCCTATAGAAATTTATACAATTCTTATAGTCAAAAATAAAATAAAAATAAAACTTTTTTTTTGTTGTCTGGAGGACGAGGGCAAAGTTTTGAATTTTGAAATTTCTGAACATTTTTTGTAAGGCACTATAAGATTATAAGAATCTTATAAGAAAATTATAAAACTAAAATCTTATGGAACTCTTATTCAATTCTTATAAGATTCTTTTTCTTTCTATAAGATTCTTATTTGATTTCCGTACTTTCGATCGCCTAGGGTTTATCAAAAAATGAATGACAAGAACAAAAAAGAAACATTGAAGAAATCATCTTACCCTTCTAAGTTTTTTATCGTTGTCAGTTTATTTCCATATAATTTTAACTCTTTCAAACTCTAACATTAAAGCATATGAAATACAAGAGTCCATCTGCAATTAATCATAACATACCACTAATGAACTGACATTTTCTATTATGCTAATATCATTGCATGACAAATCGAGTATTTGAAGCTTATTAAACTAAAAAAAACAAACAATAATTGAACAATCAATTTCTGTAAGCGGTTATTAACGTTTTTCAAGTACTTGTACGAGTACTGGTATATTTACTAATCCTCGATCATGTAATGAAACTTCTAAAATAAGTGACGGATGTAAACCATTTGTATTATCAAGCTACTAATAATAAAAATTATCAGAGTTAGAAAATATTGTATTTTAAAGTTATATTAAAACTTCCTACAATTTTACTGACGATTTCATCATCATTTATTTGTTTTCCACTTGTTGATAATAATGGTTTTAAGAGAAGTTTACGTTTTGTAGGTGAATCAGCTGGTACTATTGATTTTTTCTGAGTCGATGTTACACCACATGTATTTGATCGACTAAGACCTGTTAATTTTTGCTTGTTTGCCAGTGTGGTTGTTGTTGTTGTGGGCACGCCAGAAAAACAACGTTTGTCAGTTAACATATCTAGAAACAAGCAAAAGTGAATTTTAAATATCACTGGGAACAGTTTAGAAAAACTTTTTTCCTATTCATCTTTCAGTTAAATATTAGTGAAAATATGTAACATAAGAAGAACACTCTATTCATCCATTTGTCGACATAGTAAAAACAAGACCACAAATAGTGGAAGGGTGCGCACTCCCCATATAATTGAAAATTTTGTTGTTTTTTCCTAGCGCAAGATTATTAAAATACTAGCATTCACACAGTGTCTCTATGGATTCTACTTCGTGAACTAACTATCCTTAATCATATTGCACTATCTTGGAGAGACATTCAGTTTTACACGCTCTAATATTTAATCTGTATTTAAAACACTCTAAATAAAATTTTTTTGATAAAACTGATCAAATTCTTATCGGAATCTTATCATTTTTTTATATAAGATTGTTTAAGATTTCCCATCGACAGTCGTAAGTGTCTTATAAGAATCTTATAAGATTTTTATAAGTGGCTCGTAAGAAATTCATAAGAAGTACCAAAAATTCTTATGTTATTCTTATTTACTAGAAGGCCTATGAGTTGGTTTTAGTGATTTCTGTTATAATTAAGTTACTTCTATGGGCTGGAAAACTTCATAAGAATTTTTGGTACTTATGAATTTCTTATAAGTTTCTTATAAGACACTTACGACTGTCGATGGAAAATCTTAAACAATCGTATTTAAGAGACTGATAAGATTCCGATAAGCATCTTGTGAGACACTGGTAAGAGACTTAGACATTTCTGGTAAGATTTTATATAAGAATCGATGACTAGAATGACTATAAGATTATAAGCTCATGCTATAATACTCGATGCTCAAAAAGAAAAATTACTCGTTCGAGACTTGTACAATGAAGAAAAAAGACGATAAATAACTGAGAAGTATAAAAATATTATGTATCAGAAAAAAGAATGCAGACACACCTTTCTATAGAATAGAAAAAAAGAAAAATAACACATTTAGTTTTTGATGAACCATGTTCGTTTAAAATTGAAATCATTACAGCCTCCGTGGTGCCTCAGAGTAACATGTAACATATATCGATGTTTATTCTATTTTACTTGAGATTTATTTGAATCATATGGGAGAACTAACGGCAGGGCTAAACGACTATAATCCAGCTTAACATGTATGTCTACATTCACTATTTGAGAGATCTACAACCACGCAAGTTTTTAGTAATATTCAATACAATATCCGATAATTCTGCATTTAGTAATTGAATATGAACCTGAAGTATAGAAAACAGCAGTTAGATGTGATATAATGATACATTAGTTTCAAACCACTAATTTTTCACAAGTAATACTTGAAGAATCTGTATTTCCCATTTAGATTTAAATGTCTTCAGCTGTTACATCGTGTTATAGTACATACCATACCTTTCATTAATATACCAGAATTTTAGTGGAGAATAAATGCAAATAGTCATCTACACTGGTCGTGGTTGACTATCATCTTTCTTTGCTAAAATTCTTTCATTTCTCCGCTCTGGTACGTCGTTAACATTTCGAATGTCTTGAATTACTGACTCTTTCTTTAAACAAAAAGATTAAAAAAAAATACTGAAGTCAAATTTTTGCTTGTAGAATATTAAGTAAGCGAGATATTTATGTATGATTAGAAAGCAATTACTTAATTACAAAAAAGTCTCATTCACCTCTTCTTATAAACATATTTGATAGTACAACAGCTGTTGAATTGTTACATATTTTCTTTACTTGAGTGCTGGCAAAACGGACGGGGGTTGAATTAGTCGATTTTACTTCCGATAATATTGACGGAGAACGAACGTGTTTCTTGAGGAATGTTACTATATTGAGCAAAAGTAAATAAATAGCCGGTCAGTCATCTCATGCTCCTTGAAACCAGAAGTCACTCAATGTCGATCACCGACTTCAAATTTCTCGAAATATTTAAACATTTCTTAACCTAAAGCTTTTAGGCTGCTTCTGACCGGTGACTAATTATGAACTAAAGTAATCTTTTCGATAATCATCTGTCCTATGATTGCAGACATCCAACTGACGTACTTTTTCGTCTTTACTATAGGGAAAGTTTCGAGATTAATTACATGAATGCTCCTTCTAATGGAAAAAAATTAGCCGCTTCAAGAGTTTCTTTCCAGAAAATTAAAGAGAACGCGCTATACAAAGGAAAGAAACCACTTCAGAGGAATTGGTCTACTTAAAGTAGTGAAAGGACGCCATCTTTTGGACATTGCTTTTTGACTGGTAACTATAGTAGTCATGCGGAGTATCAGGAAGCAGTACTGTGTCTTTCGTACCTTCAGAAATGAGCTCGCTCCCATACTGTGCGTTCTTAATAACATTTGGTATATATCACTGTTGTTCATTATAGATGATGCTAGCTGACTAGTGTTATGTTCAGATCGAACATACGAAAGACATCTGAGTCCTCTCATTTATGTTTTAAAACGAAGATATCTTTTTCACAAAAGTTTGCTATAGATAGTGTATAATTAAAGAACTCTCTGTTTCTTCAACTTCGCGAATGTCGCTAGTTATTATCACCCATGTTATAATTTGCTCTCAGTAGTAACCAATTGCAATCAAAATCTAAAATGAATAGAATAGATATATCTATAGATAGGATGCAGAATATCCGCGCTGCTATGCCAACAACATAAAATAACGACACACGAAACCCTTGGAAAATCACAGTAAATTGTCGTTGTTTTTAATGTCATATTTTTCAACTGAACGAAACATCTTAACACGTTAATGGAGGACGCTATTTGAAAAACGTTTTATTACCCGGTAATAAAACATCATAATGAAAATATAAAAAAAGCACGAAAAAACTGGTGTGGCGCAAGATGACAATAAACTCATCTCCGTGACGATGAAAGACTACACATTGTCACACACAAAGCAGGTAGCACAGTTTATATGTCTGATTGCTAGCAGCAGCGTTTCGAATGATTGGTTAAGGAAAGTGGTGTTCCGCTTTGACAATTCGATGTCAATTATGCTTTTACCACGGGAAATGTGAAAAATTTTGTGGTAAGCTACGGAAAACCACTTTCTCTTAGGAGTGACTAGTTTTGTGAGGTTTATATGAAGAGTTTAAAGAAGAAATCAAACGTAAAGACAGCGTAATTCATCGACTAAGAGAAAGATGTGAACGTATTATTCTCAGAATTATTTTCTTGTTTTACCTTTTACTGGAAAGAGGTACTGGAACCACCAGATAAGTAGACAGTAGCAATTTGTTCGATCAAAGCCTGCTGAGGAGCAACATAGCAGGAGAAAAATGAGAATGAGAGATTAATTAAATAAATAAACTAAACAAAATTTAGAGAAATTTCTCGTATCTGTGTTAAAGACATTGATTTATTTTTCAGAACAAAGACAAGATTTTTGAAAATGTCTTATTCTCAATCACCTTCATCATCTAGAGATAAGACTACAACAACTAATACACAATATCCAATTTTTGCTATTGTAAAAGCGGCAACTTTTCAACAAGTACTTGGACATCCAATGGCATATGTTCGAATTTTGATGCAGGTGAAATGAAAATATTCTAAAATTTTACTTGAATATGTTATACTTTTTTAATTTCAGATGGGTTATGAACCATTAACTTGTTATAAAGCAAAAAATTTATTTGGAAAAGAAGTAATATACTATCCAAATGTATTTCGTTATCGTATGTATCTGATTTTTATATTAGTTAAGCATCTGCACATTTTATTCATAAAATACAACAATCATCTTTTCTTTTGTCAACATCGGTAGTTGATCGTGGTTCACTATTTTATTTCGTATCATTAGTTGGTCAACTATATTTCGAGTCTATTTATTTGAAAAGACAAGATATGCCGAGACATATTCAAAAATATGTTTTTTTGACCTTCTTAAAAATTTTTAACTAAAAGCAAGAATTCTGCGGTAAAAAAACGGCGGTTTGCTCTGACTTGACACAATAACGAAGCTATATGAGTTTGCGTAAAATTTGTCGATTGATATCGTTTATTATTATTATCATCACTATATGTATGATTAGGAATAGTTTCCATAGGAAATAAAAATTATATTTTTAGTTCGTTTTATTTATAATATTGATGGCATAACCGGTTTATATCGTGGGTTTGGATGTTCATTAATGGCCAAAGTTGTTTATTGGTATACAACAACAAAAGTAGATGAAGTATGTACTTATCGAAACACTTTGCCTGTTTGCTCACCAAACGCTACACGTTGTGAGTCAAGTAGAAGAGTGATATGTTCATTCCAATTCTCAAAAAACAGCAGATCATCGTGTACAGATCAGAGAAATATTAGTCTATTTTGTAAACTTCAGAGAATTTATGTCACAAATATACTCAGTATTGATCATGAGTAAATTGAATTCATGGCAGCATTTTTTACTTCTTTGCTATATTTTTAGTACTCCTAAACGATATCGAGTGAGGTATATTTTTGTTTTCGTATTATTGTTTGTGACCCATTGCATGGAAAGCACTCCTGAAAAAGTAGGAGACTGTTCGATTGACTCAGATGTCAAAGAAATTTTCAACGAATATTGCTAGTATAATTTAAAAACAAAACTTTCCATTCTGTTCTTTCGATAAGTCGTCTATACTGATTAAGATGCTTAGATTAAACGAATTAATTCTTTTTAAAACGGATTATGTCAGATCATGAAATGTTTATTTGGCTAAATCTGTTCTTCGTTTCGGGCTACTATCTATTGGAACTTATGAGACTAACCATTCGACTTACATGATGAATCAACTTTGGAACCTCCCGGTGAAGCTTTTCCCCGACTTTTAGCACATTATTTTGATAGAAAACCATACTCTTCAGACTTAGATATTTGTCAAAGTGTTTTTGTATCCGTTGGATGAGCTCTCGGAAGCCTTTGAGACATAAATCAAACGGATTCATACAATAATTTTCTTGCGGAACTGAACGCATTTTCTGTGCATTGTGGATTTGAATTTCTATTTTAGTTATTAAGTCCAGTGAATAAAGAAGCTCAAACTGAACAAGTCAATCTGTCTTGGAACAAATGTTTAGAAAAGGTCCGTAAGCTCTACCGTATGGTCTTATTTTCTAAGATCAGCTTCAGAGTAGGGTTGACACATTACTGTTACTCATATAGTACATTACCAAGGGAAGTAATACTGAACAGTATTACTATTTCCAATAACTGTACTATTCTATATATTACTATTGCCGGTAACTAAAAAGTATTCCTAGTACTAATAATAGGAGTACTTAAGAGAGCATGTCATGACAGCAGCAAGAAAGTCCATAACATGAAAAAAATGAACATACACTTTTTATGATTTCATTTGATTCTTTATGGTAAACTGTGGTTATGAAAAAAATATCTCGGATTAAAACCATACAGTTATGGAGATGTAACATTTTTAAAAATATTTAGATAAAAAAGCGATCTTCACTATTTTCAATTTTTATTCAAACTCTTTGAATGATATCTCATTCGAAAGAATAACTAAAACTGAATAAAATGACCCATTTTGGTTTTCAAAAGACGAATAACTCAACTCAACCAGTGTAAAATACCATGTATTTTTCAACGATTTTCTAAACAAAAAATATTTTCGAAAAAATTCGGCCTTGGTCTCCTCCCAAGGCTAATATTTTCCACAAAAGGAATTTTTTAAAGTTTTAGAGGCTTTTTTCTATCAGGTATGATTAGGGGTCAACGTTAGCCTATAAAATAGGATTTTTAGCTGATTTCGAGGTAAAACAGATTTTGGGAAAATGTTTTATGTTTATGTATTGAATAACAGCAAAAAAGCGCTCAGGGCTTATTACGCCATATAGAAATGAGAAGATGATCGTACCATACTGAAGGAGAGAGTAAACGAGAGAAAAATAACGACGAAAACAAGAATGACAATGACCTACCTATGATATTTTTTTACGGTTCATTGATTGCAATAAAGTACTGTTGAACGTATGCTGGAGATTTCACCATTATTCCAAATATTTGAATTAATCATTTATACATATTCTTGTAGCTATTTTAACGAGCTCTCAATTGCACTAAGAATGGTTTGCGATTGAATGGTAGAGAAAAACGCGAAATACCGTGACAGATAGCGCTAAAAATTTAGGTCTGAAATCGAATTTGGATGAAAAATAATGGTTATTTTTATTTTGAAATATTCATTTGCATATATTCTTGATAAGTTCGTCGAACTCTATCGATTGGTATATTTAAAAAAAACTTCCATTCGCATTTCCTATCGAAAATAAATTACTAATGGGAATCTAGCGTAAAAAGGTTTATTATAATTTATTTTTTTACAACAAAATATATTTCAAAACTCCAAAAAAGACGAAAAACTACATAAAATTGAATTCTTTATCGATCTACGTTGAAATGAAAACATTCTGAAGAGAGTCCGATTTTTTTTTCTTTTCAATCCCGGCTTGTTGAGCGTATTTTCTGACTTATTCTTCAGTAAAAAGTGAATGTTTTACGTAGCAGAAATCTTTTACAAAACTACGCAAGTTCAAGGCCGCTAGTTGTGGTTCTCGAACAACATAGATTTTGCTAGGATCTACCTTAGTCTATCTGATTAGGCTTTATAACCTCAGCAATAACTCGACATACATTTTCGATCATGCTGGTTCTTGTGGTAGTATTTGTTTTCAGACCACAGTTAAAAAATCTACTGAAAATAATCCTATTTCCGGCTATTTTCATTTTCACCCGAATTAAATATTTCATAAGTTCGTCAAAATTGATTCAAACGATAAAATATCGACATTGCTCTACTTTATTCCCTCAACGTGATTGTATACTCAAAATCATTAAAAAAAATTCCTTATCCGTACTTATCTAATCCTGTGACTGAGATGTTAGTTAGTGACATTGGACATTTATTAATGTACTAAAATAATTAGAATAAGTATATAATGAGAAAAATACGTTTTTTACAGATGCTCCAGCGGTACGTTTGGCCAATTATGACGTCTATGCATAACGTATGCAGTCTGTGGTCTGCGACTTAAATCGACAGAGCAGATAATCATGACTTTTAAAACTATGTCGCACCGGCATGACACCAATGGGTGCTTCATAGATGAAAATATCTTTGTCCTGATGAATGGTGAATGAATGAACGCCAATGTGTTAGCTCATCCTGACTGCTGATGCCTCGTGACGATTATGGAGGTTTGTCGCATTTTATTGCACTCTCTTGTTTGTTGTACTAATCACCACTAAAGCGGAAATACAAGGAAGTGACAAGGCGGAATGTTCTGAACCTGCTTTGAGAAAGACTGAAAAAGTGCGAAACTTGTTTCCAGGTTGACGAATGCGCAGAATTGTAAGGTTTCTCATTCTTGAACCTACTTTAATATTACCATTAACTTCTATTCATGTTTATCGAATCCTATGATATGAGATGTTAGTTAGTGGCTTTGGACATTTATTAATGTACTAAAACAATTAGAACAAGTGTTTAATGAGAAAAATGTTTAGATCATATGTGATGCCTGATTACACAAGGATTGTATGAATGTGCCCAAAGTCTGAGAATTGTTCAGTGGTTAGTTGGATGTGCGAGTTTAATATACACCTGCTGGGACAAAGAATTATTGATAAGAATATACCTTAAGTATGATAGCGAAGTCCATCGTCCTAAACAAACGTACAGCGGGTAAGTGCTTTACCATCTGGCTCGTTGATGATTGATTTACCATATGATGTAACTGCACCACGCATCCGAAGATGTTTAAGGGGAGAGGCGTCCTCTCATTTAGATTTGGTTCAAACTTTGCCACATTATAGGAGGTATTTCAAAATATATATGAAAAGAGTTTGGAGGTTTACGAATTGGTAGTTTTCTAGAAAAAAACTTTTTACTGCTTTTATTCGGCCTTGTTTGGCTATTTTTTAAAATTTAAATAAAATTTTCACTTTTCAGTTTGAAACCTCTGTTTTGTAATCAATCGATAGAGCGCATCGAGATGTATACGTGAAAGATTGTCATCATTCTCAAACAAGGTTTGGCGACGAAATTTGGATTTGACCTTGATGATGGATTTTGAGGCCAAATTGGAAGTCATTGCACGCGAACCACGCCTACCCATGCTAAGTGACTATATCAGATATTTTCTAACCGTTCTTATCTTGTAGAGTATACGCGAAAACCAATCACCAGGTTTTCGCGTATACTCTACAAGATAAGAACGGTTAGAAAATATCTGACATGGTCATTGAGCATGCTTTTATGGTAAGCAGGTGTTTTTCTCGTGTAACGGCTCATAGACACTTTCACATATGGAATCGAATGGTAGTGTCAAAAATTGAAAAAAATAATGACTTACAGCCCGGTTTTTCAGAGTCCTGGAGTGTAAAATCCTCCAGAATCTTACACAGAGTTTCGCTTCAAGAAAGCATTATAGATGAAAAGTGTGGGAACCAAAATAGTTCGGTATCAAATACTACACCGGTTCACGAAAAGAAATTTTTAAATTCTTAAAACTCGATTTTTAAATTAAATTGTACGTAAAATTAAATTTTTGGAAACGGTGTGTTTGCATTTGAAAATTTAATTTCTGAAATTTCAAAGTTTCCCTTCGTGAGCCCGTGTAGAATTTGCTACTGAACAATTTTTGTTTCCACAGTTTTCTTCTATAATGCTTTCCTAAAGCGAAACTCCGTGCCAGTTTTTTCAGATACATTTCAACATGGTCTATCGAATGACGAAGGATTCAAACTTATCTCTCGAAAAACAAAAATTTTATTGAAATTTTAAGAGTAGGACAAAAAAACGAGGAAAAATTTCCCAAAACGACAAGTTCTGTGACAGAAAAAATTTTACCATATGTATTTTAAACTGTCCTCTACAAAACGGTAAAAAAAACGAGTGACAGGAACGAAAAATGTCAGATGTAAAGGACGCTTTTAATAATGGATCCCAACAAGGAGAAAATAGGCCACTTCTTAACCGCTGACAGATTTGCTTAATATTTCTAATGTGATGGGTAAACGTTGTTTAGACTGTTTTGTTTGCAAACATTTCGTGGTCTTGAGTAATAATCGAATTCGCTCCATTCATGCTTCCAGTCTTTGAAACAACCTAAAGTTTATAAATGTCTAAACCTGCTTCAAGATAAAAAGTGTAAACCTTGTTCGGGTTAGCGAATGCGTGGTATTGACAAAGAGGACTTGTGCGCCTAAGATTTCTCACTCATGAACCTATTAAATATTACCCTGAACTTCTTCGGAAAAATTTCAGAAAATCTTCTCAAAAACCTAAGTGTTTTTTGAAAAAATATTTACTTAACTGCATAGTATATTCTAGCATATTCCGAAGTAGGCTGAATCAATTTTGACTAAGTTATGAATTATTTAATTTCGATGAAAATAGTCAGAAACAGGGTTATTTCATCATATATAGATTTTCAGTAGATTATTGAACTGTGATCTGAAAACAAATACTGCCATTAAAATCACCATGATCGAAAATGTATGCTGGGAGTTATTGTTTAGGTTATAAAAAACCTAATCAGATAGAGTAAGCAAATCCTAGTAAAATCTATCTTGTTCGAGAACCACAGTAGTAAAACATTCACTGAAGTATAAGCCAGAAAATGTGCTCAGAATTTATTTGACAAAATTCGTTTTCTACGATTACATTACAGAAAAATCATACCGATTTTATTTAGTATTCCTATTATTAGTAATAGAAATGCTTTTTAGTATTACTGTCACTAGCAATAGTAATATATAGAATAATACAGTTATTGGGAATAGTAATACTGTTCAGTATTACTCTCCTTGGTAATGTAATATATGAGTAACAGTAATGTGCTAAGCCTAGTCTGAAGTTGTTGGACATATTCTAAACGTTACACTCGCGTTTCGTTGAAACATGCTTTTATGTGAATGTAAACTACTGTGATCTTTTCAACGAAATACGAATTAACCATTTTAAACATATTTTTTTCTATTTATCTATATGTAGACTTTGAGAGAAGTACGATGTCAATCATGGGGAATACTTATATCCCATCCTTTACAAGGTAAATGTCCGTGTACACGTCTCCGATGCAAGAGTGGGGACCTATGAACGCGAAAGACGTTTTTTAATATGATTTCAACACAGTTTACTAGTTAAAAACCGTCATGAATAAAGTAACATATAATAATGTAAATAAAAAAGATAATCCAATATATCAGAGAATAACAAACGTGCTTCTTTCAAAGAATATAACCAAGAAGCTATGTCAGCTATTAATTTTTATCAGCTTTTGTTTTGACTAATATTTAAATTTAATTACCAAATACTTATTGCCTCTTTTATCTTTTAGTCATGGCTATTCGTTGTATGGCTCAATTTATCAGAAAAGAACAAGTGTATTCGTCAATAAATATATTTCAGAATGCAGTGGAAATTTATCAGCGACAAGGAATTGGAGGATTTTTTGTGTACGTATGATAAAGAAATTTGACTCATTAGATGGTATACCTGTTGTTTGTTTTACAGTGGTCTAATGCCACGATGTTTATTAGAAGTATCAATAATTGTTATCGCAAATTTTCTTATCCATTTATTAAAGACACAAATACACGCTCCACAAGAAATGGCACCTCTGTTCGAATATTTAACCGCCGTGAGTACACACCAAACACAATCATTTTTATGTGTCTACACACGTGTTTTTGTAATCAAAACGCCTATGTTCGTTTATATGAAGAAGTAAAAATATTAAGTTAAAATCAAACATGAATACAGCTGCAAATTAAAGAGAACATGAGATATTTAGATATCACAGAAAAGACAATATTGGGTTTTTTGAAAACTTTTTTCTCAAAAGCTTGAGAAATATGGGAGATGGGCTCAGATTATGAACTATTTATAACCTTTATACACGTATGTGATGATCATGAGTCTTTTCAAATCTCACAGAGATTTAAAAAAAATTTCGCAAGTTTTCAAGGTTACCTGAATCATTTTTAACGTGAAACAACAATGTCAGCAACCAGAAGTTTTTAAATGTGTTGACTGGATACGGGTCAACATTTGAGGAACTGAAGATTGATGGATAAGCTGAGAAAAGAATAAACAATATTTAAGATCGAATCGTATTTCTCAAGAATGGCAGCTCACCGAGAAAAATGCTGGTTTCCAAAGTAATCAATGTAAAACTATTTTTACATTTTATTGATTAAATACCTTTGAAAACTTGCAAAGTGTTTTTAAAATATCTGTGAGATTCGAAAAGACTTACCATCATCACGTACGTATGTGAGCGATTTGCAATTTCATTGTACGGGGTGTTTTAAAAAAGAAGATTTTTCGATTAAGAAAAATCTTAACTCTACGTTTTGAAGAACCATCTCGAAAGTCTCTAAGGAAAACTTTTCCCGGCTACCACTGCTAAGATGATCGAGATATTCAAGGTTTATCTGATCTTTAGCGGTATTTTTCAATTTTCTCACTAAAAAGGGAACCGATTTAACTGTCAAATTGTTTTTTCAATGAGACCTAGTGGATTATAGGTTATCGACAATGCTGATTCCGAATATGACCATGACAACTGCTTATAGGTCTCCGGAGATCCGGGTTTTGAAAAACCAGTTTTTTAGAAACTCTAAAAAATAATCAAAACCTTTCTTAATGATGCATAATTGTAGCCCGTACATTTCTGATTAAAATGAGACTTCTCCCAGTTCTACATGACCTTTCTTTACAAAGTTATAGAATTTACAAGAAAAGCTCTAAATTAATTTCTTATTTCTGTAGCTTTGAGCTGAAAATGAATGTAGGGCTTTTCGTGTAAATTCTCTAACTTTGCAAAGAAAGATCTTGTCGAGCTGGGAGAAGTCTCATTTTAATCAGAAATGTACGGGCTACAATTATGCCTCATTAAGAAAGGTTTTGATTATTTTTTAGAGTTTCTGAAAAACCGGATCTCTGGAGTCCTATAAGCAACTGTCATCGTCATATTCGGAATCAGCACAGTCGATAACCTATAATCCACTAGGTCTCATTGAAAAAACGATTTGACAGTTAAATCAGATCCCTCATAAAACGACTTTTTTTGCGACGCCCATCTAATCTAACGATACGCCAGCACTCGGCTGGAGCATTCAACGAGAAAGCGAAACTGTATGTAATAAGTTCTGTCTGACATTTGATTTGACGTCAACATTTACGAAATAATCTCACGTGACATTCTGAAAGTAATTTGCAGTTTTCTACCGAACCGATGGTGCACAGAAGTTCTTTTTGTCATCAATAGTAAGTCACAGCGAGAAAAGAAATGATGAAAGCTTTATCTCAAACGGACAGAAAACTAAGGAGATACAGGCAACATGAAATCAAAAATCTCGCATGACATTTAGTGCAAAAATCACAACTTCAAAAACCTTTGGTTTGTCGCTTTCACTAAAGAGGATTGCTTTGAAAGCAAATTAGTTTAGGCGATCTTCTAGCGTATTTCACCGACTTTCATTTGAGACAACTTCTAACCGTTTTGCTTAAATCCTGCGGTGGTAAGAACAGTTTTAAACTCGCGTGACAGAAAGTCGAAAAGTGTGTGTAAAGACAGTGTTTACGAAATTTTAGCAAAAATATTGAAATAAAATGGCATATATCACATAGGTTCTGAAAGTTTAAAATCTCTTCTATAAAATAGGCAAGTCAGTTTTGTTGGAAGTGGAAATATAACTGAGGAAAAAACGATTTTTTGTTTAAACAGAGCGCTAAAAAATGAAATTTTGAAGACTGCATGCACAATATCTTAGGATCCTGTTGCTAGAAGACGATGAAAATTTCTGTGGTAGTGAGAGTAAGTTAGAAAAACAAGATAAACAAAATTTTCGAAATCAATCCACTAGATCCAGAGTTATTGTCTATTTTCAAATCGAATTCACAATGAAATTGTAAATCGCTTATATAAATGCGAAAGATAGTTCATAACCTATGTTTATCTACCGCATTTTTTAGAACAATAATTGCACTGTTTTAATCAACGTCTTTTCAAAAAACGCCCCAATTTTGGCTCTAGATTACCCGGTTTTGTAGCATGCGTTCTCGATTTGGCATTTCCAGTGACTATATCCAAAACAAAATATTCAATATCATGAAAAGTCATTCTTATTCAGCTTTGCAAAAAGACTGGACCACTTACACTGTAAAACTTGACATCGGAAAAGTGAGCGACCATATCAACCACTTTTCTGTATTGTTCATCCAGAAAAGTCGATGAATTTTCTTTGTTTATCGTCCATCACCTACTCTAGCAAATAAAAACTGTTATTCTACAAGGTTATCAGTAAATCACTTTTGTACATAGTACCACCTATAAGGGTGAGTGGCTGATAACCCTGTAGAACAACAGTTTTTATTTGCTAGAGTGAGTGATGGATGATAAACAAAGAAAATTCATCCATTTTTCTCGATGAACGATACATAAAAGTGTATGGTATCTCATGAAATAACTTGAAGCGGCTAACGATATCGTTAGAATGCGTTAAATATGAAAATAATCAAATATTTCATATTTAATGCATTGAAACGGATTAAATTCCCAAACTTAACGCGGTCGAACGTGATTTTGAAAAAGAAATGGTGAAAACTGCGTTCACACTCATTTAACTTCTAAATTTAATGTGTTATTAACCATGAAATGTTTCATATTTAACACGATCTATCGATCGTTAGCCATTTCAAATTATTTCACCATGGTGTAGTTGTCACATTTGTGAATCTTCACTACCAAACAGAACCTAACGGGTAGGCCATAAAGAATTACACTACTTTGTTTTCACTATAACTCAGACAGCTTTGACGTTACCGGCCAAATTTCTTATTTAAAAGATTCGTTATTCATTTCTCTACAAGAATATGTCAAAACTTTTGTTATAAAACATAAAGAAGAAAAATTACATAAAGAATACTGAGAAGGTCCAACATGTCCAACTTTCTTAGACAAAAAATAGTCTCTTAGGTTGCATTCGTTGGATTTTTGAACCTACAAAAAAAAAACAAGTAGCCATTTTGTACCACTTGAAAAGTTCTATCGTTCAACTATGTTAGAAAAATTTTTACATCAATAACTGTTGCGTAACTAAAACTTTAGAGTTTGAATATAGTCCTTCATTCGGATGTAATGCGTAAAATAAGCAAAGTTTTATGTGATTTCGGTTCAGTTTTAATAAAGTAGTGTTTGCCTCATAACACTTAGTAGAAACGGACTTCATTGTAGATCATGCGAAAGAGCGAAGAAAGTTGGACATGTTGGAGCTTCTCAGTATTCTTTATATAATTTTTCTTCTTTATGTTTCACAACAAAAGTTTTGATATATTCTTGTAGAGAAGTGAATGATGAATCTTTTAAGAAAAAATTGGTCCGATCGAATAAACACTGACGGAGTTTATAGCGAAAACAAAGTAGTGTAATTATGGCTCACCCGACAGATGTGTCTGAGAGTTTCGAGAGGTCTAAAATCTCATTACATCTGCCAGTTCAGCAGAGTCGAGAAGCGCTCATAATCATTCGAAGTATTGAACGATTCTTTTAAAAGATTTATTTAGGTTATTTTCATCTACTATTCTTCTACATATTTCTTTAATGGTTTAGTTTGTTGTTCAATCACTAACATACCAGTTAAGCATTGTAACAACTGTGACAATGGTTAATCGTAGTGGCCTAGCTATTGGTCTACCATCTATATCACCTGTTGGTGGTTTTTCTCATTGGCAAGATGTTTATAAATATTTACGTAAACACGTAAGTACATTATTCATTAAATTTTTCTACACTTTATCCTATCCTAAATCTGTTTATTTCTTATTTGATATCACACACATTTTTACTCCTATCCTCTTTACTGTCCCTTATTTCAGGATCAATTAAAACGTGGTTCATCATTAATAAATCGTCCAGTGATAAATTCTGAGTAAAAAGTGTTCCTACAACACGTGGAATACACCAATACTCATACCGTCCACTAATCCATAGTGTATGATTCTCTCTTGTTTTATTACCGGTAATGAAATATTATTCAAAGTATTATTATTATTTGTGATTATGTTATGTAATTTTCTAAATCTTATTAAATTATATACTAGTCAAATATGTGTAGTTACTGATGTTTATTAGCTCCTCTAGTTCCGTTTTCTGCATATATTTTGCTTTTAAATTTTCTTTTTTTCTTGTTTAATTTTCTTGTTGTTTCATGTTCACATTTCTTTTTTTCTACGAATGAATAAAATAAGAGTGACCACGTTCATTTAAAATAACTTACACCCTAATATGGATTACAATAGGGAAAAAAAAAATCGAACTATTAAAATGTACCTATTATAGTACTAAAAACATTTTGAGAATAAAATCGGTATTGTATACATAATCAATAAAGATCATCTGATCAATGTGCATGAATCATGATTATTCTCATAATACTATATAGTATGATTTGATGTACGTTTTAGTCAGATAGAAAGAGAAACGAAAAACAAGAGGAAGAAGTATAATTAATTCACTGTACATCTATGGATTGAAGAAAAAAAAAAAAGAACAAACAGTAGTAGTAGTAGTATCCATGTTCTCTAGTTGACCTTGTGACCTGAAAGAATTGTGAGAAAATTGGAAAGAGAATAAATCGTTTATGATAATAATAGCTAGATGAATACTGGTCAATAACAAAAAAAAAAGAAAAAAAATCAGTACAAAAGAGACAAAATTCATATAAGGTATGTATTTCGATTGAATATGAAACATGATCTGTATTGGTGACAACTAAATCTAATATTATTAGTAAAATATATATAGTATACAATATTCTCATGATAGTTATTATGCTTGACTTTATTGAGTAGAAATCCATTTTTTTTTCGTTTCTTCTTTCTTGTTTCCTCTTTTTTTCCATTTTTTTTCTTTTTTATGGCGTGATGTTTTCGGTCATTATTTTTCGTATCATTTTTTTCTCATACGATTCTCTTCATTCCTGTTTAGTTTAACAGGACAAGGCAAGGCCAGAGCTGGTCTTTGTCTCTCTCGTTATCCTCTTATTCTTTGATTTATTTTATCAGTAGTTGGCAGAAACGTACAGAGATATAAAAAGAAAAAGATACATTAGTGTTGCATAAATTAAGAACGATAAAGACCATTGTCCACGTTGATATTAGTACATGGTATTACAAAAAGAAAAGGGTAAGTTAATACTGTACAATTATTAAGAGACAATGGGAAAAAACTATAATAATAATAATCAGAAATAATAGTATTTTTTTTTTGTTAAATATCGAGACATCTGGTATGTGGGATGAAATGTGTTCGCCGATTGTCAGTTACACCGTTTGACTTACGATTAGTCTAATATAGTATAATCTAGGAGATGTTCTCATTATTCACACGATTAATAAAAAAATTGTCTCTTTTCTGTATGTTATTGTAATGAAAGACAGTTCAAATGTTCTGATTGTATCATATTCGTGTTCACATCCACTAAACGTTCAGCTTTTCAAATCTTTATCTTCTTTTATTTCAGAAACTCTTTTTGATCTGTTCATTTTTTTGAAAAAAGTCAAAATTGTTCGTACGATTGTTAAATAGTGAATAGATTGTTGTATATTTTACTTCAGAGTTGTCAACTTGGAAAAAAAGTCAACTCATAACAGTTGAAAACATGTGGAATACTATGTACTATGAAAAATTTTATATGTAAGTCTTTGAGAGTTTGTTTTTGAATAGTAGGCAATACACTATTTGTTCAGAATTCTTTTAGACTAGGATAAAATGAGGTCGTATTAGCCTGTTGAAATCTAGACTTTTGTACAAAGATTTCTAGAAATTAGTACCAGAACAGCAAAAGAGCTAAAGTTATTGGACTTTTTGATGCTCTTTTCAAAAGTATATTTAACATTCGATTCTGTTTCAAGTAAAGATGAGAGATTTAGTTGTCTTAAAATTTGTCGCTCGGATATGCAAAAAATTTTAAAACACACTATTATTTCAATAAAATCTATATGTTATAATATTTAATTAAAGAGTTGCTCTGTTAAACGTGAATATGGACAACAGAAGTTCAGAAATAAGAGGTAGTATTATTGTATGAATAATTTTGACTTTTTTCAAAACTGAGCAAGTCAAAAAGAATTTCTGAAGTCAAAAAAGAATGAACTTTGAGAAGCTAAAAGTTTAGTAGATATGAACTGTTATACGACACAATCAGAACAATTAAATATGATTATAGAAACGTCTTTGTTGAATAAATTAGAAATCAATGATTTGTACTCTTCATTTGACAAACAAATTTTAACGTACTAATTTATAACGGATTAAGACTAATCGATATGTTAAACTTTTATTCTTCAAATTAACGCCTTTTGAAAATTAGTAAAGCGATACATCATTCAACAGATGCTTCCAAGTATTAATAAATAAATTACTTGTTTTTAAAAATATAGCCAGTAAGCAGTTATTAAATTATGTTGCATGTTTTTTATGTACATTGTTTTTTCGAGAAAAAGATTTACGAGGTGTAGAGAAAAGGAAAAAGGGTATTGATTCAAAAATCCTGAAAGCATTGTACGAAATCGAGATTTTCTCACATAAAGACATAAATTGGATTGTATTTATAACCGAAGGGTTTTTAATCACTATAAAGTGGTTTTTGATTATACATAATTGAGGTTCACTGTGAAAAATATGGGCATTTCAGAACAGAAATGCATCCACAGTGCATTCAAAATACTCTCCTTTTCCTTGATGGTGAAAAAATTTCATATCAAATACGCACAAGGATACCTTTAAAATGCGGATCGATTCCGACTTTATGCATTCACGGTGACTTTGCACGTTAACAGTAACTGGTGTCTGTCAACGAACTGCTGCGTTAACCGTGTCTAATCGAGGCATCTGCAACCAAGACATAACTTTCCAAGATGTGCAGATGTATCACTGGCATCTAGCATAAAAAAGGTAGTTGAAAATGCATCTCGAATAACTACATTATACATCGTTGATGCATTTTTTTAATTAAATGACGCCGTACTAAAGCATTCTTTTATTCGCAGTGTTGTCATAAGGCTTTTGTCTTACATCGTGATTTTACTATGAATCAAATATTTGTATGCAACAGATGACTCTTCGACGTCTGAGCAGGATCTCTAGAAAATTTTCAGAAAACTTTTTATATGTGGTGATTTGAACCATAAGGGTCATGATATGGTGTTTGTCGTTGCTAACCAATGTTTATTGATATCTGATAAGTTTTCAGAGAAAGAGACTGAAGATCTTGTAGAAATCCTCTGATGACGTCGAAGATATATCTACTTCATGTTCTATACTTGATTATTCACGCAAATACTATTGACTACGATGAGTCTTTCCGAATCTCGAAGAAGTTTTTTAGAAAACTTTTAAGATTTTTAAATTTATATAAACATTTTTTTTAAAATGACGATAGCCGATGATTATTTATGACCACGATCACCTGCAAGACAATATTGAAAATATATTTGAAACTTTCGTACACGACCTATATTATCTGGCTAACATCATCGCTTAGAAAACCAGTGTGTCTAATGAGGGTAACTCCTGAGGTGTTAAAAACCTTTTTGAATGGAACTATTTTTAAAATGTAGACTCTCATGGGCTATGAAGAATACCAATATGATTCGGGCGCAATCAGCTTTGCTGCTGAGATATTGAATTTTTTCTTCGAATTTTCTCCATGGGACCTGGATTTCAAGCAAAAACGGAGTAATTTCATGTTGTAACGTATCACATATTGTAGCCCCGATCAATTGTAGTCCGATGAAAAGAGACCGAGCTGAAAACCTCTTTCCCCAGCGATGAAAGAACTTTTGGGAATCAGAAGTCAAATTTCTACGTAATTAATTAATAACTTTATGAATACTCATCAGTTCATCGAAGACGTTTAACGATACATGTGGACAGATGTTCTCACCAAACTAATAAAGTGCAAGAAAGCAATAGATGTATCTATTCCCTCATTTTCCCGCCGCCACAGCATCTACTACGGATGTTACGAGACTAGGTCCCAGTTTTCGATCTTTAAGAAAAAGTGCTCAATTCAAATGAAGGATATGGCAAATTTTTTTCGCATATTTCGAAATATAGAGTGAACATTTTCCTATAAAATAAAAGATCGCAGAGAACTGACGCTTTTTTTTATTCACATTCAGTATTTTTTTAGTAGTGTATTCACAATTTTATTTGTAATTGGGTTATGGGCTCATTGGCTACGTCACTAGTAGTTTTCTAACAATGTCTTCCATCAGGCCTAGGCTAGAAGCTTATTACTGAATGAGTGCAGAAATTCAAGCAAAAATCACGCAGAACTCGTTAATATCTAGAGAAACATTCAGTCTGCATTTCTATCAATTCAAAAAAACAGACTAGATTTCCGTCTAGTTAAACTTTAAAGATTCGCGACGAAGTTAAAAAATAGATATAAAATCCAAAAAAAAAAATGTCATCAACGTTCAACTAGAAAAAATACCACGTGGTTCAACAAGAATTATTAAAGATCAAAGATCATCATTTAAATTAATATCAAATAGAACGTCAGAGCATTTGATTAAAAATCATCATATTGATTTTATGTTCATAAAAATGAGAATTCTTTTTTTGATCTATTTTGCTCTAAACGTTTCACATAAAAGCACTAAACTCGATGGACACCTCTATTAAACAAAAATAAAAAAAAATGATATAGTTGTATAATCGTATCGTTGAAGAGTTAAAAAAATAATACTCGAATCAGTTCAAATATTGTACGCGAATATGTAATAATTTACTCAGCGTACAGTTTGATTAAATGTCTAAAATTTGTTTTCTTGATTCATTTCTCAAAAAAAAGTTAGAAAAAAAAACAAATTTTAACAAATAAAATATTTACAGTTATTTCATCTTTTTTGTGATAACTATTAAAACACGTATTTTATTATATTCTATCATGAGTAATGTGAGAATACATCCAAGTACGTGTAACAGATTTTTATTTTTTTTTTTGCCTTTTTCTAAAAGCAAACTTCATATAACTTATACTACAATACGATTACGATAGAGATGAGCGATCATGTTCAGTCAGGTCACTAGAGCGTTCTTGTTTCTACAAATTATATTCAATTGAGTTTGTGAAGACATCGATTTTAAAAATTTAGTTTTACATCATTTCAAACTATCTAATTTAGGTTTGATATATTCTTTCTATTGATACAAACTATTTGTATCTGTCTTCTTCAAAGACTCTTTGCTTATCTATCATTGATTGGACTTTATTAATGTTTTTAAAGCGATACGTAACAAGCATGATCATTTAGATGAACTTTATCTTGACAGTTCATTTTATATCTTGTTTCATATTATTTGTTTTCGTGCGTACACACTGATTATGACGGCTGCTGAGAATAATTTCACCTGCGTTATCTTCTCCCTCTTTGTCTCTCTCTCTCGCTCTCGCTCCCTCTCTCTCTTTCTCTTGTTTGATACCTATTTTAATTGTTTGTTTCATGCCACAGTTTGAAGGCATGACACAACACTTCAAAGTCTGAATAGTAAATATAGTATGCACTATAAGAAATGTAAATATTCGAAAAAGTAAATACTTATAGAAAAGAAAGATGAACATGTTCATTTTGCTTCCTGTCTCATTACCATCGACGTTTACGATTTTTATTTAGAATTCTTGACATATGTTCATTTTTACAAAAAATTTGTACATGAAACTAGTGAGACATGAAATTTAAAAGTATAGTAGAATGTTGTAAGTTACAATTTTTCAGTCTAAAAATTTTACTTTTTTGTTTAAATTGTAAGATTACAAGCTACAGAACATTTGTCTTAATGAACATGTATACAACTTATATTATTTAGTCTTTATAATATATGAAACTAAAAACGTACATTAAATTGAGTTCATATTTAAACTTCAAAAAAATATGACACATTTTCGAAGTAATGTATGCTTCTTTACTCTGATTCTATTATCAAAATGTATAAACAATTTGTCTTGTAAAGAAAAATAAATGTATAAAATCGATTTTATTTTTTATTTAGTTGATTTATATTTGAAGAAAGAAAGATTAATGATAGATTTGAACTTTATAACTGTAACATTTTTTTGTTTCTTATTGATAACAATGTTATACTAATTATTCATCGATGAATTGTTTATTTTTTTTTATTTTTATTTCTAATAGAAATAATAAAAGTACTACTTTTTTTTCATTTCATCTATTTTTAGGTGTCAAATGTTTCATCAATAGTCAACAAAAAAAAGTTAAACGGTGATTATGCCAATGACGTCCGATTTATCTATTACCCATACATCATCAATTAAAGATCGTTATATTATATTTAAAAAAAAACTTTATTCTCGTCTTGATTCATATTATGATCGTTTATTTGATAATTATGCAAAATTTTTATTAAAATATGCTTGGAGTCTATTATGTTTTAGTATATTAATAACAATTGGTTTAACATTATGTTTATATTGGGCACAATTAATTCCTGTTGATGAAAATGATTTAAAAATAAAAAATAGTCCAGCTGAATATAATGAACATAGAATATTAAATATATTTGGTAATGATGCAGGATTTCGAGTTTATCAACAAGTTAAATTACGTCCAGCATTAGATATTATTCTTAAACGACGATCAACAAATGGTTCAACAAATATGTTAGTAAAAGAAGTTATTGATCAGGTAATAAAAATAGTATTGTATAAAGTAGAAGAAGAAAATAAAACAAAAAAAAAATATGAATAAAATATATAATTTATTTTTACTTTTTTATTTTTATTATTTAGATGCGAATATTGGATGCCTATATTCGTTCTAGTACAATTGTTTTTAATAATCAAACATATAGTTATCCACAATTATGTAATAAAGAAGAAAATAGTCATGTATGTTCGATGGATGGTGGTTATTTATTGTCAGATGATTTTTATAAAAAATTTTCTCATATGGAAAATGTAAAATCGGGCATTTATTTTGACGCTGAAACGGGTCAATCAGGTTATCGAAGTTTTATATTTGGTAAAAATTATAAAATAATTGAAGAAGAAATTATATCAGAAGAAGATGATTATGTTGATGATGAAGCCATTAATATAACAACAATGATAATGACAAAAAAACAAAAATTAAAAGAAATTATTTCTTATGCACCATTATTACGTTTAAGATATAATTTAGATGCAAAAAATGGTTCAATAGAACAAGCTGTATTAAAATGGGAAAAATTAATTATTGAAAATTTAACATTATTAAATGATAATTTTAGTGAATTAGATATTTATGCATCGGTATCAACAATTATTAATAGTGAAATAACAAAATATGCACGATTAGATGCAAAATCAGTTGGTATTATGATTATTATATTTTTCTTATGCACATGTTTATGGATAGGTATTGAAGGAAATTGGGTAACATCTGTTGGATATTTACCATTATTTGGTATCATTGGATATGCCCTATCGACTGGTGCTGCATTTGGATTTCTAACATTATGTAAAATGAGTCTATTAGAACCAATGACAATGTTAATGTTAGTTGTTGCAAGTAAGTTAACAGATAGAAGAGAGAGACGAAACAAATTTAGCTGGAGTTTTTTTTTGTAGACAAATTGAAAAGAAAAATTCTTTTTTTACAGGCTACTTATAATCATAACTTCATGACAAATATAAAATATCTCTGCTCAGGTCTGCTCCGTTACTCAGATGTAGGATATTTTTTGTAAAAACTGGCTCTTGTTAATTTCTTCGAAGGAAAGATTGTAACTTCATTACTTACACTGCGGTCATACTACAGTCTTAATCACTATTAAGACTGTAGTATGACCGCAGTTTTTTTATTTTTTATTTTTTATTTTTTTATTTTTTATTTTTTATTTTTTTTTTCGATTTTATAGTGTGACTGCATCGTCTTTTAATCATAATTAGAGTGGCCATACTACATTTAATCATGATTAACACTACCCAAGTCGGGCGTTACAGCAGTTGTACGCGTACGTCACGTGTACTTGACGTCCATCACGGGTGGTAGATGTAAAAAAGTGTATGCCAGGTACGCGTACTGACCGTGACCTGATTTTCTCGCTCTATAGTTTCATAGTAAACATATTTATCTGATATCTATGATAAACCTCTAAAAATGGTACATGATGCACATTGTACGCATGACATACATTTTGCACAGTAAATACCCATGATGCACGCGTACGTCATGCGCACGTTGTGTACAGTGGGTCACGATTACCCGATCTGGATAAGTAATCGTGATTACGCTATTCATCTTTTAATCGTGCATAAAGTTAATCATGATTAATGTGGCGATCGCACTACGAATTTATTGCGATTAACTAATTACGATTAAGGCTGTAATGTGACCCTAGTGTTAAGCAGCTTTATACTTAAATTCAACTTAATAATTAATGAACTTAACTTAATGAACTTCAACATAATTAATTAATGCAACTTTACACTTAAATTCTCGATAACTTTTGACACTGAAATTGCTACCGTGCGCAAATTTTAGACTTTTTCCATTTTTAACCATGTCGGGCTTCGGATTTTTTCACGATGTCTACCAATGAAGACGAAGCTCGCATCAATAGACATACAGAAACATGTCTCTATATTGGAACTACTTATGGTTATTTTACAAATAATGTCTTCTAGCTCAGTAACAGAGCGAATCTGAGTAGATATTCTATATTTTAATCATAACGGGAACAAAAACGGCAGCTAAACATTTCATCTTCATATGATATGATTTCTTATATTTTATTGTATATGATGATAATTTTCTTCTTTGCTATATTTAGTCATCGATTGTATTCGAATTTCAATTATTTGTAAGGAATTACATGGAATTTCTAATTATCTTTCATCTCAATTGCCATTATCAAAATCATCAAATGATGATGATTTAATCAAAAAACGTCTTCAACAAACTCTTAAACATTCTGAACTTCCATTTTTTTGTACTACTCTCACATTGTGTACACTCTATTTACTTCTCGGTTTATTGTCTCAAATTGTGAGTATTCGAATATATTCATCTGGATTTTGTATTTATTTATTGATTAATTATTTGGTTCATTTAACATTTTTTTTATCATGTTTAACAATTACATGTAAACGAATCGATTCAAATCGACATTCACTTATGTGTTTTAAAATGAATCGATCAAATTCTTCATCATCACCATCACCATCATCATCTATCACTAATCGTTGTCATCATTATTTTCGTTCAATTTATGCTAAAAAATTTGGCTATATTATTTGTTTATTAAGTATTATTTTATTTGTCTATTCATTATTAACTGCACTCAAAATTGATACTCGATTATTTGATTCTCAGTTCATTCCACAACAATCTCGATCATTACGTATGTATATGTCATCACTTGAACATGATTTTGATATTGGTCCAACAATTATGTTTACCATTCCATCAACACTCGATTATCGAAATCCAATAATACGAGAAAAAATGCAAAAAGTTATTGAAAAATGTCGAAATGAATCAATTACAACAAATTTTTATTTAATTTGGTTAGAGACAGAAGATTTAAATCAATTGTTAAGTTCGACGGATAATGCAAAATCATTAATAACACCATTTTCAACAAATGATATTCTATTAGAAAATCAAACAGTTAAAGCATCAAGATTCTATTGTCAATTTAAAACTATTCAAGGTAAAATAAAAGGCCCATGATTGACTAGTTCAGAGTGTCTACTTTCTAATGGGATAATTTTTGTGTCAATAGGATAGGTTTTTGTTCTTGATTTTTGAGTGAGTTTTCCAGAGTTTCTATAAGAAAAAAAGTGACTTTTTCTTTTCAGATAACTGTGCTTACTTGCATGTCCATTAGATACGTCATGACCGATAAAAATCTCTAGAAAGTATCAACAACCTATTTAACATTCAAATAGTTTTTAAGTAAAATGCATTTAACAAAATCAAAACTTATTTTGCGTTTTTCTCAAGACTATTTTTTAGTCTTAGAGTTTTCGCCACATCAGCTCCTAGTCATAAGTGTTTACTGTAAAACAAAACAAAACAAATGCGAGCTCTCTACCATTTACCTGAAATGAGAGTTCTTGTGCGTGATGGACGCCTATTTTTGACCCTTTTTTCTGGTGCCTTCTCACGAACAGTTGCAAATAGTGCCAGAAAAAAAATTTTCGTTATCATACTTTGACATGGTCAACATTCCATGAAAGTTTAGTTCAGATCTCACCTACCTGGCCTGAGGATAGATTTTTGACTCGTGGGGGAGGGGGGGACTTGAAACACACACTTATCTATGCTAATTTTTTCTTTTTTGATAATTTAACCTCTATAATGTTCGATTAATATTAAAATATTTGAATTTAGGTCGACGTTCGGATATTATAACAATGGATAATATGTATCGTTATAGTCGTGAAAGTGGACTCAATGGTCTCTTTCCCTATTCACTTGTTTTTTCACATTATGAAACATTAAAAGAAATTCATCATGAACTATTTTTACTATGTCTATTATGGTTTCATTTATTACTTATATTTACACTTATCTTATTTTTATCCATAAGATTGACTCTTACAATTACATTCCATTATATTTGTTTATTATCAACATTGTTCACATGTTTATATTTATTTCATTCATTAACAATTAATTTTGCTAATACATTTCTTTTATTCATTATACCGGGTATATTTATTGATTGTTTTATACATTATGCATATACATATCAAAGAAAAATAAATGGTGAAAATATAAAAACATATCAGGTAAAATAATAGTTTTATATTTTTTGTAAAATTTCTTTTTTTTTTTTGTTTTTTTTTCACTAACATTGATCATTCTATTTTTAGTGTCTATTTGGTTATGATCGTATATTTTTATCATTATTACTCTCATTAATTGCTCTAATATTTTTTCAAATTCAAAGTTATACATTTATTGTATTAAGAAATACTTTATTCTATTACATTTTATTAGCATTTCTACATTTAAATATATTTTTCCCATTATGGTTAAATTTATGTAAATCATCAACAAATAAAGGTGTTTCAACGACAACAACACAAACAAATCAAATTCCAATAACATCAATTGATAGTAATGGAAATGGTGTTGAACAAACATTATTAACTACATCGAATGGTACACTCGACAATAGTCATTCTTATCATAAAAATGGTTTTATTATGAATGAACCTCAAAAATCATCATAGTCATAGTTAAACTTTTGTTGTTGTATTTTGATTTTTTAAATTTTGTATTTTAAGTTTTTTCTTTTTTCTTTTGTCGAGTTATACATATGCATAATGTTGTGAATAGCATTGGTCAATTGTTTTTTGGTTTTTTTATGCATGCACATAGATAAGTTTATTAAATTTTAATATTCATTTTTTTATCTAGAGATATAGTCAAGAGATTTGTGAGAAATTTTCTATCCTTTTTGGGTAAGTTGCAAAAAAAAAAAGAAAAAAAAAAAACTAAACTGACTGAGATAAATATCTACAACTATTGATAATCTTGAAAACGAGTTGATTATAGGCAATATCAGAGATTTCTTCTCAATGTTATCAAAAGAGATCGAGAGGGCATATCCTTAAAGATAAAGAAAATATTTTCTTCGACGATGACCTAAAGACATTAGAAGAATTTACACTTAATAACCCATTCATCTGATAAGATAGAATAAACGTCATGATTCGACATAATCTTTTAAGAGAACACAATTGAGAGTATAGAGTATGCCATCAATCTTTGTTTAAGATGATGTTATCATTAAGAAAGTAAATAACACCTGATTATCCAATGTATCTGAAAATACACTATTTTTTAGACAAAAGTATATTGTGCTATCTTGATGCGAATATTTTCAGTAGTTACATTCTCTAGAGTGAAAAATATTTAAAAAAGGAATGTTTGCTGAAGTGATCAATGGACAAATTTATCTATATTTATGAAATATTTTAGACGTAAAAAATGTGTCTTAATAGAGTAAGAGAATTTTGTTAAATAAAGCAAATATCGGTGATAGAATGGATATCATTTTCATAATCAACATGTTTGACTTCATATATCTAACTAATCATATTTAACATAATAACGGTTTCATCACTTGGGAATAGTTTCTCATAAGGATAGTCTTGAGTTCAATTTCAGCTATATTTTATATCGTGTTCTGTTGCATAAAAAAAAAAAACAATCTCGAGTATGACTTAAGTAGGATCAATCCATTGCTGAAACTAAACATCATTCATACTTAATGTATACTTAAATAAAAGATAAATCAAAGAAAATGAAGACAAATACCAAAGAATGTTGATTTTGACAGTAGTTATATTAAGGCTCTCTTTGATTAACATACATAAAGGAGTTTTCAAGTCTGTTTTTTTAATATTTTTAAATTTCTTTTTAGAACTTACTATCATTTTTATAATTCTTGAAATCTTTATTTTGTTCTTTTTAGAGATACGTTCCGACATCAGCGTAGTCAAAGATTTTTTAAGTAAGGCAGACACAGTATGCATTTTTCGAATAGTAGCAAGCGATGACATCAGAAGTTTTTTGCTCGTAAATCGCTTTTTTTATAGATAATTTATCATTCTTTAGTCATTTGCGTTAATAAATGTTTTCAGAAACACTCATCTTTGTAGATTCATGAGAAAATTTCGATAGATACTTTTTCGATCCAAAACTTATCGTGTTACACATGGTTCCATTCAGTTTGACGAGTTGATTCTAAATATGCCATTATTTTTTTGTCACAGTCATTCTTAGGCTGAAAAAAACATAGATTTTACATTTTAGGAAGCTTATATCTCGTTACAGAAGCAATTACGCATTTTTGCGCATGCAGTATCGATGTCGTGTAGATAGATAGAGGAACAATATGCTAAAATTTGAGACAAGAGGAAAACGGGAGAAATATAACAGAAACTTAGATGTTTTGAAAAACTCTATGATTTCTTCTCTAGTCTGAGATCAAAAAACCAAAATTCTTTTGTTATTATATATGTGAAAGAGCTTAGATTCAGAATCAGCGTCATTTTTAATCATATCGCTGTTGAGTGTAGCAAAAAAAATCTTTTAAGCCTTATGGCCTATAGTTCGAGGCTAACTTTCTGCTACGTGTTTTTCCATATTGCTTAATAGTTGAAAGCAAACTTCTTATGACAATAGGTAATTCACATATCAAAGTATATTTCTATGTGTTTGAATCTATCACTTTCTGATTTTGTCTAATGTTCGCCTGGATGCACAATGTGAAAAGGGGGGAGGAAGCAAAAATTTTATGCGAATGAATAATCTGATTGCTAATGACAGCGAGAAAACCTCGTTTTGGCTCATTGAAAAAAAACACAAAACAACATGAGAATTTTAAATTTTTTATTCAACTGCTTCAATCATTTTCGTTGTATGAGGATCTAGACATGAGAAAACGATTTCATCTAGTCGCAATAGGCAAAAAAATCGCTTCGTTCACGAATTTATTTGCAGCATCGGGAGTAACGATGCTGCGTTGGAACGACGACGATTGAATTATCAGTAACAGAAAATATTTTTCGATCAGACGTAGTATAAAATAATTTTTCAACAAGAGGAACATGTTTCTGTAGCTACAATCACTGCTTCTCAAAGAGGTTCCATTTTTCATTTGATAGTATTTAACAGAGAAAGTCAAGAAAAAACCGTCAAAAAGTCAGAGAAATTTGATTTTTCACATATATTGTTAGATAATTTTCGACAAATCTGTATATTCCAAGTTGTTTTTTCTCGCATAAAATTATTTTCTATATGAAATATCTCTGTACAAGAAGAGACATTTGATAACCTAATACCATTGATGGATAATAAATCTTTTTTCTTTTGTTATTTTTGACTATTTTTATATATGGAGAAAAAATAAAAGGAATTATTGTATTCAACATTTTTTTTCTGTTGTTTGTTTTATACATAAATAATAATCAATACATGAAACATCAAATTACATGTACATAAAGACACAACAATGATAAAAATAACAAAATGCGTTAAATTTTAACACAATTTCACCGTATAAAAAAAAATCTATTATTGCTTTATCGTAAATCTTTGAATATTAAAAATTTACTAGCCTAGAACGTATAAATATATAAATATACGAGAGAACTGTCTACCTATGAATCCCTGAGATTTATTCGAGAATATGGGATAGGACTAAAACGTTGAACGAACGTCACCTAAGTAAAACTAACCAATTAACAATAGATTTTTAAAATGTATGAGTTAAAATAAACGTTTAAAGTAGAAATACTTGTATATTTTGTCATATATAAGATTAAGAATTCTATCAAAAAATATCTCCAACTTAAGGACAAGGGAACAGTGTTTTTAATAATTTAATTATACTACTTTATTGGTATTTCTCATTGTCAAGTAAAAATAATAAATCTTAGTTTAGTAGGTGTTCATCGAGTTTAGTGCTTTTATGTGGAAGGCTTTGAGCAAAACAGATTAAAAAAGCTCTAATTTCTATGAACAAACATTAATATGATAATTTTTAACCAAATGCTGACGTTCTATTTGATATTAATCTAAATGATCTTAGATCCTTACTAGTTCTTGCTGAACTAAGTGTATTTTTTCTCATTGAACGTTGTTGACATTTTAAAAAATATAAATATCCATTTCTAAATTTTGAACTCATTACACCATAAATAAATGGATTAATACAAGAATTAGACATTGCCATAATATGAAATGCAAAATAAAGATGTGGAATATATTTATAACCGATTACTTCTAAAAATTGTCGTAAAATATTAATATATATCTGCATTGGTAACCAACAAATACCAAACATTATAACAACAATACAACACATTTTTATTACCTAAAAACAAAACAAAAAAAGAGAAAGAAATTTTTGTTTTTTAAATATCATTTTCAACATATGATATATATACTTTTCTTTTTGATTTTTCCATTTTAGCATCTCGTTCTGAATGTGCTTCACCAGGTGCTCGACTTTTGTTCAATGTCTGTCCCAAATGAATATAAACAATTGATAATACAACTAATGGAATAAAATAGATCATAACAATTGATGCTATATTATAGGCTGTTTGTATTGATTTTGATAGATCACTTGCTTCACATGTCATTTGAAAATGAGTACCATCTTCTCGTTTAAAACAAACAACTCTCGTATTCATTTCAATATAAACGGGTATTGAAAATGATATGGCAAATAACCATATAAATGCTAACATTTTTTTACATTGTCCTTGGGTAATTTTTAATGGATTCATAGGATGTACAACAGCTAAATAACGATCAATGGACATAGCGATGAGCGTATATATAGTACAAGTAACACATACAGATTGAGCAAAACTAAAAAATTTACACATAAATGCTCCAAATGGCCAATTTGAAAGAAGATAATCCGAAATAAGTACAATAGGTATACAAAATATTCCGACTAAAAGATCCGAAATAGCTAAATTAACAATAAATAAATTTGTTACTGTCACCATTCGTTGATAACAAAATACAACAAGACAGACAAATATATTACTAGTAATAGTAAGAATACTTAAAAGAGTATAAATAAATAAAGCTGTTATTTGTAAATAACCAGGTGGTATTGGTGGTGCCGGATCGATAAAATCAGCATTTTTTGATGAAGAATAATTACACCACAATAATTGATGCTGTTCCATTGTCAATGATAGATCGTTGTTAATTTGGTTTTTTTTTCCTACTGAAAATAGAAAGTGTAAAATATAAGAATGATAAATGATTTTTTTCTCCCTCTGTTCTGTTCTCTCTTCTTCTTTTTTGTCAAGAACAGGAAAAAAGAAATTTTCTTCTTCTTCTTATAAACCTATAGACACAGGAAATAATTAAGAAGCAAGACTCACAGTTATTAACTCTAGTTAGTTCTATATAACCTACTTTAACAAATATAGTTTTAATAACCTCTTTTTATTAATAATATTGATTTTTTTTCTCCCTATAGTCAGTCAAACAATCCTGCTGATGTTCTTCAAATATATTTTTAATCGTTAATAAAATAAATACAAGAAATATTTGATAAGATAATTACATAATAAAGATACTAATTGATTTCTATTTTTTCATTAAAAAAAACTCACAAAATGCAGAGAAAAAAAAATGAAAGAAAAAAAAATTAAACTCATAAAAGAGATATATTTTTCTAGACGTATCATTTTTCAGATGAGAAAAATATGGAGATATAATTATTGATCCATGTTCAAAAACCTCCCACGAACTTATTAAAAAAATCAGATGAGCGTTACAAAATCTGACGATTTATCATAAAATTATTTAGACTGAGATGAATTTTGTTGATATTTTACTACAAAAAATTAACGAGATAAAGAGTAAGAGAATCTGACATGATCTTTTGACAAGAACTAGTATGATCTTATAAAATTTTATGTCAAGAGAAGAAATCATGACACTATTTTATAGGAATAACATGACACTTTAAACAATCTTATGGACATTTTGTAGAATTTTTTCCACATACAATTTTAGAACTTCGTCAAATCAATCTTTATAAGATCTAGAACAAGCTAAGAGCTCTCTGATATTGTTCATTTATCGAAGAGCTAGATTGTAGGACAATTTTTTCTTTTTTGTGTACTCAGCGTATCAAAAAGAATGTTATTTCAAAACATTAATAGGAAATTTAATGAGTAAAACGAAAAAAATCCATTTATAATTGCTTAAAACTTGGAATGTCGATACAATGTTCCACTATTTAGAAAGAAATATCTCTATTCTCATTAATTTCTTACTATAGTTCTTGTTCTACCATAGATTTTTGACTGAATATATTGGAATTCATCAGTTTCGAATGTCACAATAAATGTTGGCTTGCTCTATCACATAGATTATGAGAATATCGGGATAGAATTAATTACCAATGAAGGAAATATTTAAGCTCACAGTTGATTTCTTGACATAGAAATTTTCATCGTCAATTTACTTCTTAGTTTTTTAAATGCTCTTAAAAACAAATCATGTGTTGAATTACATCATAAAATCAATTAGTGTTGTCGCAGCTGCCACTTGCAGATTGTTTATTTGATCTCATCATTTTATATAAAAAATTTGAATGAAACCTTTTTCTAGTTATTTTCATCAAATATCATTTTCTTTCCTTAGAGATTTTTTTAAAATTCTATAGGAAATAGATCAAATTATTTTAATTATAATTATAAAAAATTAGATTAATATTAAAAATACAACACAAAAACTGACATAAAACGTACTATATGACAGCTGTTCGTAACACATCATTATTTTATTCTTCTATAGAAATTAATGTCATTAAAGTCAAAATAATGGTCTGACATAAAAATAGAGTTCAAATTGATTTTAAAACGTGCCCATAGTCTAATATCAAATAGATACACGTAAAAACTATAGACACTTTTGTTTAAAAAAATCTATCCCCAATTATATTTTAATGAAATGATTAATTTTTTTTGTTTTTTACATTGATAAAAAAAAACATTTTATTCATACATCTCGACTGTAGATATTAATGGAAGATTGACAATTTAGAATGGAAAATATATTTTTTTTTTGTCACATTTTTTAACATGTGAATTTTTGCGTGCAAAAAAATATCCCTTTTGAACTAATCATATGTGAAGTTTAATTCTAATATGAAACTATTTAATGTATATGAAAATTTGTATAATGAGAAGGAATGTCAAATGATGAGTTTATAAACTATTTTAAAAAAACAAGACGTACTACGAAAAATCCTTTGATAATTAGCTTCATTTTTTAAACGTTCTTTAAACGACGATAGCGACACAAATTGAGAAAATTTATCACTCAAAACAAAAAGATGTGATATATTAGGCGTTTAACTGAAGTAGAATATAGTACAAAGTCTTGAAATTATATTTGACTTTCGGTTTACATTCATTCTGCAATTATAGTTACTCTAAAATAAACTTAAATGAACATATACATTTTTGAATAGTAAAACAAAATTTCATCTTTATCGAGCTAAAACTCTCAGATATATCGAAAAGAAAAGAAATCTCTCCACGTACCGAAATTTTTACATGATATTGAAAACAAAAAAGACGATGAAAAACATAAATTTTAGAACATGAATTTTTAAAAAGCATGTTTTATCTTAGAGTTATGTCCGGATTTTATTTCCTGTCTTCTCTAAACATAGTCTTGAAATATGCATTTTTATTCATTAGAATAAAAGAAATCAAGATTGAATAGAAGATCTCATATAGATCGACTTTATTTCCTCTTCTTTTCTTTTTATCTTTTTCTCTCTTCCTCCCTCTCTCTCCCTCTCTCTCTCTCGTCTCTCTATCTCCCTTTATCCACTTATATCCTTATTCATTAGTTTGTGGCTCACACATGCATTACATTTTCTTTTTCCAATACAAAACAAAACAAAAAAAACTTGTTGCTTTTTTTTCTTAGCGAGAGAAAAAAAAAGAACATCTGTTTCTACTAATGCTATTTTATTATTTTGAGAAGAAGTCGAAACAATGACAAAAGGATTTTTCTTTATTTGCTCTAATGCAGTTGTTATTCAAATGCAAATTAATGGTGTTGTTTTTATTTCAAGTTATCAATCAATTAGTTTTATATCATCACATTTGTATTTGTCATTTTTTTTTCTTTTTTGGTTAAATTTAAATAAACAATTCTTAAAACATGAACGTATATTTTATGTATGAAATATGTGTAGATTAAAAATTTTTTGAAAATATTTGTTTTTTCGTATAAGAAGATAAGTATTCAGTCTTTGGGACTATGTAAACATTATCGTTAATTAGTCTAATCAGTTTTGTTTCTGTTTAATGATAGAAATTCGAGCACAAAAAAAAAGAAGAACATTAACCAGACAAGTTTTCAATAAAGTTAAGCTGTAATAACCCGTGATTTTTATCAGTTTGTAAGATTATTAACGGCCGTTTCAAGCGGTTGTGTATCATTTCCGATTTGATTATTCCCGACTTGAATAATTTTTATTAAAAAAGCTACAGCACAGTTGAGAAGTGATTAGTTTTGTTCGTAAAAGAACTACTTAACTTGTGTTTTATTTTTGAATTAAATTGTCATATTTGAGAGTGTGAGAGCAACACAGCATAGCCGCACCACAGTTGCTTCGGGCAAAATTTTCCTAGACTCACCATATAAAAGAGTTTATATACACAAAAAGAAAAAACATTATGTAAAAATAAAAAGGATAGTATCGATAGATAAGTGAAACTGTACAGTTTAATAATTACGACTGATGATGATAACTCATCCTAGATGGATGACAAACTTAGACTCCATGAAACTATTCAAAGTTTAATCATTTTTTTTTGGTTTAAATATTAAAAATAGCAATGTGACTTGGAAAGAATTTTGTTCAGGGAATATTGTATTTTATTCTAAAAAGTTGTTTTATATAAAAAATGAATTAGAAAACGCGTTTCTTTTTAATTAGCTCAGTTTTTTGAAAGTTAATATTTATTGGAGATATGAGATGTGTGAAAAATTTAATTTGGATATAGTTGAAAAGATGTCTACGTCTCTTATTCTTCTCGGATATACTGACACTTTGTCAGTATGATAATCATACATCCATGCTATTTATTTAGTAACAACTACTCAGTTTTAAAATTAAGTTAATCTTCCAAATTTCTGAGATTTTCTTTTAAAAATATTCGTTCTTTTCAAAATTCTAAATTAACGTAAACGTGTGAACTTTTCCGACAGTCAAGACCGCAAAGTGGGCCATTTGGGACAAAGGGAAGCACCTTCTTACTTTTTCAGCAATGAGCAATAGAATTTATAAAAATAAGCAACAAACTGTTCAATGGTATCCATCCTCGACTTAATATATTATTACATTTCAATAATAACCTTCAACTATAGGAATCGAAAAACAACGATAACAACAGGAACAATCCTATTGATAATAAAAAACTTTCACTTCTCGCATCATCTGTGATTCACTTTTGAATTATAGATTTAATAATGCCTACTTTTGTCAAGGATCTCATAAATAAATATTTTAGTGACAATAATTTATTGAAGGTTAAAATGGATATGAGGATGTAAGCAAAACAAGAATGAACCATACGCCTAATTATGAACGTATTATATCTGATATAACTGTTCATATATATATGTTGATGGGTTATATACGGGAAGAATTTATAAAAATGTTTAAAAGAGTAAAACGTGATTATTACCGATTTTCCAACATATTTGATAATTGACTATAAGTTTCGCTTTTCCGAGATACAAATGATAAGAAAGTTTATTATAAAATATTCTCACGAAACATCAACACAGCTTTGTACGAATAAATACATGGACACGTAAATTTTTTGTTTTTTACAGTAAACTGCAGATATTTGAGTGAAAGAAATATAGCTAAGAAGTCTCGAAATAATTCACTTAGATAGCAGTGATCAAGTATATTCTATTTAACGTTCAATCTTACTTCTAGAAAATACTTTTTAATTCTCATGCAACTTCGCATTACAAGAACAATGTCTACAGTATTCTTTACTCACATACTCTCACTAACCACCATTCATAGTGAGTATTTCTGGTATACCAGATGAACGTCAACACTTTTTTGCAAACACATATTTTTGAAGAAATCTTTATCCTCTTTGAATCATTTCTAGAACAAATGTTTTGTAAAAAAAGAAATTATCGTTTTCTGAAAATTTGGCTTAGGAAATTCAAGTGAATAAAGTTCGATAACCGTTAATTTTAGTCAAAAGCTCCTGATTTAAACTGTAATCTTGAATTCAGAACGAAGTCGAGAATATAAATTTTCATTATTTCATGCTGAAACTTAAACTATCAAAATACAAAATCAATTCTTGTAAAAAACTAGGATCGAACAGACGAACTTTCAAAAGCTCCTCAAACTGACCCTTCATAAATTAGCGTAAAGACCAAGAAAATTTTTTATTTATTTTTCGTCAAGATTTTTCCATTCAAACTCAAGAATTTTTTCATCCTAACAGCATATTCTAGAGTATCCATTCATCGTACAACATTTTATTATTACATTTTTAGAACAATTGCTTAGATAATGTATTTTCTCATAATTAAATAGTAAAATGTAATTATAAGTAGCTACATAAAATATATCATAGAGTTTTATTGTTAGGGAGAAAAAGGAATAGACTCGGATGTGTTTTGAATCTGACGTTTGACAGAAAAGTGATAGAGGCTTATGGTCTGTACCAATTTTAAGCCGAGACCTGACCGCATTTTTTCATCACGAAAGTTATTTGGAAAATCTTCTTCCAAAGTAGCTTTTTTCAGAAGATCTTTAGAACACCATGTTATGACTAAAAAGCTTGTAATAAAAATATTTTGATTTTTTTCCATGAGTAGGTAGTCTAAAGTGTTCCTTTAAATTGGGACAATCAAGCGAAAGAACTGGAGTCTCAGGGCTACCATCCGATCACTTGGGATAACCTTGAGATCGCATGAAACATACGTGAACGACTATAGTCAATCTCGTGGTAATGTTTATTTTTCGGAAAGAGCCCAAGAATTTAGTGAGAACTGAGTTTTAGAAAAACTGGGATTTCCAGGTTGTTTTCACCTAATATTAAGAAATTCATAACTCACTCAAAAAGCAACAGAACTAGCTCAAAACTTCAGAATGTAGTATGCTATTTAATTCTATATCGTAGTTATAAGAAATCTAGAAAAACAAGTTTACAAAACTCGATGATATTAAGAAAGGATTTCTGAAAAACTTTTGAGCAAAGATATGATTTTGGACTTTTTCGTTCATATAATCACGTTTACCAGACAAATTTAGCCATATCCTGAAGTTTTGAGCTCGTTCGATTGTTTTTTTGAGTGAGTTGTGAATTTCTTAATATCAGGCGCAAACAGCCTAGAAATCCCAGTTTTTCTAAAAATCAGTTCTCACTAGATTCTTGAGCTCTTTCCGAAAAACGAACATTGCCACAAGATTCAGCGTAGTCGATCGTGTATGTTCCATGCGATCTCGCGGTTATCCCAAGTCACCGGATGACAGTCCTGAGACTTCAGTCCTCTCGCTTGACTCCCAGTTTAAAGGAACACTTTAGACTACCTACTCTGGGGTAGGTTACCCACTCATGGAGAACCAAAATATTTTTATTACAAGCGTTTTAGTCATAACATGGTGTTCTAAAGATCTTCTGAAAAGCTACTTTGGAAGAAGATTTTCCACATAACTTTCGTGATGAAAAAATGCGGTCAGGTCTTAGCTTCCAAGTGATAAAGACCACAAGTTT